GTATTTATTTGGCAAAGTATTTTTAAAAATATAAAAGCGTCAGGTCCTACGAGTTTCGTTCTTACTACAGGAACTTCCTCAGGGATCGCAATAATAAAATCAGATGAACACAAATGTATATTTATTGTCAAAAAACTTACAGACTTTCACCAGTTTGCAATGACCAAATAAAACAAAAGCAACTGAAATAGCTCAACACAACAAATGCTTTGAGCGTTTTCCCCCAAATCAACTGAAAATGCAACTTATAATGACTTCTCCAGTCTCAAAATTATTCAACCCCTTCATGGCAGGCATCTTTAGTACTTCGTGGAGCAACTTTTTTGCAGTTATGACCTGCTGAAAATCGGATGTATAGTCAAACACCATCTTCTGGCAGCGTTACATTGTCCATGAGCAATGGTTTCCAATTCATTAATATTCTTGGCTGCAACTGCCTTCTTCAAATCCCAACCAGAAATTTTCTATGAGGTTCAAATCAGGTGACTGTAATGGCCACTGTATTTCCCAGAACTACTTCTGCAACCAAGCCTTGGTGGAATTTGAGGTATGCTTGGGATCATTGTCTTGTTGGAAGGTCGAATGACGCCTAAGCTTCAGCTTCATCAAAAATGGCATGACATTTTCTCCTAGGACTTCAATTAATCCATCTTGCCTTCCACACGCTGCAGGTTTTCAGTGTGAGAGAATGTAAAGCAGCTGCAGAGCATCGCCGAGCCACCACTATGCTTAGCTGTAGGCAAAGTGTTCTTTTCCGCGTATGCTTAATTCTTCTTCCTCCAGACACACTGCTGATCCATTGAGCCTGAAAGTTCCAATTTTATTACATCGCACTACAAAATAAAACTCCAAAACATCTGTGGCTTATTTATAGGATATTGGAGCAGACTTTTCTTGTGCTTTTGGGTCAGTAGTGGTGGAGTTCTGGAAACCAACTGCATTTGTATGCACCTTACTGTGGTCACTGATACTTTTTGCCACCAAGACTTTCTGCAGTCACAACATTCCTTCTCAGAAATATTGTTGCAGCCATTGATAGCTTCCTTTTCTGCCCCGTCCAGGTAGTGTAACCACTGTTCCTTCAACTTTGAACTTGCAAACTATGCTTCTCTAGGAACATTCAGTGCCTTAGCTATATCTTTGTATCCTGTTCCTGGGTTGTGAAGGGTGATGGACTCTTCTCTTAACCTTGTGGGACATTCTTTTGACTTGACTTGGCTATATTTCTAACTTGCAGTCAAACATGACCCTCAATAAACCCCTAGCAAGTTCAGGTATTTTAAGTGAAGCCCTTCATTAGTTGCATCAGAAGTGCTTGAGAAGACCTGTTTTCATATTTGTGCTGTTAGAATTCTATTTAGATGGTTGTATAATTTTGAGACTGGAGAAATCATAAGTTGCATTTTCAATTGAATTTGGGGAAATCACTTGAATAATTTATTGTGTTGAGCTATTTCAGTTGCTTTTGTTTGGTTTGATCATTGCAAACAGCAGATTTTGACAATAAACTTGATTTTCAATGAGGGTTGAATAAATGTAATTACAACTGTATGCATGCTCTAAACTGAAGACTTGGTTAAAATGAGGCTATAAATGTCTGCAGTGTTTGACGATACATACACTCTAGAATTACTTACTGTCTATGGTAAAACTTGAGCCAATGTTATAGCCTCAAAAATTTTAATTGATTTTATAGGCACCTAGACAATGCCATCTAAATGGAAGTGGTTCCACCTAAGTAGCAGAGTTAAACGTGGCTATTCAATCACATGGTTGACGTGCATGCGCACTAGCCTGCCATGTGTCCACATGGGATGACATTGGATTGGTGAAGATCATCATTACCGCAACCGATGAGGCAGAGCAACCAACGCACCACAAGATATAAGGTAAGTAAATGTTACATGGGGGGTCTACACATCTACATAGGTAGAGTAACACAACAGTGTTAGGAATACAGATTTGTACTCCTAACGCTATATTATTCCTTTATGGTTATTTTATTTGGGCCTATCTCTAACAGGGAACATCAGAAGACCTAGACTTATTTAAACTGCACGTATTTATTTGATATGAAAAGTCTGCTGGAAAAAAAAAAAACACTATCTATATACATTATCATACATACATGCATACACATTAGGGATAGACCGATAATCGGTTCAGCCGATATCGGACGATATTCTGGAATTTGGAAAATATTGGTATCGGCCACTATTGATACCGATATTGCCAATAAAGTGAGCCAGTAGTGGCCCAGCGCATGCAGGGCTGGCACGTCCATAAGGCAGCAGTCATAGAGCGCACCGGCTCTTAGGGTGCAATAATCTAGTGACCAGCAGGAAGGAAGCGCACAGCGCTCCCCCTACCAGTCACTCGGTGTAGCGTGGTTGAGCAAACAGCGGTACAGGAGATTCCGTTTCCTGTACCGCTGTCCGCAGCGCTGGGCCACACTACAAGAGAGATAATGAGGCACATCAGGGAGGGGAGAGGACCACTGGGGGTGAAAGAAAAGGACAGGGAGGGAGAGAGGAGAGGGGAGAGGACCACTAATAGACAAGGAAGGGAGGGGAAAGGACCACTAAGGGAAGGGAGAGGAAGGCATAGGAACACTAAAAATTCTTAAACAAAATCTGACTGGCATGTAAATTCTGTGCATTCACCACTTAAAATAAAGATTTGCTTAAATAAATAAACATGTTCGGTAAACAGTAGATTTGTGTACAAATTGTTTCTTTTTCAAAACGGTAAATGTACAGAATATCGGTATTGGTAAGTTATCGGCTATCCGCCTAAATGTTCACAGATTACCTGTATCAGTATCGGCTCAAAAAAAAGAAAAAATAAATAAATTTAAAAAATGAAGTCGATACCTATCTTTTTTTTTTTTTTTTTTAAAGATAGCATGTATGCAATTTTTAAACTACCTATGATTCACAAACCGTGTGGACAGCAAGTTCCACACCATGTGCACATTTTTTAATCTACACCAATACCAATTATTATTATAATTCTGTATGCCACTCCTCTCCCCCTACCCCTGGACATGAACCTCACTTGAATAACAACTCATAATAAGACTGACTTAAGAAGCCTCGACATACTATAGTTTCAGAGGCCGCTCGGTTGATAACCTCTACAGGGTGATGCTCCCTAGACACACGAGGAACTGTGCAAGTGTTTCTCTCCTCCCACTTTTTTTTTAATTTTTTTTTTTTTAAATCTCTTCTTCCTCTCCTCTACCTTCCCACATTACCTATGATGAGAGGGTAGCAAAGGAATTTGTGATGTGAATATAGGCAATTATATCGAATGCCAAGTGCCGATCACTCATATACCTGTTTCCTATTATTGCCTTGAGAGACTGTTTCTCTGACCTACCTGACAAGATACCAATATGCCCACTGACATACAGTCTGACAGACCGCAAAGCATTATTTACTGTGGACTAATACAATGATCCTTCACAAACTATGTTATTGATTCTAAACGTTATTAAACACCTACTGCACCAACGTTTGCTGTCAAAAGCTTCCTACTTGAGACATTGTTTATATGCATGAATATTGAGTTACTTGTCTTTCCGAATGTGTATGACACTTATACATCAATATGTGCAATTTTAAACCCTTCCTTTGAAAACTTTAAATAAAGATTGTCGAAGAAAAAACACATTCTGCAGTGCTTTACAGTTTTTGAAAGGTGATATTTAAAGGCACTGCTCAAACAAGCTCACATTTTTTGAGGATTTGAGGTAGGCCAATAAGGTGGCCGCCAAGGGCGTTGCTAAAGGTGGGGGGGAAGGCAGCAGCAGCTTCACTGCACAGCTCATTTTGCCACCCCTCTATGTTGTAGTAATTCTACAAGGCATCTAGCGCCCTGTAGAACATCTGTCCGGCTGCATCCACCTCATTCAGGCATGGGTCAGTGTGCATGTCGGCATGTGTGAGTGTCAGTCTGTTTGGGTCAGTGTGTGTCAGTCTGTATGAGTGGGTGGAGCAAATAGGGTGGCGGATATATATTTTATCGTAAGGTGGTCTGACCAGGATTTGAACCTGGTTTTCCCAGTTCACCATTGCTCTAACCAGCTAATCAAACCTATAAATGAAGATATACTTACGCATAGACACTAATCCACCACATCCAGAATGGTTTCATGTGCAATGACCCCACCCTGAAATGATGTGAATGGAATACATGTAAAGAGTGATGTCACTGCACCTCCTGGCTCAGAGTCTTTGCTGCTATACCAGAGGCACAATAGTAAAAGACTACAGATGGAAGATCGATAATACATAGGGAAAGCACTTACCTATGCTTGTGCTAATAGTTTAGATACAGATAGATGTACAGATCAACTTTTAGTACTTACAAGGTGACAATAGGTGCAACTTTAATAGATACAAAACATTTAAATAACAAGATTTTAGAAGCACGTAAATGACCGTAACTGTCAAAACAAACTTCTTAGGAGAGTCCTACACTGTTTGTTTTGGATTATGGATTTCAGCTGATGTATACTACAGCCATTGCTGCCCAAGAGTAATGGGACTGAGTGCAGGGTGTCATTTTGTGTGTTTAAACTTTAATAAATGACTCCATTGTTGTAATGTTTTGTCACTTGATTGAACACCGAGAGGTTGTGAACTCACAACAGACAGCAGGAGGATTGATTACAAATGGCATACTGAGTTTATATACGTTTAGAATGAGCAAACCTTGGACCTTCACCAGAACTCTTTTCTTTGTGTTCCCAGCCCTGCTAAAAAACTACCCAGCAATCCCCAGTAATGCGTAGTTTTTTGACGCTACACAGAAAGCTGCCAGAACGGAATGTGTTGCAAAAATGTTTAATTGCATCTTTGAGTAAAATATAGATTTTATTTATACTCTCATACCTTAGCATAGTGGTTTTATACAAAATAGCATAAAATGTAAAAAATGTACATGATGCTGGAAACATACTATTTATGTATTTTACTTCTTCAAAACGGTCTACTAGGAAACCCATGCAGTAAAATTTGCATGGAGTGTCATTTGGAGAAGTCGAAAGTATAGCATGCCACAATTTGTATGCTTCTAAATATTTAATGGAAACGCAAATTGAAACATCAATAAACTCAATATTAATGTGTTTAATTGTAGAAAGACCATGACTCAACTCTGTACCAACCACGTCATTAAATAAATGTGTTGTATGCGTCTTTAGAGGTTAAATTTGGTGAAGAATCACTGTGACAGTCAAACAAGATCCCAAAGCAAAAAGACACACAGAGCAAAGACTAGCTTTTATAAGAAGAATTTAATTATCTATACATGTAACTGATTGTAAAGGCTGTATTACAGTTGTTAAAGCTGTAAGTTTCATATATTTATATATTTTACATTCATACCCATTAAAATACTGAAGTGTAGATGAACAAAGGTTTTTGGCGGCCACCCGCCACATGGATAGGTAAAGCGCGGCCTGTAACACTTTCAGTATGCACAGAAATAGAAACGTCGATGACAAAGCAAAAAAAACAAAGAAAGTTTAAAAAAAAATTATAATTAAAAACCCTTTACAGCCATAGATAAAGTCTGCCATCTTGTTCTGGCCACAATCCACAAATTGCCCCCCAACTCCCATTACATTATTTTAATCTGCTTTTTCTACTCATGGTATTAACTCTTTATGGTGCATCATAGGGCAGAGCAATGTTTCCCCAACGCGTTGCTCGTGCCACTGGCATTTAAACATGGGTTAAAAGCAGTCCACTAGTGTTTAAGGAAATAGTTAATGACTCGTACGTCACGACACAACACTGTAAGCGGCTATAAACAGTAAAATGACAAAATTTCCACAGTCTATTTAAAACCAACGATAAAAAAAAAAAAAAAAAAATGTAAACATTGCAGTTAAATTCATGTTAAAATAGTGTATACATTCTTTGTCCTGATGCGCAACACAGAACAGCAATTTGATGCCTTTGCTATCAAAAGTCAGGAAATCCCTAGCTTATCCACCAAGAGATTAAATACAATTTCATAGGATGGATGGATACGAAGACAATCCTTTTGAGAGACAGAAGAGGAGAATAGTGTGCTTAACACATTGCAATGTAGCACACACGTCTGCCGCTCAAAAGATTAACCATTATACAATAAAACTGGTTAATGGCTGCCAAGTACATGTAAAAATTAAATAATAACAGTACAAAGAAGTGATAAATGTCTTTAACTATATGTGCAAAATATAAGTGTTAACCCCTCTTGTACCTGCATTTTTCTGAGGCTGAAGGAGTTAACAGGTAGCAACCATTGCACAGGTCGATACAGTATTGATTTCTGTATACAAAAATGCAATCATTTTTCTATGAAGACTATAACACAAACTGAGTTAGCCATATACCTTCAATATAAATCGGGCACATTTCACTACAAGTAATCTTGTTATCATCACATTGCTGTTTAACATAGTTACATAATATACTTTGTAAAAATATATATATAAATGAAAAAAAAAAAAAAAAATTCCAAAACATAAAAATTAAAATTAACACTGGACACATGGGGGAGAAAAAAAAATATGGAGAAAAATATAAAACGTTTCAGATTTTATGGACTACTGACAGCACATGCAGCATTCCTTGATAGTGGGTCTTTTTGTAAAATTGAACGTGAAAAATAAAATAATTCTATTCTAAAGCCACTCGGATCGGTTTTATGGTCACTGTCTTTGGAGGGTTGCATTGTACAGGTTTAGAAATATGAACAGTCAATTGGAAAGCTCCTATTTGAAATGTATGATTATTTTTTTTCTCCTAGCAATGCAGAAAGCCACAAAAGGACCCACTATCCTCTGTAATCAGTGTCATTTATTTGTATGGTTTTTAGATTTTCTTGCTTCGGAATCTGCTGATAAAACGTCAAGGTTACATGCATCTAAATGGACAATGAGGTATAACTGCTGGGCAGTACTTCTTCTAGTCAGAAGGCAGTAGATGATCATGCTGGAAGTCACATGATCAAGGCTGCATCTCCCATCATCCCTCTGGGCAGTGATATGGGGATAGTGGGTCTCTTTGAGGACTTTCAAGCCTGGGAAGGGGGATGGACAACATATGTTTCCTAGAAAAAGGAGGAAAACAACACAAATAAGCAAAAATAAAAATAAAATAAAAACACCACACACAAAAACAAATAAATAAAAAAAAGAAAAACCCAACTACATTGTGCAATGATGACGAGAAGAGTGCTAAAATAGCATGATTGAAAAGAAAAGGAAAAAAAAAAAAACACATGCCACAAATAGGGAATGAAGAAATGTAGGGATAGAACCAAGGAAAAAAAATATTTGTAATATAGCTAGTGTAGAGTTAAAAGATACAACTGGTTCTGAGACAGAGGCCTGATATATTGTTTGACCAGAAGAACGCAAATCTCAGTTGTATTCCTGTAACAGGATTTTATGCGACCTACAGGTTTTTATTGAAATCATTTTCAGTTATTTAACGATTTATTATGATTTGAAGAGGACGTTTAATGGAAAATAAAGAAGGCACTGTTAAAATGACTTAGTGGCAGTATTGGCACCCGGCTGTTGGGTTCTTCTAATGAACCCCAACACAGCACAGAAATCGATTATAGAAATCACACTGCATCATGATATTAGTTCAAATAATCTGTCAGCAGCTCTGCTCAGACCCAGTTGGGTAGTTCCAGGAATATGGTTTTGGTATTTCCCCAATTGTTAAACTTAGTCCCTTTAGTTTTATACTTTGGAAGGTCTTCAAAGAGACTTAGTGAATGCAGCAGAGGGCAGAGCTTTTATTTCTACAAAAGACACGCAGAACCACAGCAATGCTGCATGTAGGTATTAACAGGTTAGAGAAGCAGTTAATGAGAGAGGCCATCATTACTTACATTGCTGGCTGGGGTCCATGTCTGTGGTTAGCTTCACGTAGTTTGAAGGAAAGAGACCCACTTGACCATTCAGTTCCCCCTTCCACCAGTCTGGATCTTCTTTGTTCAGCACGTTAATGACTTGACCTTTGGCAAAAGCGAGTTCATCGTCATTCTGTGCAATATAATCGTACATTCCGATGACTTGGCACGCTGCGATACACAAGGGAAAGTACAATACAGTCATCAATATATGCATGAATAAATATTTATCTATAAATGTCAGCAGCTTTTCCCTACCAATGTAATGATTCAGAGGAGACACGCATGGTCTTGTGCACCAATCATCACAAAGATCGGGAAACTTTTGGAGTTGCAAGGGCACACTCCCAAACCCATAAGTCCCTTAATGTGAAGCAAAACAGAGAAAAAAAGACTGCCATATAAATGCAATACTATAATAGAACATTAAGAAAAAAAACAAAAACAGATTCAAACAAAATAGTCCCACAAATATCTAAAATGAAAGTACCCCTGTGAATGGGATTCACGGTTAAATCTTCTACTCATCATATTTCCCTGTACAAGAATTCACTTCTTATCGGACAACTTAAACTGCATTCCAACCCATTGACAAGGGTACATTCATTTTAGACTTTGAGACTATTTTGTTTTAATCTGTTTTTTTTTAAATTTCCTTATTGTTAATAATATTCTACTATAGTAGTGTATTTACACGGTGCAGTCTTGTTTCTCTGTTTTGTTTCCTTTATGGTTTCTTTTTTGTTAATTCGCGCTAAAGAATGTTTGTTTTGTACCCTTGATGTGAATGCCCTATAGAATGTGAGTGTTCAATAGAAAGCAGTATTTTAAGGAGAGGGGTGGGAGCATAGTAAGTGATGGTCTAGGGGCGAGGAAGGGCATGGAAGCATAGAAAGCAGATAGCAAAAGGAACTCTTAAAACTGCCATTCTACAGGATACCATACCCCCCATTTTACATATACATCGTTAATCATATCAATACAGAGCTCTCCTTAATGTAAACTATAAAAGTAATTAAAACAGTTACACATTTTGGTTAACCTTTGGAGCACCAGATGGACCAAGTATCCCATATAGCGGTTTACATGTTATACATTGCAGCATTCATTTTTCACTTACTTGGTGGCAAAGTTGCTGGTTTGGGTGGCTCTGTTGGGGTAGTTTTATTTGTACCAGGGCTCAGAAGTTTGACATAGTTTGCAGGAAACCATCCAATCTGTCTCTTCTTCCCACGTGCCTAAAAAAGACATTTGATTAAAATACAATATATTACAGAATGCTTATAAAGAAGGGGAAAGGAGCTTTCATTCCTCATGTCAACCACCTACCTACAATCTCTTCTTATAAGTCCTGACAGTAGCTGAAAATAATTCCCAGATCTCCCTCTATCGCCTCCCATTTTCCCCAAATACTCCAACTGCTTACAATGCCTGGAGCAGCCTGGCATTGTCCAATGGTTCAGTGTTAAACCCTTCTCAAAAGATTTAGCACTGAATGTGGGTCCCCGGGTACTCGCAGCCTGGTCCCCCTCTGCTTCAGGATTGACTAAGGCAAGTGATGGGTGACAGGGAATAGCTGAAGGCATCAAGTGACCACTTTCCACCTATCACAACAGCTAATCATTGGTATGAGATGAGCCTTAATCATACCCACAGCGGAGGCAGGGGAGCAAGTGCCCAGGGACTCAAGTTTAGTATTAACCGGATACCAATGAACTGTGGGATGGTTATATAAAGCTCTGTAAAGAGAGAGAGAACAATACATTTGTAGAAAGCAAAGAGCAGTACTAGAGCACTATAACCACTTATATAAAATGTAGAGATTATCATACCTAGAGTGTTCCTTTAATGTGGCCTTACTAAAGTTTAACTGGATGAACCAGCCTGAGGGAGCCTGGTCAGACAAACATGTTAAATACTGTGAACATTTCCTAACACATGTGATGTAAAGTAGCTTTTTTAAAAAAAAAGGCTATATGTAAAAGGAGTTACCGGAATGAATGTTTCCTGTAAGTCTGTTTAACGTTGACATATTTAAAAAATAAATAAATAAATAAAAAAAATGAATATTTACATGCCCCATATCACCCCAAACATCCAAGTTCATGGAGTATTAAAATAAGAATCTATAAAGTGGGCTCATGAAAGATTTCAATAAGTGGAAGATTTTTCTATGGTTTTAATTTTCCTGCGGGCTGCATGCTCACACATTTCCTACTACACTGCTGCACCTTCAGCATTGTGGGAAAACATTGATGATCCCACTGTAGCCACCAAAATTCACATCTCTGTGCTAAGCATACAATAAGCTAAAATCTTAGCAATCAGAGATGTACATAGGTGAAATGTTACGGTCAGTAAAGAGTCAGCATATCTTAAAAGGTTAGGAGAGACAGTGCCATATTTTCAAGGTGTGGTTTTTCAATCAGGTGTAGTAAAGGCAAAATCCAATTTAAAAATAATTTGCAGCATGCAGTATTCTAATCTCAGGCAAATCCATACTTTGGAGTTAACATGTAATACTGTATTGCTTTTTCTGTAAGGCTCCATTAGGAATGATATAAAATGCAGGATAAGTGACTTACTTGTAATTCTCCCTCCCACCAGCCCCCAGGGTTCTTCTTTCTGATGAGAATTAGTTGGCCGGGGGCCAACGTGAGTTGCTCAGGTCCAGTAGCTGTATAAGATGCAATGACCTGGGCGATTTCTGCCAAAATACAGTTTGTTAATACATAATGACAATAAACCACAAGCGCAAACTTTCACCAAATAAGACCAACACTAGTGGTTTCATAGCAGATTGCCCAATAAGATTTCTTTTTATAAATTGATCTTTTTGGATCGCAGGAAAAAACAACTGTACTACAGATAATAAGAGTGTTTAATAAGAATGAAAGGTACATTTAAGCGTGTTGCTAGTTTCCAAGTACATCCTGGGGTCTACATGTTATCAATCAAGCTAACTGTACATTTTTGCTAACGGACTTAATTGGACACTCGTGGTACCATAACGATATTTCACTGAAGTGTTTATGGTGCCTGAAGTTCAGATCTGTTGCAGGTATTGAGTACATTTCTGACCAATAATTTTTTTTATTTTTTTTTTGCATTTAGACATTTTTCAAAAATTCTTTATTTATTCCAGTCAGACAAAATAGACACAGCATAGGTGTACATATGTAAATAAGTAGTGAACAATATCTATAAAAGGATAACGCATCTGACGAAGGGTTTTTGTTATAGTATAGCAAACACAGACTATGACAAATCAACCACATACCATAGATTTGTGAGACTAGCTTAAACAGATTGAGCAAAACAAAATGGACATGCAACATAAATGTGTGTCTTAGAATATTAGGTTAAACAGCATGCCAACGTTCAAATGGAAAAATGAGAGAGAGCAACTGGAGCTGGGGGCAGCGTTATAGTATCAACTTCAGAGCTAATTTGGCCAGGACGAACCAGATCTCGGCCTACATAGACCTGAAAATTGTGCCATTTATAAAAAGTATACAAAAGGTAGGTTGTCTACAAATGATATGAAAAATTAAAATGGAATGAAAAAATCCCAACATAAACATTACGCAATTCAGGTAATTGTCACAATCGTAGCACTAGTTTCAGGATCCCATAAGGTAGCAGCCACCATTCGTGTTCCCTGCAGCAGTAGGTGGAGAGGTTAGGCCAAGGCCCAGTGTAGACAGGACATCAATCATCTCTGAGGCATAGGACACCCTGTGTTATTGTGTTGGATGATGAATGAATAGGAAGTACCCCATCTGTACTTCATGCCATTAGAAGATAAGATAGCTGCTAGGGGTTGGAGTGATTTACTCCATTGCACGGTCATACTGGAGAGGTCAGAAGGAGAGATCTATCTCTTTGAATTTGTATGGGGTCTTCCCTCTGGTTGCAGTTAAGAAGGCAGACTAATCCTGTCCAAATTGAAAGTTTATCAGGAGATCACTGAAAGCCACAACCTTGTGTGACTGAGGTTTTGGTAGGCGCAACAGGCCATCCAATTGTATTTCTTTCACTTGTTTGGGAGTTAGTAAGGCCGTTAATTTGCCGAGTAGAAGGAGTGGCAATTCTGCCATGGTGACTCCGTCAGACAAGCCTCTAACGTTCAGGTGTTTCCACCTTCTTTTGTCCTCCAGGGACAAGAATTGGTAGTCTAGTTAGAATTGGGCTGAGGCAACATCGCCTACCTGCTACTGAACGTCAGATTTGTGTGCTATTACTCCCTGTGGGTCTGCCTCACTGTAGTTAATCTTGATACAAACACATGTTCTCCCGTACTTGTAATATCTCTGCTAAATTATCTTGACGGAGATCAGCCAGGAGGCCTGTGAGAATGGCTGTAGTCACAGGGTGAGAGGTTCCCTCAATCAGTTTGAAAAAGTTTGGAGGGTCCCTAAAAGACCAAGTCCTCCATTCTATGTAGAGGTAGGTCTTCAGAAGTGTCAGAGAAGTCACCTAGTTCTCCAATATCCAATCTCTTTTGCATGTCTCCAATACCTGCACAAAACCTGAGCAAATCCGGCTTCGATTTCTTGATTTTTTGCCCCAAAGGTAAAAGGAAATTTTATAAAATATTTATGTTTTGACACATTATTAAAAGTACACTAACAATAACCATTTCATCCCACTGAATTAATTGCAGTTGCTCGAGGTCCTCTGGTGCTCTCTCTAAGTCCAGTGTTAAACTGTTTCAAACAATTTAACAGTAAATAAGGGTTCCTGTCCACTCATAGCCTGGTCCCTACTGCAGGTATGGCTAAGGCAGAGTTTACACTACCCTATTGTCATACCAATTCATACCAGCAATGGGCACCATGATAGGCTAAAGCCTGACACTCTCAGCCACCCATTGCTGCTCATGCCAATGATTCCTCATTCACTAAAATTAAACAGTTTTCAGGATTTATGAATTTTAAACCTTAGACCACCATAACCAAACTGGCAAAAAAATACCAATGTTGTTTGTTTGGATACATCCTGAAAACCCATAATTTTGTGAATAATTCTGTATGAATGTAATCATACATTTGTTAACAAGGAAAATCTTGCGATCTGTATTTGATTTGCATATTTCTACAATATGAAGCAATTTTAACCGATTGTGATTTAGTAACATGGATTTAAATTTTTTTCTTTTAAAGAATTTCCCGTAGAAACACAATTAATTAGAGCCTAACAATTGAAATTCTTTTTACTGAAGAATAAATTTTTTTTTTTTTTTTTAAATTAAAAAAATCTCACCAGGTTTCTTTCCAAGGCTTCCTGTTTTTCCTACTGTGCCAATACCCTGGGGAGGAAAAATAAAATAATAAAATTACACTTCATCAAGATGGTTTATGAAATGTGACAAGATTAATGTTTTGTCAATCAAAGTGAGATTGTTCTAAATTATTCTAGGTCCTTGAAGATAAGCCATGGCACTCTAGATTAATTTAATTAAAACTACATTTATCAGAATGTGCCCCTCTAGAGTGCAAAGGCTACCAGTTACCAAGAGGTAATAATACCGGTGCATGACAAAATATTGCCGTTCGCTATTGGTGATTTATCACAACTACCGACGTGATGTAAGTGCTCTCTTCATAGGAAATCATTTACTTTCTTGATTTTGATGATTTTGTATGCTTGCGTGTATGACGCTCGTGGTCTGTAAAAGGTTTGTAATAAAGACTGATTATAGAAGATAATTAGGAAAATGAGTATAGTATGATCAAAATAAGGCTGGAAGCCTCAGGGGGCATGAACCCAGTTAGAACAAACAATTAGATTTATAAGAGCATAAGAAGCCCAGCCTTAATTTATAAAGAAAATTGTGCAATAGTTAAAATATAACTTTTATGGTGTATAAAAATAAAATACGAAACCTATAATCTGAAGTTAAATATCACACAGTTCCAGGATGAGCATTATAAACAAATACACTTGATAATTTAAAAATCACTCAATGGTCTCCCATACCGGTTTGAAATTACAGGGTATACATTAAACCTCTGTCAGTAGTGTTGTTTCAATGTTTGAAAAAGCACACAGTCACTTGTGGAAAAACAGGTATGGAATCAAAAACTGCGGTAGTTCAAGACATACAAAAATATGATATGTTTAATTCTCCGATATAATGATCAAAAGGAAAAGGGGCATATGAACCAAGTAGTCAAGAGTACAGTGCAGGCTATTTTCTCAGAGTATATTGTGCTTCCACCTACTTGGAAGTATAGGAAGATGTTGATTACTTTATTAGGATTCTTGACCCAAAAGCCACAAAAATTTGAGGGCCAGTAATGTTCATTTACCTCCGAATCTTTGAGTCGCACATAATTGGACGGGAAGACTCCAGTTTTATCTCCCACGGTTCCTGTCCACCAGTCACCATCTTTTTTTATGACTACGATCATATCTCCCTGCTGAAACGTCAAATCACCTTGCTCGTTGCTTTCATAGGTGTACATAGCTATGTATTCTGTAAACCAAGAGGTAAAGTTTGATTTATAATAAAATTGCACCAAAAAAGTGTTTAAAAAAATAAAGATCCTTAAAGGGCATAGGGTAAAATAGTTATACTGAAACATAGGAAACAGGTGAGTTTTACATGTTGAATTACAAACAGCCAATTTTCTTAATTAATTTAATTAAAAGGTGAAGTAACACCAGACACCCTAATTGGGTATTAAAAACCTGAACAAATGTACAAAATTTCTCAATACATTATAGGTTATTTAACTTCTGTATGCTCAATTAGATAACGGATATACCTTCAGTATCCTAGAACACTAATTGGCTGCACAGTGTCCATAATATTCAAATGCTCATTATTGCAAGATACAATAAAACTATTAACATTAAAGAGCTACTGTCGCGAAAATGTAAGAAACACTATAATATAAATAAACGTTAAGTATATTAAAGCAAGATATTTCAGGCACAGTGGTAACATACTAATTGTTAGAATACAAAGTAAACCACACTGTTACCAGCACTGCAACATTAAACGGACACTCTCCTGAAAATCTCTTGATAGAAAGTTCATTTATTGTACAATAAAAAGCGCCATGTGAGTTAACAGTGGGAGCATTAGACCCACTCCAAGCACAGACTCGCAGATGGTACACAGATCCATTTCCAAACATTCATCCAAAGCCAATATTTTGCCAGACACAATCCACTGCCCCAGGCGATTGTGTGTCCATTTTTGACTAAGGGACAATATCAAGTTTATAATGGTTTGTTCATTTACTACAACTTTAAGGTACGATGTTACTTTCTAGTCTGTATGGAGTATGTAATTTATACTGTAAAAGTCTAGCTTTTAAGCAAAAGTTTATTAAACACAGAATAAAACAACACAATAATGTAAAGCAGGATTTTTTGGGCTTACACAGACCATGAGCTTTACCTTCTCCTTGGACAGCAGGTTTAAATGCTGGGGAAGATGCTCTCTTTAAACTGGCTGGGCTCTCAGAGGATGTGGAATCAATGCTGTATATGAAAAAAATAAATTAAATAAAAGTAATTTTAAAGTTAGACGAGCTATCAGGAACTGAAAAGCAGCACTGTACACCAGCAAGACTTTGCGATAACGAAAGGCATAGCAAGAGGAGAAACGGTTAGTTTTGTGGTAAATGTATAGTCTGATAGCTAGTGAAGTGCAGTTATTGCTTGTTGTGTTTACAATACTATATATATTACATTAATCTTCTTCCTAGTACTTTGTAATTAAAGGTTAGATAAGGTGGAAGGTGAGTTTCCCTGCCAACAAACTCAAAATGGGAAATCAACAAAAAGACTAGACAGAAAACTTACAATAACCAAAAAAATAAAAAATAAAAACTAGAGGCAGCAATAGCTCAGAGCACCTGCCTTGCAACGACTTTTCACTGAGCGGCGTTTGGAGGTCTTTGATTGGACAGTCACAGAAAGTCTGGGCGGGGTTATTCAACATGACAATTTAAAAGTGAATTCAAAGAGAATATCAAATTTGGACCCTAAATTTGAATTTTACTTTGCGAATAACCCTGTGTATTGTGGAAGTAGGGGAGGGCTTAAAATAGCTGCAGATACTAGATCTGCAGCTATTGCAAGCAATCATTTTTATATCCATAAAGAAAACATGCAAAACAAATTGCATGCACATTTCCTTTGGGGGTATATGTACTAAATCATTTATTTAATGGACTGTTTCTTTAAATAAAGGGCATAGGTGAACATTACTTTAAAATTCCTGGTAAGGGACAGTTTGTCTTTAACCATAAAACAAGACAGATATAGGATACCTTGTAGATTTCCTTAAGGGGCCTGAAATGAGCTTCACATAGGATTTAGGGAACCAGCCCTTATGACCTTGAACTTCTCCAAACCACCACATGTCTTGCTGTTCGAGAACTGTAATTATATCATTCTTGTTAAAATTTAGATGGTTGTCCTTCTTCGCTCTCCAAGGATACAAGGCCTGTGCTTGAAGCCCTTCTACTTTTTCACCCTATTTAAATATAAAGAAAGATTACAGTTAGTCACCAAATCGACTTAAAACAAATTCTACCTAAAAATTAGAGTAAAATTTATAATTTAGCAATTGTGGCAAAAAAGAGACATCTGTCTAAGCCCACACAAAGCATGAGAGAGGAAGGAAGGAAGTTTTTGTATGGTTAAAAAAATTAAATGTCAATGTGATGGCATCCAGACTTGTATCATAGGGTGACATATTTATTTTGAGTTTTATTGGAAGCCTTAGCAGTTCCTAGAGATTATTAGCCTTTAATCACAATGCTATAGCAATGATCTTACAGAAAAAGGATAGTCATAATTCCCATCACTTGCACATCATAAGATTCTAAGCTTGTTTTGGCAGGGCCTTCTTCACCTACTGTTCTCGTATGTCAAGCGTGGTTTGTTAGAATAAAAGGATTGCCTTATTTACCATTTGGGAACACAGCCCTAGAGTGCCCCGTCTTTATCACCTGGCATAGCTTGCCTGGGGGCATCTGCTGCCTCTTTGGAAGGAAGCTTCAGCAAAGATCCCATTAGCACCCATGCCGTGTAGAGACAGCTCATTATCTGAGAGTGTAAGCTGAGAGATCTTAACAATAAGTGCGACGCTCGCTCAGTTGCAGGAGATTCCAGCTGGAGAGAAGGTGGCAGGAGGCGCTTGGTGGATGCCAGATAATTTGCAAAAATGTTCTTAAATAGTTTGACTATTAACACTGGAGGGCCCTAAAGCAATCCTGCCACAATGCCAACTACATCAGCCTGTAGTGGTTAAGGTGCTTGCAGTGGTCCTTTAAATATGGAAACCTCTTTAAAATCCTATATTTCCAGCATGCGTAGGGCTATTCTCTAAACTCTGGAATATAGCAAACTGATCCCTCTGTAAAGTCTTGTAAATGATAGGTTCATTTTTTTCCCCTTAAAATTTAACTGATCCAAGGTGTAAGAAATTAAAGTCACACAATCTTTGGGCTCTAATTCCCCACTGTGAGTGAATAATTTCTGCCTAACTTAAAAATGGAAGACAATGCTGGAGGAGAAGTAGACAGATTTTCCACTTGCCTCAAACAGCTATACCAATGATAGAAGTATCTAATGCCTGGATAGAAGTATCTAAAATCCAGCACAAAAATGATTTGGATTGTGAGACTTTTCCCCCCGACCAATGGTAACATACCTCTGGACCTCACTTAAAATGTCTGTCTTTGGAGCTAAACTTTGTAAACAATCCTATTACATTCCAATGATAGACCTTTACTTCATAGCAAACTATATCAAGAATAGCTATCGATATGAACAGCACATTACAGATATTTATAATTAAGATTAAGTTGTCTAAAAACGAAGCCCTTTAGCCTAAGAATGTGTGCTGAATGTGAGCTCTCTTACCTGGCCGAGTACAGGAGAAGGAGAGGATCCGGTTACAGTAGCCGGAGTAAATGCAGAGCGCTGTCTCATTTGGCCGGCACTTGGTACGGTCAGCGAGGGCTGAGCTGCCCACATATCCCAGTTATCAGTCTCTACTTTGTCATTGTTAATTGTTGGCCACCTGGTAGTTCAATGCAAAGACAGGATTGTAAACTTGCACACACTCTGCAGAAAACAAAAGTACTATAAACACAACAATTAAATTATACTGTAAATTTTGAGGTAAGATATTTTGTTCATCCATTCTAAACCCTTGATCTATATACACTCCCCCAAATCTAAACAAGCATTTTCCTGCTTACGTTGAGCTGAAGTCTGCCCAGTTGTTGGAATTGGTAGAGGAGTCTGTGAATGCTGCGGATACAGTGGTGGATGGTGCCACATGGACAGTGGTTTTGGCTGTAGTGTCTGCTGCCTGTTTTGTTGTGTTTGGATAGTCACCTTCTGGCATTCTCTCTGCATAGTTAGCAGGGAACCAGCCAGTTTTCCCTTTTATTTCACCTCCGAGCCACCCAGGCTCGCCAGTTTGGCTTTCATCCACCTGCAGAAACAGGCAAAAATGATATCCCAATTCAATAAATGAACTTACTACATAACTGTAAATCTCTGACAAAAAGTATGTCTGAATAGCTGGACATTGCTGATGCTATAAGTATGCAAAAGGTAATTTGTTATTCATTCGAAAGGGAAATAGGATTAACATCACAGTTAATAGATATAGCATTTGTCAGGTTTGCTATCAAAAACACTATTCACTCTATAAAGAGTCCGTAAAACATACACATTACTATTTTTAAAAAAATATTTATTTTGAAGAAAACATTTTTTCTGGAAACCACTGAAATTTCCAGAAATTAATTGGAATAGTGAAGCCTAGTGATAAAAAAGTTTCTCATTGAGTTTATTAAATACGGGATACACTAAACTTGTGTGATGTAGTAGATCATTACGACATCTTTCTAAATGCTTTGTTTGTTACCTTCAACATACGTCGAGATTGAAATGTGTTGGAAAGATAAGTTGCAAAATTAATCTCTCCCCCCTCCAACTCACTATGTTTAACTTAACACCACAAAGCACGTAACACAGCTGACAACATTGTGATACTGCAAACAAATACAGAGCTACACAATCAGCAAAGATAAAGCAGTTTGTACAATTTCACAACAATAAAAGGGGAGGTGTTTGGAGAAGAGAAGATAAAAACCCCAAACCAATAAAATTAACAAAGTAAGACAATGTTAGTTACGCCCAAACCAAACCTCAACATTCACCTTTTAAATGTGCTTATCCGGACTACAACAGTCCTCTAGCAAAGGCAATGCTTGTTTGTAACATGGGAGGGGATACATAGAAGCAATGATCATTTTGCCCTCTCCTCATGATTTCTCAACATGTTTAACCCTCTGAGTTTTCACTTACTTGTTGGGGTCTTGAGACCCTGCAGTTTCTAAAAGGTTAATTATTTTGATCATCTCACATTTAATTAAACCCACTGAAGGCTCTACTTCTAGGATTTCATTAAACAAATAGACCTATATTTTTAAATAAGGCAAGTTTCTAATAATGGCCAGAAGACAGGACTATTCTCCGATGAATGCTTTATTTTATTTTCTGCGTAGGATGTATATCATTTTTATTTATTAACAGCATTATCCACGCAATGTACACACATGAAGTGGCTAAGACAGGCTGCCCAATATTAGTCCCATTACCAGTTTAACAAAACAAACGTATCACACTTACCATAATAATATCACCAGGCTGGATTGTGATTTCATCATGACTTCTGGCATCGAACGGGTAAAGTGCTCGGTAATAGACAACCTTGACATCGCCCTGAGAGATTGTTAGTGGTGCTTTTTCTAAAACGCAAACAATGGAGGAAATATCAAACAATAGCATCTGATTTCAAGTGGCGGGGTTATGGCAATTGCAATACAGCATCCTGTAGTGACAATAATTTTCATTTCTTTTCTTAAAAAAAAAATAAAAATAAAAAAATAACCAAACATTCACCACCTAACCTTTGTTTGTTATTGGACACATGTTCACATACTGCATACTAAGCAATTATAGTTAATTATTGCATACCAAAAATGCGATTTTATTGGGTGGGGAAATATATATTTTATATATTAATTAGTAGATGATATCACTTGAAATTAATTTAGGAGAGAAAAATAAAGGTCTGCTTAACCTGGAAAGGATTATTAAAATAGTTTCTAATCAAATTAGAAAGAACTTAATCAGAACTTTCCTGGGGGATTTGCAATGTAAAACAATCCTGTTTTGTAGACATCATAATGTATTAATTGCAAGGCTAAACACACTTCTAGTAGCGGTCTGAGAGCCACTAGAGGATGCTTTTGCTGTGAGAATAGAATGAAACTCTTATCTATCACAAGACGTCCTCACGCATTGCATGAAGACATCCTCAAACGCTTGTCATAAGCAAGCACCCCATTCAATGATCACCCAATTCATGTGCGTAACCTGTTCTACACAAGTAATAGGGCTTCATAATTACACTCCGCATAAAGCATGGGCTGCAACTGAGAAAGTGTTTTATACCTCATTCAGCACATGCAAAGCCAAGCACACACCTGTACCTGTCCAGGGGACCTGTCCTCCTGGCTTCATTGGCTCGGGCGGCTGCTGGAACAGTTTGGCAGGTTTCTCATGTGCCTCTTGCTTTTTCTCTTCATGGTTCCTTTTCAAAGTGTCTTCCCTTTTCTGTTTTTCTTCTTCTTGAAGGACTTTGTGTCTTACTTGTTCTTCTTCCTGCTTCACTCGGTCCTGCCACTGCTTGTCCTGCTCTTGTGCCCTCCTGGTGGAATTGTCCAGTTAAGAAAAAAAAAAAAAAATTAAATATCCATGTGGAACGTGTTCATGATCTTGTTCTCAGTGCTGCATTGTGAAGTAACGTTACAGGAATTGTAAATGATGATACATTACAGATCCTTTCTATTCTCCTGATATTACTACCGGTTTATTCACAAACCAGAAGCTGCAGCAGCTACTTAAAAACTGGACCTTCCCTAAAGCACTGCTCTACAAACATAACAGCTCCAAGAGTTCGATTCAGTCACCTAGCACGGCAGCTCTGAAAATAGCGGTACCCCTTCTCCCCCCACCTTTATATACAATTCTAGTAGGCATCAGATAAAAGTTTTACCCCATCATAAATAGTGACCACAGTTTATACATATTTTTACTTTCCATTTTTAAATTTTTACTAAAGTAAAATGTGTTTAGGGGGGTGGGGTTGACATCAGGTCCCATTTCTGACCTGGAACCCTAGATTCTTCAAACAATTGATTAAAATATATATTTTATCCCCTCAATCTCGAGGTCTGTGTGCCTATGAATAAGCACCCACAATCACCCCAACCAGCTTGATACTGATGGATGCAAAAGCACCCACATCAAATTCAAGTCTTTATAAGTCAATGGTGGGGGTGGGTGTAGCAGACACTTTCCCCATATGTTCGGTTGTGCTCCGCTACAGTGGGTGGAGCGCGCGCTACTAAAAACACGTTTCACAATTTTGCAAATAGAAGCCACTGTGCAGTATTTTAAATCCAAGAAATTCCCAACTAGAGAGTGAACAGAATATTATTATTACTTAACCCCTTAAGGACACATGACGGAAATATTCCGTCATGATTCCCTTTTATTTCTGAAGTTGTGCCCTTATGGGGTTAATATTGCAAATATGTCGGGGCTGAAAGTTTCCACTCACCACTGGCAAATTAAAATGTAGCCCGACTAGTAGAACATCAGCTCGGGAAAGTATGTCATGAATTACCCACTTCTCAGATGTGTTACATTGAGCCGGTGTCATTCATCCTACGTACACGTATACCTAAGCAAGGCGGGATAGCTGAAAACAATGCGCAGGCGGGATAAGCTAATTCCTTTCTGCAAACGCCTGGAGAGCTGGAGAACTTTGCTGGTCTGTGTTTGCTCACTGCCTGGCCTGACAACTGCTTCCCTGGTATTACTCCTCACTGCTTCAGCATTTTGTCTGGATGATAAATGGTTAAAAGGTTAACACCAAATGACAGACACAGGTTGCCTTTGTATACTAGACAGCTATAATGGTCATATCATGAACATATAGGAAGCTTAACCCCTTAAGGACACATGACATGTGTGACATGTCATGATTCCCTTTTATTCCAAAAGTTTGGTCCTTAAGGGGAACCAGCACTTCTCTGGAAATCATACCATGAACTAAAACATTGAAAATCACCTAGAACTTGTGATAATCTTTGAGTAAAGTTACTTCTCAATCGAGTTACAAAAAAAACCCCAAAAAAACCCAAAAACAACACACACAGACTTTTCTCTTTGATGAATAGGACAGAGCATGTAACAATGACTAACAGAGTCATGATGTATGTAGTGTTGTGTATGATACCTATGAATGTGGGCTGTGTATGGGAGCTTCTTGTGGAATTGTATGTGTGGATGAAATCACAGTCACAGTGTGCATTTGGTGTTGTGTGTAAGCATGTTTGCTTGTGGTATTGCTTGGGAAAGGCTGCTTGTGGGATTGTGTGCATGTATGTGGATGGCCAGTGCTGTGGTTTGTGGGGACTGTGTGTTTGTGAGCTGGCTGTTGGCACTTCCTCTAAGTGCTGTGATGCGTAAATTAAGGATGATCCTGCAACCACATGCAAACTTCTCTTGGTTTGCACTAGCAGATATCTGAAGCTCCACCAGGACCCCTGATAGGCCAGGGCCTAAAGTGTCGTACAAAGGCACCTGGAGTGGCCATAGGTTGTTGATCTCTGCTGTGGCTTTATGCTACAATGGTTTAAATATTAATTTTTTCACATCAGTCTACACTCAATATCACAATCCCCCCCCAAAAAAAAGGGGGGAGGGGGAGGAGGAAAAAACCTGAAATATCACATTGATATAAGCTTTCAGACCCTTTACTATGACATATGCAATTTAGCCTAAATGCATCTCATTTCTCTGGATCAGCTTTGAGATTTTTTCTACACTTTGATTGGAGTCCACCAGAGGCAAGTCTAATTGAAGGGACATGTTTAAAAAACGTTCCACACCTTTCTATATAAAGGTCTCACAGCTGTAAATATATATCTATATCTAGATAGTTAATTCAATGTTAAACACACATACACACACCAGTCAAGCCAAAAGACTTGCTCTACCAACAGAAATCTCACTTTAACAGTGCTCTCACTACTGCAAGGGATTCTGGGTATTTGTGTTTAGCAATGTATTAACTATCCACTTCAGGTGGAAGGGGTTTTTATCCACACTTTTTCCCGAAAACCCAAAACTCTTTCGGTATGTACTTTACAAGTAACACCAAGCCTCCATAGGAAGCCAGTAACCAACCTCATGCTGATGAGTTGCATTAACAACGAAATAGCTGTCCATGAGTGGTTCACTGGCTTTGCTCCTCTTCCTGAGTTGTTTCAAAGCTGTTGTATACAGCAGACACATACTCCAAGGAATCCATGTATAAAGAGGAATTATGAGGCAAAAATGTGGTTCTTTGTTGAGCTCATTTGCATACACCTACCTAGAATCCCTTGCAGTAGTGAGAGCACTGTTAAAGTGAGATTTCTGTGGGAAAAGAAAGTCTTATGGCTTGACTGGTGTGTGTATTTGTGTTTAGCAATATATTAACAATCCACTTACTTCAGGTGGAAGGGGGTTTCAATATATATATATCTCAGAGCAAAATCCAAACCATGAGTTCTAAGGACGCACAGATCTGGGGGGAAGGCTAGAAAATATTTTGGCTGCATTTAAGGTTCCTAAATGCATAGTCGCCCCAATAATTCTTAAATGGAAGAAGGTTGGAACAACCAAGAATCTTCCTAGAGCTAGCCATCTGGCCAAACTAAGCAATAGAAGGGCCCCTCCAGAACCAGATTGTCACTCTGCATGAGTTCCAAAGATCATGTAGGGAGATGGGAGAACAGCCATTACTGCCCCACTTCAGTGATCTTGCCTTTATGGCAGCCTGGAGAGACTCGTGAAAGCTCACTATGAATTTGCAAAATGGCACCTAATGGACTCTCAGACTGTGAAAAAACAAGATTATTTGGTCGGGTGAAATGAAAATTGAGCTATTTGGCCACAATTCAAAGAGTCATGCCTGGAGGAAAGCAGGTACTGCTCATCTCCTGCACAATACCAGCCCAACGATGAAGAATGATAGTGGCAGTTTTATGCTTTGGTGGGGTTTTTTCAGCAGCAGTGATGGGGGGACTGATCAGTGCTAAAGGAAACTCCATAAAATACAGAGATATCCTTAAGGAAAACCTTGTCCAGGATATCTCTGTATCTCTGTATGTGTGTTACGTCAAAGTGATATTTCAGTTTTTTATGGTTAACATATTTGCAATGGTGTCAAAAATCTTGGTTTTGCTTTGCCATTATGGAGTATTGAGTGTAGATGGAGATGGAACAAAATTAAGGGGTCTGAATACTTTCTCAATGCATTGTATAAACAGTCTAGACTTCTATGCTTAACGCCCCACAAATATTTGTTAACTACTAAATAAATATATTACAAATCCAGGGAAATGATGGTTCTGCTTTAAAGAAAGTCAACCATAAAACATTATTGCTATTAAAAAATATATAAGTTACATTTCCACCTTCTGTACTCTATACCCTATAAGATATTTGAAATAAATCCTATAGAACAGTGATGGCGAACCAACGGCACAACGCAGTATATAGGGCAGAGGTTTTCCATATCGCTGGTAATCTGGGGGGTGGCACTACCTTAAAGCGCAAGAGGTGGCCGCCTTATGGAACACAGACAGGGGGCGCAGAGTCCGAGGGTTCTGCGGCTTCCATCAGAATAATATATTACATTTTCAATAGGATTCCCTGGTGGCCAGATGGTAGAGTGCTGGTCTGCAGTTGTGCCTGGTGCAGCCCATTGATATTGCGGGCCTGCAGTTTCAGCACTCAGTAAAGCAGTCCGTGCAGTTACCAGGATTCCCAGCTTGTGCTCTGACTTGCCCAATGAGCGCCAAGCCAGAAGTAGCGATTAATAAGGCCTGCGTGAATGGGTCACCTGAGAATTGCTTTCAGAAAACTGGACAACCAGAAATTTATTATTAACTACAGTGAACCACCAGGGATTTAGCACACATCACACACAGCCAGACTTCGTTTTTCAAGTTTAATTGCAGTGTTGGCACTTATATAAAATAACTTTGTTTCCATTTGCAGTTTGAGCAAAAAAAGGTTTGTCATAAATAATACAGACGCAATCAGTTTCACAAACATGGATTACCCAGCCTGTCTGACAGATGTCCATCCTTTTGACTTCAATAGGATACTGGCTGGCATGGGAATGCATTATTGGTGCTTGCACAAGTATCTCCAAACATAACACAGTCATGGCCAATAAATGTGTTGTATCTCAACCAAAAACAGCCTTTGTCTCTCTCCAAGCTAACAATCTGTATGTGCTTTAACAGCCTACTGAATAACGAAACTCTAATTCCACTAATATCTATTGCCACCATCTACTTAGCTCAACAAGCAACACCTAGCGCTAGAAACCGTCATATGGTTTAGTGCTATTCTGTCCAACACTCAAATTAAAGGTTTGGATCTCCCCCTGCATTTCTTAATAAGTTGAGCAGCACTACGCAATCTCCTCTTCTGTGTTCTCTCTAATCACCGTCATACAAGTTCACATATAGTGATAAATATATGGTATATTATAATGTTTACAAAGTACTAGGTGATTAATGTCCTATGGCCAAGAGCTCACTGTAACAGAAGACTCTGTTACAAGGCAGACCGCATTGTAGCAGAAACCATGGATTACAGAGAACTATACGGACAGTTATTCTAGAATCCCAAAACGTTTGTGTGAAATTGTCAGGATTTGTGCTTCCAGTTCCAGCCGTTAATGGACGTTTGAGTCAAATTATCTTTTCTAGAAAGAATTCAATTTCACTTTCTCCTAATAATGCATATTTACCAAGTGTTTCAAATTATAAAGAACACGGACCCATAAATATAAGCAAGTATGCCAGAGAAAATACCTTTGAGCTTCTTCTTTTTGTTTCTCAAGTTCTATGATCTTTCTCTCCTGTTCCTTCATTTTGAGTCTCTCTGCTTCCATATCTTTCTGCTTGTCCAACTGCTGCTTATTGTGCATTTCTCGTAGTTCCTAGCGGGAGAATTAATATGTCAATACAGAGGGGAGAGTGAGCCAAAATAAAGACATAAAATACATTGACTTTAATCACTGTAAATTAAAAGTCCCATACGGTGTGTATTCATTCTGAATGCTATACGCAAGTCTTAAGTCTGAGTGTCACTCCAACCCTTTCCATGTAAAAATAAATAAATAAATAAACCAAAAAAAAAAAGGTCCAGCTGACATCAGCCTTGTGTGGTCCAATCACTAGGAGAAGCCTGTGATTGGACCGTGTCACTGGCTCAGAGAGCATGCGGGACACTCTGGGACGGCAAGGGGAAGGAGGAGGGATGAAGGTTTTATTTATTTATTTAAAAAAAAAAAAACTGTGCAACAGAGGCAGGAGGGAAAGAATGGGAAGGCTATCCTCTCCATGCAGGTGCACTGAATTGACATTAGGCAGCACAAAACAGCGTTCTGGGCTGCCAAGCCACGTGTGCAGCTAGCCTCCAGCACACAATTAACAATACCTATATGCAGTGTTTCAAGTGCAGTATTTTTAACCCTTTAAGGCTCCCACAGAGTACAAACACAGGCTGTTATTCTTTAGAGTCTACCTGCCTCATGTGTTGTAGTGACTAAACAAATACATTTCAAATATATGGACCTCACAGGCTTCCTGAAGCTCTAAAGATTCTGCCAAGATTCCATGTGTGTTAATAAAGAATTGATCCACAATTGCATAGGCAATTTTTAGTTTTTTTTAACAAAGTGTAAATTAATGCATGCTACAGTGTAAATACAGGGTTTTAATTTTAAAGCTACTTTAAAATCACTTTAACATGTCTCTCAAAATTTAAAATGGACAAAGATGGTCGCTTTAATTAAATTTTCTTCAATTTACTATGCCATATGGGGCATTACTATTAGGTTACCCCCAAGAAGACATCCAGCGCCAGGAGTAGCTCCTACAGTTGATCTTGCACGCCCCATCCAAACAACATCCCAGCATTAGTGCAGTCAAATCATAGGACTCTCGTAGAGATGCCTGTCAGTGGACTGTTTTGCCAACTCAATGTACATGCATGCAAACTGAGCTGGCATGGGGGGGCGGAGAATAGATGAGGGGGGGATGGAATATTTTATTTAGAATTAAAAAAAAAAACACAACAATAATATTTAAAAAGTTACAGAGGGAGGTGAAAGGGAGCAGACACAAGGAGGGGAGTTTGAATCCATCTTTCGCATGTAGGCACAGGGAGAAAGATTATTACCTCTGTCGCCAGACTGTATGCACTAACAGACAGAACTGACATTATGTATCTTTTCCTAAAGCAGAACAGTATATAGTGTATTTTTTAATATACAAACTCCATCCCCAGTAAGTTTTCAGTTTGTAGATTGCTCACAGTAAAATAGCTAAACAGCCCAATACGTGACCTTTGTAATGTCAGTCAGGCACATTGCCAAAGCTGCGCTGCAGAAGCAGACCTAAACAAAATAAATCTGAATTTAGAAAGGAGCTGATCGAGTGATCTTTGTTCAAGGCAAGTAATGCAACATTCATGTTGGGCTGTCCACCTTGGAAAAAAACAAAACATTAAATTCTATGCAATAGGTTTTGCGTCACCAGGCAGCCCCGAGACAAGTGAAACAGAATGGAAAATAAAGTTATGAAATGCACCCAATACCTTTAGCTGGTTATTAAAGACATCAATCTCCTGAAGTTTAGCTCTTGTTTCCTTCTCTACATCATCCAATTGTTCTCGGAGTTGCTGGCGACCGATTTCCTTAGCTTCCAAAGCTCTTCTTAGTGTTTGGAGAGAATCTCCTGTAAAGACATTCACCATAGATACTGTTTTTATAACTGTAAACCGCCCGCCTACCCCTTTGCTGCAGCCATCGCAGTACAAGTGGTCATGTCTCTTTTGGGAGTTCTTTTCAAAAGAAAAGTATTGGTGCCACTTTAAGGTTCAACTTCTGGTGGTTGATGCATTTTGGGATTCATGGAATTTCAGAACATACAGGGTTTTTTTAACTCATCTACAAAGTGGACAAGTTTATGAACCTCTGTCCTGTATAAACTTGGACAATAGTTTGTTTATTCCGTATAACGGATCTTCAATATCTCTTTACTTACTATGGCCTCTAATAGTTTGGGATAAGGTTTTCAAGTGAACACAATATGTAAGAACATCTTTCAAATGATAGATCTATAAAAGTCACCATTAAAATCTTTGTGAATTTCTGTATATAAATCATTTAAAAGGTTTTTTTAGCCGATTGTTAGCATTTAAAAAGCTCATACATAGATATTGATGGTGACTTCTGCAGATAATTCATTTGAAAGCTATTTCTAACAGATTGTGTTCATTTGAAAAGCTTAGCCAGAAATATGAAATCAAGGCCTCTAAGCAAGGTTTGACAATGCCAATCATTCAAATTGAAATGATATTTTCCATTTTCACTTTGTATATATTATGGTAGTTTTGAGGATCCTTTAAATAAAATCCATGAATCCAGAAAGTGAAAGAAAGTGGTAATTAACCCGGCCCACTGTGCGGGGTAATTTATTTATGTTTTAATGTTCTAAAACTTTCTCAGGATTACAGATAGTTAACGTGTGCAGCAGGGCTTTGGCAGCAAAGTAAACGTGCCTTCTAATTTCACAGGCTAAATGTTTAACATATTCTTTAAAAGCCCACTGCGCATTTCTGCAACTTCGGACTTGGTTGAAGACAGAATTTGTGCAGAACTCACTGTGCAAACTGTTTTGTTGAACTTGCTTTAATTGGTCGTTGAGGGATTGTTTTTCAGGAATCAGTTTTCCAAGCAGCTGCTGTGACTCCTGTAAGAAAAACAAGGACGTTCATTTATTTTTCACAGAATGCACAGTATTCAGTGTAAACGTCTGTATACAATCTCTGCATTCATGCCTTGAAAGAATGAACAGCACGTATCACAGATGGGAAAACCTTTAAGAATTTTAAACAGGGAGCTTAGTGATGTAATAGCTATTTAAACATTACAATCAATCAAACTGTAATGCATTTCTAATCATGATGTATTTATCATCGCGTTACATGTCTTGCAAAGGAGTCGACAATATCTGAAAACAACAAATATATACATTCATAACATATATAATAGTAATGAACATTTAGCCCAGCTGTTACCCAAGACTGCAGAGGGCTAAGCGAGCCCCGGGGCTGAGATAGTAATGTCTCCACTTGTACACATCAGGAAGATTCCATGTAACAATAGCTGAACAGAAGTGTTGTAACTAATTTTATTATTTTAAATTCAACACATAAAGCCAGAAGGAATCGACAGTATCCATTTATGTTTTGGGCCCTGGGACACCTATTAGTCATTGCACATTGCACAAGAAATTCTAATTCTATATTGTTTTAAAGGAACACTCCAGACCACTAAAGCACAATGGCTTGCTGAAAAGCTTTCTCTGTGAAGAGTGTGTCATTTTTTCGTTTTGCAAAAAGTGCAGGTTTCAATAGAAGATTACACTTTTATAAATTAACCTGGTTACACCCCCTTGGCTTTCAAGCAGACAGCCGGTCCTTGTTGCTTCCTGGTTTGTATAGCTCAGTAGAACTAAACTTAAGTGGCAGCAATTGCCCAGAGCACCTGCCTTGCAAAAGATTCTCATTGAGAAGTCTGTGATTAGACAGCCAAAGAAAGTGTGGGCGGGGCTAGAAGGCTGCAGACAAGAGAACTGCAGATGCTGCGGACATAACCCAAATGGAAAAATGCATAATTAAATGTGTGCATGTTTTCATTAGGGTACATCTACTAAACAGTGACGTTTATTTTTTTATTTGGGCAGTGGAGTGAGCCATTAAACTGAAAAGATTTCTTCACGCAAAAACTCCACGTGACTATCTTTTCTGGGTAGCAGTTTAAATTACTAAGCAAGTGTACAAAAAATACAATGGATATGGTGGGCTCAACACTTATGTGAGGGATCCCCTTAACCCCCCACAATAAAATCAGACACAATTTTTTTTTTTTTTTTTTATAATATATATCTCTAGTATACATGAGTAATGGTATTAAAGATTTTTAATGGAAATTATTTTTTATATGTAGGTTTCAATTTATTGTTATACCCTACTCATAGTTCTTAGAATGAAATGTTTATTTATATATTTTACTATTTGGTATTTATCTTCATTTTATCCCCTCCATTTTCTTTTATAGGGAAGTATTTAAGGATAATACTATATTGTGGTGTTTTATTTAATTACATATCGAATATCCTAGACATACTCTGTATTCATTTTTTAAGTGTCTTATATAGACTATGGTATGTATTTGGATAATACTGAATTTTACATAATTACTTTGTTTCTTACTTATACATTTTCTTTATATGTCTTTTTTCTTTCATATACCAATGTGTTTAATTTGGGACTAAATGGAACATATAAACGTTTCCCTTACAATTATATTATCATTTGATGGATTCCTCCGTCTGAAAGTCCAGAAGTGAAACGCACATGTGCATTCCACAGAGAGAGGAAGTGATAACATTAATTGGAACACATGTTGCGTTGCACCGGATCATGTGACCAGCCGACGGTCGAAACGTGAGCTCCAGAAGACGGAACGTGCGTTCCATAGAGAATACTTTCGGGTACACAGATGCCGTCGATTTTGCAATTAAGACGGTATAAAAGACGGAACTCTCAGATACACAGCATTAAACAACTGAGGAAGCCAGCTTATGGCGAAACACGTTTTGGACTGAACACTTCATTGTTTCTTAAGTATATTGATCACTTGATCAGATTGTTTTATTTTATTTACATCTATTTGGGTTTTAAAGACACAAAAGAGGGCTGTGGATCGCCCTTAAGGATCCAAGGGCGCTATACACTAGAGCCAGGAGACCTATTGGCTCTTTCCTTGTTAGTTGGAAATTTTTCATCCATACTGTGCTACTATTTGTTTACACCATCTGCACTATGGTTGTTTTTTCTATTTTCCACAAATTTGTGTAAATTGTTCCACCGTTTGTACCCATCTTTAATACCATTACTCAGGTATGCTAGAGCTACACTTATATTGTTTTGTGAGTTTAAATTACTGTTCAAATGAAAAAATATATTTAGATACTTTTGACTTACATAATAAATAAATAACTATACATAAAAAATTGAAATCTAAATGTCTATGATTCACAACTTAAAATACACTTAACATGATCAAAAAAATTTAAAGTAATCTATAAAAGGAACAGTATACAATTCGGGCATAACTCTGGATAAATGATTTACCTGCAGCTGCTGCTGGAGATGCGTAATCTCCGCTATTCTTAGCTCTCTAGACTTGTTGGTGCTTTCTATGTCATGCCGTTGCATAGTGAGACGACCACGGATGTCCTGTAGCTTTCCTTCTAACTGATTCTTTTTGTCATTCTTTAGGAGAAACAAGACAGGAAGGTGTGATTGGAAGCATGTCTTTGAGGCAGCCATTTCCCATAAGACGGGATGCTAGGAGGTAGATGTCATCCTTTTTACTATAAGTTTTTTACTTACTAGTGCTTCTAGCTCAAACTCCAGAGTCTTTTTCTTTGCCTTCAAAACAACAATGTCTTCCTGCTCTTTGTTCCTCTGATTTAATAGTTCTTGTCTTCGATTTCGCTCCCACTCCAACTGCCGCTGACGCTCAAGTTCCCGCTTTGCGGCCTATAAATCATGATTTAACAATACAGTTATAACTTCACACTGACTAAAAGCAGACATTCACAGAGCAAAGCGGTAAAGCAGGTTAGAAAGGTTTTCACACAGTGGGCTTTAGAGGTAAACAAACTGTTATTAACGTTGTCCTAAAAGTTCTATCAATACATACTATTTTGACAGTAAATATGCCTCCTCCATTTCTACACGCCTATGGATACCATTTAACAAAAGGATGAATTATCGCCATCTTAAAGGGCTCCTATGCATTAGGTGTATTTACGGGGGATGGGGGGATATAATGCAGTGGTTATGATCCTAGCAGGAAGCAAGCTAAGTTCTGGGTAATGAGGACCATGTTGTAAGAGGAAGTGGATGTTCACACCAATACCGCACAAAGTGAACGAACACTGGGGAGTAAATTAAATATACAACAAAGAATGGGTTGGCAACAGAGCTGCTGAGGAGTGTGGAAAGTAATTTTTACCATTGTGTACCTTGAGAGAAACATTCACTTACCAATACAATGGAAATATATCATTTTTATAGACGGGTACTTATTAGTCACATATAAAAAGAACAGGTGCCTTAACTCGATAGGGATAAGTCCCAAATAAAAATCTAAAATGAAGAAAAGAATTTCTAAACCTCTTTCATGTAACAGAGTTATTTATAAAATAAAAAACAACATGATCGATACATCATAACTGCTTCATTAAGCTAAAGTTGTTTTGGTGACATACTGTCCCTTCAATGTAGACAGCGAAGCTCAAAGTAGTTATTATGATGTTATTTATATAGCGCATCAAATTCCGCAGCGCTTTACAATGGGTGGACGAACAAACACGTAGTTGTAACCAGACAAGTTGGACACACGGGAACAGAGGGGTTGAGGGCCCTGTTCAATGAGTTTACATGCTAGAGGGAGTGGGATATAGTGACACAAAAGGTAAGGATAGTATTAGACTAATGACACTTACAGAAGAGGCATAGATTGTGTTACTCCTGGTGTGCGAATTAATCACAAAATAAACTACACAAGAATTGCTTATTTCTGTGGGTTTCAAAATACAAAATTGATGCCAAATTCAAGCAACTGCTCAAATTGAAGACAGAACACACGCCAACAATGACTAGCACTTCGAGGGCATTACTTGCCATTAGAATAATATGAACATTCTACCTAATCATTAAACATCTGTCGCACCTTGGGCAGCAGTTACCAGTAATCCAGTTTACCTCTCTCCTCTCGATTTCTTTCCTCCTCTCTTCCTCCCGCTGCCGTTCCAGCTCTCGTTGTTTCTCCAGCTGCTTCTCCAGCTCTTGCTGCCTCTTCCGTTCCAGTTCCTGCCGCTCTCGTTCTTTTCTCTCTTGTTCCGCACGCTCTAGCTGCGCCAGCCGCTCCTGCTCCTTCCGTTGCTGCTCTAAGAGAGCCTGCCTCCTCTTTTCCAATTCAAGGTTCCCACGCTCAAAATTTTCTCGTTTCTTATCTTCAAAAGTCACAACTAGGAGACGGAACAATACGTAGTAAGAATTAATTCCTTTCTAATCTTTAAAAGAAGACACTTTATTTATAAACCTTCGTTCTGGCTCAGAATCCAAACAATCACCAGAAGATTTTAGAAAGAAACCACAGATCAAATTTTAATCTTTAAAAAATATAAAAGCAGATGCAATACCTGACAATTTCTTGTCTGCTGGCTGGGGCTCTTCTTCAGTTGGTTCCTCAGGTAATCGCTGGTCGACAGACACAGAGCTTATAAGCGAGATCCCACTTCCAGACCGTACCCTTCTGGAATATTCAGAGATTATTTTAACACCACTTTACAGTAAAAACAGGTCTAGCGGCTTTAAAAAGTGATCGCCAATCAACTGTTTCCTTAAAACACACATGCAATCTTCCCACAAGTACCTACAAAAGGTCAAAGTAGTAAGAGACAATGAAGGCAGGCATTTGTGGTAGCAGAATGAAAGTAGAATGACCACCATTATTTTGACACACAGATAGGCAAGCATGTTACAGATAGATAGGACTGTTTTTAAAATAAATTTTTTTAAAGTGCATGTTTCCTTGGTTTGATATAGGATGACAGGCAATCATATTACAATCCTCGCTGACTCTTCCCGCAGTCCTGGAGTTAATTGTAAATATAGCCATACAACACTATGAATAAACCCAATTAAAATGGGATGCATGAGACATCACAACCTTTTTATTCAACAGGCCCCCAGAAAAACTGCAAACCAGTCTCCATTCAGACCCTTCCAGGCGTGATATTCTGCCCACCTATTCAAAGTATTGATTGTGACAAGTGGTAATTACTTTGCACCGTCATCCACGACAAAGGGTTATAGTGATTAAAAAGTAAGTAATTCCAGGATGGCCCAAGGTTCAGACTATTTTATTTAAGGTTCTGGGTAGCAGTGTCAATTGTTTGATAACAAACAATGCATTCAGATATTTAAAATCAATAAATATGTAAGAAAAACACTTCTACCAAGTCACTAGGACCAATTGCCTATGATTAGCACATGCATTATATATATATATGTATGTGTGGTGCTAGGTTTTCAATACTACAGGTGTGATCTGGTAGCTTGTTATGGATATGATATGGTGTGTTTACCAGGAATCACTAAACTGCAGGGGTATCAACTAGAAGCCATGCATCTAATAAATATACAAATGGTTTGAGAAGAAACATGTACAGAGGGAAATACAGAGAAAGAAATTAGGGACTTAAGAGAATAATGTATTTTGAGGGCCTACTCCAAGGAATAGTTCCACAAAACTGCTGGAGAAAATATAAAGATGAAACCTAGTGCAGAAACCTTTGTTTCCTGTTCTGTACTTCTATATACGGTTTTTTTTTCAGACTAAGTTAAGTTCCCTGCCTCCCAAAGCTCAGCTTCTATTCCCTTTCCAAAAAGTTAAAAAAGATTAACCCCTTAAAGAAATTAGGAGCCTTTGGCCCTGCAGGGAAACTAGTAGAGGGAGAAAATTCTATCTGCCATTGTAATATAATAAACAAGATATGTGTGTCCCTGCCAACGTAGATCTATAGAACATGACTCCACCTCACTTGTGTGCTTTCTTTATAGCATTAAGGACCTGGATATGTTGTTTTGCAGGGAGCCTGTATAGTAAGATATTGTAATGTTTGAGGGAGCCATACTGATATCTGTTCCTTTGTGAAGGACTGGAGATCTGTGCCTTCTGCCCCAGCAACTCACTTACAGGATTATTCATTAAACTCAGAACTGTCAGGAATTCAAAGAGCATTATTAATTGCAGACCAAAATAGCCAAACTGAACATTTTCCAAGTCTGATATGCTTCCATTTCAGCTATTTTGGTGTTAAATTACAAATTTGTTTTAGTGAATAAACCCGACAGAGGCTGGGGTTCCTAATCTCCCTGGAATCTCCTGTCCTTCCCTGACCCTTCTGTAATTGGCTTTCACTATCCTCCATAACTAGCTCTACCTATGCTGCTACCTCTAACACAGGTGGGGAGGGGGGGTATAAACTTGCAGCATGAATGCCAAAGAGAAAAAAAGCTCCAATGTGCAACACAGATCAAACAGTTTTGTAAGCTATGGAACTTGCCTGCTTGGCCTCTTTCTGATGGTTGATGTCCTGCATGTTAGAGAAAGCAGGTGATGAAAGTGGCAGAGAGACACAGAGGAAACAAAAAAAATGATATTTTCAATCCACAGCTTTATATGGATTAACTTTCTCTCGTCCTGAAATTACAACTGGTCATTGACCAGAAAATGCACAGTTGGGAACTGAGCTCATCCCGCTGCCTGGTGGAAAATGCAGACTTCCTGGGTAAAGTGAAAAGTAAGCCCCTTCCATAAACTTTTACATTTAAATTTCTCTAATTGTATTTTCATATGAATGTATCTCAGCCATAACCCTAGAACCTGCACCATGCATGGCACAGGCTGCAATCCCCACCACCTTTGGAAAAACCCACAATTTGATACAAAGATAATCTGCTACAGGTGGACTAAAAGAAGAGCATTCCCTAAATTAACCAACTACAAATGTGTTAAACATAATCTGAGTATTCCCAGAACACTTTTTTTTTTTTTTACTATGCAAACATTTTAAACTAAAGAAAGCTGTCAAAGTAGAGATTTACAGAAATTTTAAAAAATATTGTATTTACCAATACAAACACATCTGTTGTATATAGGTGTATATGCAATATATTTTTTTTCTTCCTTTTTAACTGTTGTACCGTTGCAGAATAGTAATTGCATCAAATTTAAGAAGTATGTCTTTATTGAACAGTGGTTTCTAGTAAAATGAAATAAAACTGAATGTCAAAAATCAGGCCAAAATTTCCAATTGGGAAAAACTGTCAAATTCTGCCATAGCGGTTTCTCTACTTTAGCCTGAATTTTGCAATTCACAATTCAGACATTAAACCACATGGTATCCTCACACAAACCATACACCAAAGAATACACACACTACTACTGAAAACTGTAGAAAATAAAGAAGTAATAAAGTTAAAGGATAAATGTCAAGATATATAATTTGTGCAGAGGTCTAATTTCACGACATTTGTTTTCCCAATTCTCCACATTGTTCTACAACACCCACAATGCTTTGCGCTGTCCCAAGTAGTTGAGAGCTGCATGCTGGCTACCCTCATTCAAAACACCAGGAAGGCCATGCGTGAGGTGTGCAATTAAACACCAAAGTGAGAGTCGTCCATGGGAGAAGTGAAGCAAAATAAATGCCCAACCCATAAAACGGAGTGAGGATCTTCACTAATTTTTAGATAATGTCTACTACATAACATGCAACTTTGCAACTGGAGCCACTTTTCCTAATCTTTCTTGTTTTTTCATGGGTGATTAGAAATCTTTCTGGTATTTTTCATAACGATACTAAATAGTCCTATATTGTAAATGCGCCATTAAATTCACACATGGAAGGCCGTTGTTAAACCAGTGGAAAAGCAACAGTTTGCAAATTGGATCCACCTGCTCTCTAACAATTTTTCTGCTGTTGGAGAAAGATTTTCCTGAGCAGTTTTAGTAAGACGGTAAACAATTTATTAAATAAAAGACAAAAAGGGGGAAGAATTCCTTTAATGGGAGTACAGAACCCATGTAGATAAAATATGAATGGAAATTCCTTGTAAATATTTTTCACCCAGCTCTGCTCAGTATTTACAAGAGTTTCCATTAATAAGGAATAAGAAAGGAAAAGAGAAAATAAAACACAAAAAAATAAAGAACTTGATGCAGCACTTTACCCCAAAATTTAGTTCAGTTTTATTTTTGGAAACAGAAGGAAGTACTCTACAGGCACTCAGTATACTCCACAATGTCGGGTGCTTCATGTCAAGGACTGTGGGGTGCAGTACATGCACATCATGTGAACAATTATACTTTCTCTATGAGGATTGCATTTAATGACGACACGTTTAATAGAATTTAACTTGTGCGGTTCAGATCCATTTAACTAGCAAAAGCTTTAGTGAAGAAATGTGGAGAAACATTTGTCAGGGAAACATGCACAGTTTAGCTGATAAGGTTAGGGAATTACTTTTTGTATCTTAAAACTGACATATCAGAGGACAATTTTGGACTTGGCAAACAAACTCATCCCCTCCTCCAAAGTATTTTAATGACCACGCTTACCTAAAAGATGGTGGAATATAGTCAGGGGGCAAGACAGGAGGCAGAGGCTGACCAGCCATAGCCATGTCTATTAAATGCATCGCCAAGATAAACTCTTCTGCTGTTAGTTTGCCATCTTGATCAATGTCTGAAAGGTTCCTAAAATAGAATCATGAAATTGTTGAAAATGGGTCATCCCAAAAAGTACTAACAGTAAGTATTGTGTGCCAAATAGGTAGGGTGGGAACTCTGTAAATACTGTAAAAACAGATATGCTTTAAACACAAAACATCTGGGTTTGCTTGACAAAATTACTGTGCAGCACAAGAAAATATTGACCAATCACAGATAATGAAGAAGCAGAATCTCTTCACTGCTCACTTTTGGACCTAAGTATCATCAGTTGCCTATAGATTACTACAATCTAAATGACAACATTGTCATGTATGTGCCCACATAATGCCTACCATATTGTAGCAAGCTGAGCTTGTGGTAAACTAGACTGCATAAGGATAGTTCGGGCTTGAGGTCCTAAAGGAAATAAAAATGGAAGAATTAGGCTTTAATGGAAACAAATATACATTTTTTAAAAATATAGTACAATTCAATTTTATTTATTTTTTAAACCACAATATTCGTTAATGTTCTGCAACTAGCCACCGTCCCATTAAACATCACTATTTCCATTTTATGTTTAACACTTCCTTCCCACATTTGTAATTATTTATTTTTCTTATGTGCATAGAAGATCTGTTAAAAAGGAGCACTATACCCACTACAGCCGCTCACAGTAGTGATTATGGTGCCAGGGGTTGCCTGGCACACTCTCAGAGTAAGTATTCAAACTGTTTAACTGTTCCTTTAGTTTAACTCCTATTCTGAATAATATATTCAGTTATTACGAGAGCATTTGATTCAATTAGTACGTTTCGTCTGAAAGAGGCACTGTGTATTTAGAGGAAAAAGCACATTCTAATGGCCAGAAAACTGTTAGCTACTAGTTGTGCTATTACTCAAACACAAAACAAAAACCCTTTCAATATGAAAGGAATGGAATGCGATGCAAAGCTGATGAATGAATTCCAAATGTCCCATGTTCACTTCCACGTGTATACAAATCGTGGTCAAATAATAAAACTGCTCCATGATTCTTAACACTTGGCCCATGACCACGCATGAACAGGACTTATAAATAATGATTCCTGGCTCTCACACACCCGCAAAGAACCATGGAGGATGGAAACCTCAATAATAATACTTCAATGATATTTACTGCAGCATTACATTAAATGTGGAGTTCCCTTTTAATTCAGTCTGAATTAGCAGCAGGTCACACTGTAATGTGAAATGTTGATAATTTAAAGTAAGGTGAATTTCAGATTTTAGGTTAAAATAGTCCTACTAAAAATATAGCGGAGTTGGAGAATTTCTTCCGGTTTAACTATTTTGCTTTAAAATGTGAAATTCGCTATGAACTCACACTGAATTACCAACTATTCACACATTCGTGTATAAATTGTGTGTGGAATTAGTGAGTAATTCCATAAGGAATTCAAGGTGAATTTCAAATTTAAGGCCAAAATAGCCAAACTGGAAGCATAGAATACTTTGTTTAAAAACTGCAATGTTTGCATTGGGGGTTTAATCCACCACTAGTGGCTGTGGTGCCAGTAGAGTCGCTTCCATGGCACTGAACCAGTAAAAATGTCACATGACGCGAAAGCACCCCATAGGACAGCAATGACTCCAAGCTTTCCTAGGGGGAAGCTTGGATATATGCGCAGAACACGCACAACAGTACCCCACTGATTCAGAGGAAGCCATGCCACCACAATGACGTCACGGGAGGCAGCAAGGTAAACAGCGCCAAGGAAACCCAAGCTGTACAAAAAGGTTAGTAAAACTTTACATTTTAGCATTTTTACTGCATACGGCTGGGGGACCTGAATTTACCTATGGATGAGGACACTGAAGAGTGAGGAATCTCGTTTTGTATTCCTAAAGCTTTAGTGATCCTTTAAATTGAAAATTCTTTTTGAGTTCACTTTGAATTCTCATGTTAGTGAATAACCCTGTTAGAATGTCTAAATTTACTCAGAGAGGTCTCCAAGAAACTATTTATATTCTTGTAGAATATAAACCCATTACCCGTTAAATGGCCACTCATTGTTTTGTCATGGCTGTTGAACAACTGTCTGTACTTGAGTCTTGAAGACTGTGGAACAGCCCATTCTTGCAAAGGGGGAGGGCTGAAATGAGAAAAAAAAAATTAATCAGATAATTACAAGAAAAATAAAAACAAAAGTCTTATATGGTCAGAAGTCAAAAAAGGAAATATATACACACACACATATATACATATATGTCAGAATTTCAAACAAAGCACAGAATTCGAGCATTCAATGCTTTTAGTATGTGGGCATTAAATACACTTGGAGATTCTTCCTTTAGAAGATAAATTTCAGAAATATGCAGTTAGACACCAGTCTTACATAAAAACATTATAACAGAATGGCCACTATTCCAATAATCCATGCTGCAAACCATACCAGTACATATTAAAGGACCACTAAAAGGCACACAGACAACTTCATCTCATTGAATTGGTCCGAGTGCAGTGGACCTGTAGTTTTAACCTTGCAATATAATGCATTATTGTTTTGTGAAATTCAGCCCTGTGACATAGCTTAAAATGAAAAACTTTAACATATTCTTACTAAACACTTTCTAATAAAATAAATAAATAAAAATAAAAAAAGACTTTAAATCAACTGTTACCAAACTACAAACTCTCCTCTTATTAATACTTTTGTTTGGGAGCGGTGAAGATAAGATCACATCCTGTGTGAGGGTTTAGAAGTGATTGTCATTTACAGATAAATACTGTGATGAAAAGCCCTTGTCCACTTCTACATGGAGAGGACTAATGGCTAGCCTCTTGCCTCGTGACTTTGGCCCCTCTCATCATCCCATGCTGTAACTTTAACCCCATGGCGATTTGACTGTGGTTGTGGGATCTGAGCGCTGTTCGGATATATTGAGCGTTCAGATCCAAGCTATCTGGAATGTGGGGGTTCTGTACAGTGACAGGAGTTATGTATTTGTGCTGTTGTTGTGAATAGGGATATTTTCTGTAACTGGAGATGGTTGGCTTACCACACCCAGTTAAGCCACTTATCTCATGCCTAAATCGGTGGAACTGGTTTGGGCAGGAAAAGCCATGCTTGCAGTGATCACAAAGGACTTTGACCTAACCTTTAAACCAATGGAAGGAATTGCCTGATTTTTGAGTATGTTTGTATTTGGAGTATGCTGAATGTGAATGTGATGTATACTTTTAAAGTTATGAATATTGTGTAAAACTGTATATTTTCTGCCTGTGATAATTAAGTTAGTCTATTGTGTTGAGATAATCGTATCACAGGCAGAGGAGAGGATTTCTGCTTGTATGAATGGGAGTGTTTAGCTGTGTTGTAATGTATTGGTTTGTTCTTCAAAACCCTGTGGGTGGTCCTGTATGTGTAAGACCTCCATAAAAGAAAGCCCTTTGGTGCCATTTAACAGAATTACTTGACCCTTTCTTGAAGCCTTGGCTCATGCTTAGAGGCTGGGATAACTACACTCTTGGGGATTGCTATATCACAATACTCCCCTGAGTGTAAGCTCTTGTAAGAGCTTGTTCCTGCTTCCTGCTCTCTGGATATAGGAGAGGTCTACCCACTGGAAGCTGGATCCTGGCCTTGGGTCCAGGGTGGGTGAAAGATGGCGAGACCCCGGCACAGCTGCATCGCTGGAAGTGGGGTCTGCGGTGATGATGGTGTCGGTTGGAGTGCTTGGGGTCCTTGGCAAGCAATAGGAGCATCGATTGGCGGAGGTACTCTGTCGGAGTGCCACCGGTCCGTCACAAATACATAACTCCACTTCCCCTCCATCGTCCCTATCTCTCTGGCTCCAACCAACGGGAGATTTTGTTTTACTAGTCGATAACCCACCGAGGCTACAAAAGAGCTACATGGCGATATGCTATATGTTGCGGATACTTCACTGCCCGAATATTTTTTTATTTTTTTATTATAAAATCACATAAATATATATTGTAAATATACTTAACGAAAACATGCAAGCATATAATTACCCAATTTCATTGGTGGTATATCTAAAAATAGCTTGCTACAGCTGCAGCCACTGCAAGCCCTCCCATTCTTCCCCAGCCCAGACTTTCTGTGGCTGTCAAATCACAGACTCCCCAATGCAGTTCAATGTGAAGTCTTTGCAAGGCAGGTGCCCTGGGCCCCTGTGTGAGCAAAACAACCAGGAAGTAACAGGACTGGTTGCCTGACACTGAGGGGGTGTAGCAAGGTTAATTCATAAAAGTGCCCATTTATATTGAAATCTCCAATTTTTTGCAAACTCTTCATACATAAATCCCACATCTGGAAGGTTAAATCACTTACATTGCAACATCAAATGATTGAGCCTTCTGTAACTTAGTGTTTATTTGAGGTCCAGTACCAGATCGGCCAAATGACGAACTCTTTGGCAAGGTGGCTGCAAAGACAATTTCAAGTTTTCTTTTTTATTGCAAGGGATAATAAATTGTTAGTATTAAATAGATACAAATTAGGAACCCTGATTTTTTTTTGTGGTATCATTAAAATCATAGTATCCATTCTCTCTGCACTCCCAATTTATGATATGGTTACAGCAGATTATAGGATTTGATTTAAAATCTGTTACACACTGTAAATAAAGTGATCCTGTCCTTTTAAACCCACGTTTTAAAATACTGCTGTGATTGGTTTTGGTTTTTGATAGAGGGGGGTTGGAAGAGGTTTATAGTTTTTACTGTAAGGCCTTTATTTTTGTATACATACTTCAATGTGCCCTGCTAAAGAACTAGATTCCAACTCATTGACCCTTTGGGATGATCCACTAAACAAGCAATTTGGGAATTAGTAGGGGAAACTTTTTTACAGGGGGTAAGGAAGGCCCGATACCCAAAAGGTGTTTTTACATCTATATTTTTAGGAATGCACGTTTGTATTCCGGACACTATAGGTGTTCCTTTAAATTTAAAACATTGTCTTTTAAAGCAAGCACAATCAAACATTTCTGCTACGGTCAAGGGGATCTTTGGACATTATTTGGTACATCCCAAATAAAGTCATATTGCAGAAGAAAATTGTATATCCCTACCCGATTAGTAGATTTCAAGCTGAAAAGCAAAATTACAATTATATCAATAAAATAAACAGACAATAGGCTTGACATGACTGTGCTTGAAGAAAACGTTTGGATTTTTTCACAGCAATAAAGAATAAAGTGATCAAATAACCCTCACAGAAAGTCTACAGAGCAACGATGACGAATGCAGTGACACGAGGCACAACATCGATTTCTGATTTAAAATAGTATTAAAAAAATAAAATACTAAACATTATATGCTGGAGGTTGTTAGTACAGAAAGAGAAATTTACATTATTTGGGGGGTAAGTGCCTTTTAATGGAAACTCCAAGCACCAAAACAACTTTGGATTAATGAAGCCATTTTGGTGTAGTGATCATGCCCATGCAGTTTTACGGTCCAATTCTCTGCCATTTAGGAGTTAAACCCATTTTGTTTCTGTTTATGCAGCCCCGGTCACACCTCCCCTGGCAGGAACTCACATAGCCTCGCAACATATTTCATGAACAGGAGTTCAAACATTTTTAAACTTCCCTTGTTGCACACTGTGTTTTCATTTAGGAGTTATTATAATATTATTTGTATAGTGACAACAAATTCCGCAGTGCTTTACAGTGGGTGGACGAACAAACAAGTAGTTGTAACCAGACAAGTTGGACACACAGGAACAGAGGGGTTGAGTGACCTGCTCAATGAGCTTACATGCTCGAGGGAGTGGAGTAAAGTGACACAAAAGGTAAGGATAGTATTAGACTGACAGTTGCAAGAGAGGAGTTATCTTATCTTCTGCACTGTTAATTGCCTGCTAGAGAATGCAGCATCTTCCTGTGTGTAAGTCAAGCTCAATTAACAAAAGTTTATAACCTCTAAAGTAAACCCACTGTGCAGTAAGATCGTTTTTTAAAAATGATATTTTTTTCCTTCATGGAGTCCGAGAGTCTCAGCCAGGGAGTTGTGGCTAGGGTTAAACAGGGTGATTTAACTAATAAGATAAAGAGAATTGAGAAACTGCGGTGGTATGATCACACAACCTAACAGTTTCATAATGCTAAAGATATTTCGGTGCTTAGTGTCCCTCTAAGCCATAAAGCAATGTTAATAATGAAGACCAAGCAGCATACCAGAGTGAGCAAAAGCAGGAAGAGGCTGTATGACGGTAGGTGCTCCATTAGCCAAGGGTGGCACTGAGGCAGCAGGGACAGAGGACACTATAGGTGGAGACATTCCTACTACTGGAATGGGAGGCATTGGCACAGGGGCTACAGCTGCCAGGGGAGGCATGCCCGCAATTCCACTTATACCTGGAAAACAGAAAACAACGTACTGGGTATAGACATGGGGAAGATAGAATTAGATGCATCCTTAAGAGAAAGATGGGTGTTTAGTTGAATTCATTTTAAAACAACTTCTGTTCCAAGACTATTGTTTTTCAGCACAGTAACATATCTATCTAATGAAGCATGAGCTGGTTAGATACACTGTCTCCTAATAAATGCTTCACATATTCAACATATATTTATATAGGGCAATATGAAAGTGTGCTGTTCATATGTCCACTGATACTCACCAAACCCTGCAGCAGTGGGTATGGTGACTGGGGGCTGTAGCATGATGGAAGGGAGGACAGATGGCACGGGGTAACCTTGGAGCTTCAGTTTGATGAGTTTCATTGCTATAGAGAACTCCAGTTGGTCCATGCGGCCGTCGTTATTCATGTCAGCCAGTGCCCTGCAAAGAGATTACTGAAGTAACACAATGGGCTGGCACATCCTGAAAATAATGCATCATTTAAAGGGGTGACTGGCCCTACAGTGTCCAGTGATGGATTATCATTTATACACCGATAGGAGGTGTAAGCCACCTTATCTCACCTGCAGGGTGGAGAATATGCTTATGGTCCCAGTTATTTTACTACTCCTCTATAAACATTGCACATTGTGTTAATATTTCTTTTTTTTTCTCTAAAGGTCTCGGGCATTCACGAGACAACGCTAGGTACCATAACCACTTCATATTATAGGAGTGGTTTTAGGGCCAGGTGTCCCTTAGCGCCATCCCACTATAGTATTTAATTATTTTTAAACGGTTTAACAGGAAAGAGGGTCACTGGGTTCCCGCAACTTGTCCCCTCTCTGCCACTGGTATAAATTGATATCACTAATAGAGTTACACTCTGCATCAGCCATATTCCAAGAGGGGGGCAGAGCCACTGGCACCATAACACAACCATAGGATCTGCAAAGCCAAATAATAAGTCCTGGTAAATGCAGAGTCTGGAACCAAAGCAGATTGATTCCGCCAAGCTGTGTCTGAAATTAATTCACTCACTACACCCATGACAACAGGAAAGGGAGCAGAGTAAGAGTTCCAAAATTAATTCTAATCCACGTACAGCAATTTAGGATTTAACCCATTTAAAAATAAATAAATAGACCTCCAAACTCCCATCACTGAGAAACAGTGGTCTTCCATCACATCTTCCACTAGAAAATTGATCAAATCCGCTCCCCTTATAGAACAACACCAGAAAACAATATATCGGTGGTATATGGTGCCGTTACGTATACACAAACTGTATCCCACTGCGTCTCCGACGTGTTGGAGATGCAAACAAGAGAAAGGCTCGGTCCTCCACATTTGGTGGAAATGTCCACGCCTAATCAGGTATTGGGAAGACACAAGAAAAATCATTGCAGATACTACCACCATCCACCTACCCTTTGACCCTAAGACCTTTTTACTGTTAGATATACCCAGAGAAACACCCACACAAGCGAGAAAATTAATGTATCACGTCCTGCTAACCGCACAAAAACTGATCGCACGACTCTGGAAAACAACAGACACCCCTAGCATTCCTGCCCTCATCCAAGACATAGACAAGCAGGCTATTTACGAAACAAGCTTTTCCAAAGCGCAGAATAGCACCAAAGGCAGTGGTAGAACATGGGAACAGTGGCGAGCTTGGAGAAACGCTAACGCACAACACGTACTCACCAATCACAACTTAAAATAACAACTCAACTAACCACAAAAGCTAAATGCAGGTAGACTGGGGGTGGCAATCGCCTCAAAAAATGTGGGGAACATTAGTACGTCTGAGAATAGTATAAAGCAAACTGGGACCTAGGAATGGGTAGTAAGCCTAGATAGTCGGAGCAATTGTACTGTGTTGCATAAGGAGATCAACCGATTACTGTGCGCTGTTGAGCCGCCTCAAAAGCCTGCAAATGTCAACTGCCAAATGTCAATTGTCAATTTTTACATATTCCTAACCGACATAAGATTCGATGTTAAGTGACTGTACCCCCACCCCCTTTTTCCCACCTCCCTTCTCTTTTTCTGTACCCAACCCTACCCATCCCCCGAGTTTTTTTTGATGTGAAAACCAATAAAATACAAATTTCAAAAAAAATAAATAAATAAATAGAAGTCACCAACACAGCATTACATTATTATTATGAATTAATGAATTCAAGCATATTATAAATGTCAATTAGAGAAAAGAAGATAATCCTAAACGGTGAAAGATCTAGTAAATATATATATATATTTTTTGTTAACAGATAAATAAAGCAAGTTATGGCCAGTCTCGCAATAAAAAAAAAAATATTTATTGATCAGAAGCTCCATGTCTCTCTACACTTTTGTTATTTTGTGTGCATCAAAATTCTAGGTTCAAACGCAGCTTGCACAGTTCAAAAAGCACATATGAAATGCTGCAGATATATTTCAGCAAAAATATATAATTACAATCAATCAGACAGTCTCCAGGAATGTCAGCTGCCCATTACCCAGCAAGCTGTGCACACAGCCATTACAGTGTCGGCAAGGTGCACAGTGTCGGCAAGGTTAATGGTATACAACCTGTAGAGTGGGTTGTAGCATATCAACAGAAGTGGATTATTTTATTATTTTGATACATTAGGAAATTATCCCAGCACTAAAGTGTGCTAAACCAGGTATACAATGTTAATAAAAAAAACATTTGGCATTTTAAGTTTGTGATGCCTTCAGACAGACAGCATACTTAAATTACTATAAAAAAATAAATAAAAACATGCTTTGTGACATCACTCCCCCTACCAGTCGGTGGAGTAATGTAGGGGGAATACAGACTAAGGAAAGGATATGGACAGCAAGTCTGTGTTGATTACGGACGTTTAATATGCACAAAATTAGTATTAGACAGCCCGGGTAACGACACCCAAATGACGTTACCAACAGCAGAGGGTTTAAACTCTGTACATGGAGACTCCAGGCAGCATTGAAGAGGTCATGGCGCGTGAGGTACCATTTAACAGTTATGTATACACTAAAATATCAGTTTTCTGCACAGTTTTTATCAATTCACCTTGATTACTTATCTCTGCTGGAAATATATAATTATATGTGCTTGTAATAAAAATAAACATATCTCAAACATAGAACTTATTCATCTAGTATAGAGCAAGACCGAACGACAAGTCTGAGCCAGAAATATACCACCGGAATATTCACTAAAGGGTTAATGTGAACCACTACAAAAGGACATGAACATATATATTATTCTAATATTTAATAGGACATCTGGACATATTTAAACATGATTTCTGGTATGTGAAATTTTATCAACAATAAAATTACTCTACAGCAAGTAATTTATACATCATACACACACAAATGGCGAGGCACTGAAAATAGTCACACACAGTATGTTTAAACCAGGCAATAAACATATTTATAAAGTTTGAAAATTCATTCATATTCCCCTAAAATCGCCAACATCCAACAACACACCAGTTCAGTTTTTCCACACTTACCATATCTGGGCAAGAACTGGTTGCGGCAAGCCAGACTGAAGGAAGAAATTCCGTGCTTGGTCTCCTGTAGATGAAGAAAATATCAATTTTAATACATAGTTTTAAAAGATGGCTGTAAATCACGCACTCTGATTATTGTCTCTAAAATCTAACATTTAATAATATTTTTCCAAGGATATCATCTCATATGTGCTTAACACAGAGCATATCGCAGCATGCATCTGAATACTTTCTGAACTGCTGCTTGTTATAAGTTTAACATTTCCTAAATGGTTTCATAATTTATGCAAAAAGCAATTGATTGAGCAGGCATTACATGTAGGCCAAATACTTTAGCAGCATTGAGACCAGTGGTAGGTTGAAGGAAATTCACTGTCATGCAGGAATAACTAGTGCACCAGTGGCAGTTTTTGGTCAAACCTGTTGAAATTTCAGCTTCAGATGTTAGACTCCCAGCGGGTCAATCTATCTATGGGTTTATGAAACATGGGGGGGTGGTTGCACTCACCTGAACATGCTTAAATGGGGTGCTGCTGGGGGCCATATTATACAATAAACAATACACACGATCCAGCGCACTCTCCCATCTACTAAATAGCAACTTCAATGTTGAAAGATTTTATTAGTTTTTGAAAAAAAAAAGTTTTTTCTAAAGGTTTAAAAAAAAAAAAACACCTAATCTAGGCAAAAAATAATGGGGGTTTAGTTACATTATATGATCATACATTGCATAAGCCTGCCACAACGTCAATGTACCCCATCTTTGGCAGGTCCTACACTAACAGCCTAATGTCTGCTCTTATGAGATTAACCCACTTACTTGGGGAACAAAATTCCATCTGAGGCTCTCTGCAGTACAAAGCTAAATAGGGCCTTGGGATGAGGCACCTGTGACAGGGAGGGGTGCAAAACCAAGGAGTTGGCTAGACTCCCAAATATATATATATATATATATATATATATATATATATATATATATATATATATATATATATATATATATATATATATATATATATATATATATATATATATATATAAATATATATATAAAACATGGGGGTGGTTGCACTCACCTGAACATGCTTAAATGGGGTGCTGCTGGGGCCATATTATACAATAAACAATACACCCATGCACTCTCCCATCTACTAAACAGCAACTTCAATATTGAAAGATTTTATTAGTTTTTTTAAATGTTTTTCTAAACGTTTTTCTCTGATGGAATTTTTTTCCCCAAGTAAGTGGGTTAATCTCATAAGAGCAGACATTAGACTGTGAGAGTAGGACCTGCCAAAGATGGGGTACGCGTTGTGGCAGGCTTATGCAATGTATGATCATATAATGTAACTAAACCCCCATTATTTTTGCCTAGATTAGGTGTTTTTTTTTTTTTTTTAAACCTTTAGAATAAAAAAACTTTTAAAAAACTGTCAACATTGAAGTTGCTGTTTAGTAGACAGGAGTGCGCGCTGGATCTATGGGTTTGTTTAGCACAGAGTAAGCCTTGAACAATATGCCAGCTTTTCATCTTTATAACACAAACCATCTTAATGCCATTGCGTATGGAAAATAAGAGTAATTAGATTTTTTATTTGCACTATAAACTATTACAGCTAGTAACAGGGTTTCATTTATACAAAGCTTGAGTACTAAATGCTCATGTGATTTCTTAGTGTACATTTGAGTATAAAGCTTTAACCTTGACCCCATGTGGGAGAAAAGCAATCAGTCCCTTGTAGAATACAACCCAACTGCAAAGTAACGTTCCCAAACAACCTGCCCTACTAACTAAAGGACTGTAAACATAGTTTTATGGAGGATCCACTGTGATCTGATTTACCTGAAGTTTGCCAATATTGTACAAAACTTACAAGGAAATTAAATAATAAAAATAAATAAAGGGGGTGGATGGTGTAAATCAAGTTACAGAGTCTTAATAAAGGCTCCGCTACTGGATCCAAAATGTTACACTGGTTTAATAAATCTGATTTTAAGCTTTAACAAAAAAAAATAAAAAAATAATAATAATTTTTTTTTTTTAAACAATAGGAAAATTGCCTGGCAAGATATATTGAACTTTGTAGCACTGATTCTAATACAGCCAACATTTTAAGTGTGTTATTCCATGAATATCCGCCAAAACTAAATAACCTTTTTAAAGATTTTAACAAGTGATCTGTTTTCAGGTTTCAAATACCCAGAATCATTTCCAGGACACTCGTAACCCATGAACCCAAACATAATGGGAGCCTGTACAGTATTTTATATGTAAAAAAAATATCACAATCACAACAATACACGTATTCTTCATAAGGAGACAGCACAATATTACACAAGGGAATAAAATGAACCAGCAATCAAAATAGCCCACTGTAATTGGCATGTTAATGAAATTAAGATCCACGTGTGCTGGATAGATTAGAGAAGGTATTTGCAGGGAGTGGTATTCGGATATTGTGCTTCCATTTCCAGAGCTAATCTGATCCGGAGTGTGATTAGCAGCAGTAAATCCCATTATCAGGAGGATGTAAAGAACAGAGTGGTTTCATGGTCTTTGGAACACCCATCAGTATTACATCACGGCTAGTAACTGGCTACACCTAACTGACCGTTATAATAAAGGATTTATTATAAATAAATAAACCTGGAGGAACTTATTGTTATCAACCTATATTACAGAAATCCTTAGTGTACAAAGGAATATATTCTTGGAAAAAAAATTGTAAAATTCCCACTAAATACCACTGGAAATTTAAAAGAAACTTATTTCTTGGACCAATTTATTTGTTAACTACCGGACTACTACCTACAGGATAAAAGATGTCTAAGCAACAGGATAGCCAAGCATATTTACCTGTTCATCAGCACTCAATAGGGGACCAATATGAACCTAGTGTGTGTAAGTAATCGGTGCGTCATCAGTGTAGCAGGATTATAGATGCCCAAGAGAGCCTTGGTATTTGACAAAACACTTCTAAACCAGAATATGGCAACCACAGAGAACCCCCTTTAAGTATTTTTTCTAATAAAAAGGAAACAATGGGATAATGACATGCAGATATTAGAGCTACATAAAACCTACATTGGTATAACTCACAGACCGTGTAGCATTTAAGGGGTTTTGTACTAAATGTAGATGAAGTGGAAAGGATGCACTAGTACGTCTATTTCCCCCGTTCACATCTGCAGAGTAGCGACGATTTCCCCCATTGTTCTAAACAGCTAAATTACTATTATCGACTGATCTCCTAGTCACATCTTTAAGCTTGTAGACATCCCAAATTACACAACCCACACAAAATATGATGCCCAGTAGGGCCATTTAATAATGCTTCTTACCAGTAATATACCCAGCTGTTGGCTGGAGACCATGGAATTGCTGGTCATGCTTAGCTCGTTCTTCTAAGCTTATGGCCCAGATGTCCAGATTCCCTGCTGGGAGAGGGAAAGCAGAGAGAGAATATCAATGTGGTGTTTGTAAACCAGAATGCAAGACTAGTTAAAACATTACATATTAAAGGTTTAATGATTAGACTTCAGCAGTAATTGGGATGTTCTCACAATCTTGAGTCCTGGTCTACTTTCATGTGATGTCATGTGCAAATCAGGGTGTAAATAAAAGAGGTTTAACTAGATCTGGACAAAAGCTTTAGAACCTAGAACAACATTTGATACTTTTTATAACCTATATCAAAATTAATTAATTTGATACAATCTTGGCATTAAATGTTGAGACTAAAAAAAAAATAAAATAAAAAAAATCTATATTATATATATTGTCTGTGCTTGAGGGTACAAATGGAAATTGAAGAGATAGTGTGACTGTAGTCACCATCACTGGGAACATAAGATGGACACTTCAATTAGATCCCTGGATGACTCCTATGTTTAAATCACCCTGTGCCCATTGTAGGTGCAGAGTGTGTGCAATGTATGTAGCAAAAGAGGGGATGATCTGCTAAATGAATAACAAGAAAAATGCATAGCGCATAACTGTGTGTATGAAATGAACCAAATGTATAAATGACAAGTGGCCACTCACACTTTCGTTGAAATAAGAATGCCTTGAAAATAAATTTCTTTTTCAGCATCAATTCTTTTCCAGGAAAAGTTCTTCCACCACTTTTAAACTCTCATGGGGCAGTTAAGAGGTGTGTGTGTCGCCACCAGGGGTCCTATTGTTCATTTGTATGCTGTCATTTCTGGTCACTGAAGTCCCTGAGGAAGTCCTACATACGGACGAAACGCGTAGGACCCCTGGTGGCGACACACATTTTGCACTGTGGTTTGTATTTGTGGTATTATTGCACTGTGATTTGTGCACACACATTGCTTTTTGTGTGCAATGTATGTTTATTATGTATTTATTGTTAATTATTTGTCTGCTCTCCTGTCCTGCTGATGCTTGCTACCAACAAGGAGGATTTGGCTATGGAGCCTGTACAGCGCCCTCTGTTGGTTGCAGCAACAGCTTGTATGCACTACCTGAATAGCAAGGCTTGCCAATGTGCACATTGCCAATTATGCAGGCAGGAGATATATTCTGGGGTACTGTGTGTAGGGGGTGATAAAAAAAAAAAAAAAATGCTAAATCTGTATCCCCCTCCCTCCTTCTTACCTTTGATGAAGGAGAGGGGGGGAAGCCATCGCTGGTGGTGGTAAGGATTGTAGGGAGCAGCTCCCCTGTCCGCTGTGTGGAGCGTTGCCATGGTAATGCGCGGCAAAGCTCCACACAGATTGCTCGCGGGAGGACAGGGAAGCTGCTTCACAGATCCCTCCCCCGGCCTCCCGACACGGAAGCAGAGTAGGTTCGCCATCACTGCTATAAAAGATTTATAATAAGATTTAACTATAAATAGGACAATTACAAGAAACTTACAGGAACGATTCACTGTAAGCAGAGCTCCAGAGGAATAAGATGAGGGGACAATACCTGCCTGGAAGGAAAGCTGCAGAGGAACAGGCAGAGGGGACGATACCTGCCTCGAAGAAGGACTACAGCGGAATAGGCAGAGGGGATGATACCTGCCTGGAAGGAGTGCTGCAGCCTGCTTGGGAGGAAGAGCTCCGGAAAGACCCTAGTCAAGCTTTGGAGACTGGGGCTGAAGCGATCCAGGGTTCCTGCAAGCAGCTAGGAGTTTGACTGGGTGGAGGTACTCTGTCAGAGTACAGGAGCTCCGCCCAAGATAGTAACAGATTTACACACACTCAAATGAATAAATTTTTAGATCCATGTCACCTTTACCCTTTGGGTACCAGGAGTGTGCCTAACAAATTACATGGCAATAAGTTGGGCTAAAGCACTCTAAGAGTAAACATGTTGGTAAGTCCAAGGTGGTTTTCCTTGAAGATTTAAAAAAAATTAAAAAAATAAATAAAAAAAAATCTAAACCATATTTAATACACTTTTAGACTTCCAGCAAATTTATAAAGTTATTTTTTTTGGGGGGGGGGGAAGGGAGGTTGAGATTTTTTTTTAATTTTTTTTAAATGCTCTAAAGAACTTCATTCCACTCTCATAGAAAGCTATGAGAGAGAGACAGTTAATTTCCAATTAGTTCAAAGCTTACATATTTTAAGGATTACCAATAAAGGTTAATTTTTAAAATGTATTTAGGGCACTCGTTTTTCGTTTTTTCACTACGTTCCTAGTCCTTGGGTTAACCCCTATACAAGTGTTCTCTCAGCTTCTGTTCTCCTGTTTTGTCTTTTCTATCTGCAGGTAGACAAAGAACATTTTTCACCATAAACATGGCAACAGCATGATCATAGGTCCAAATAATTCTGTCCCTTTAAGCTCAAGGTTAAGCCACTATTGAATATGCTTTACGAAATGTACACTGAGACCTTTTTTAGAATCGAAAAGTGTGCATCAGTCCAGCTCCTTTGATAATGCAACGCCTACTCAAGGCCATTGCGACAATGTATTTCTCTAAATTTCTAAATAAAAGAATTCAATCAATCAAGAATTCAAAGAATGTGCCAAACCCTGCCCTGTTGTCAAACAACGCAACTAAACACAGATTTAATGTTGGCACAGAATGGTGAAAAAAAAAAAAAGCCACACAAAACTAATAAGATATAACTAAAGTACATGACTTAAAACTTATAAAGAATAAAAATATGTTTTCATTGGTTGTTTTTGTTTTTGTTTTTTAACATGAGTTGACATTCATGGCTCACACGACAGAGTAATCAGTGGTTAGTGGGAAGTGACCCAGGACATACTTGAAAACGAGAGAACTCTCAATGTATCTTTCCTGGTAAAATATTTTATAAATAAATAAGTAATTCAAATTGTGTGGGACTCCCTCAATATTAAAAAAGCAGAACGCTACTTTCACTCCACGGTGGCAGATTTACGTTAACATAAATCCAATGCCATTCAGTGGACTAATCCTGTGACAGAATAAAAAGATAAATAAATAAATGGGAGTTAAATCACTAAGCTGAAAGTTCCCTCCTCTTGAGAAAGCATCAAAGCAACATTCCAAGTAAAAGAAACACCGTACAGCGGACTGTAGTGGTTATGCCACGAGTGCCCTGCCACCCTAACAGGGTAAGTGGACAATTTGTAAATGGTTAGATAATTTACCCATGGTCCACTAAGCACCAGTCAAAGCCTCTAAGAGAGACTGAGCTTCTGCTAGCTCCCCTGAGGGAAGTCTTGCTGTGCACGGTCAGCTCTTAGTGTGAGGGCGTCCGCTAAACACTCTCCGCTAATGAGCCAAGCCCTACACTGCCAGGTATTTCAGTCCAGCTCTCACAGCTGGATTACCAGCTAACTCCAGGTAAGTTGTCAAAGCACGCTACAGTGCTTGTGGTATTTCAGTTTTCATTTAAACACACTTACCGTATATACTCGAGTATAAGCCGAGTTTTTCAGCACATTTTTTGTGCTGAAAAACCCCAACTCGGCTTATACTCGAGTCACTGTCTGTATTATGGCAATTTACATTAATTTACATGGCCATAATACAGACTGGGGGCTGGCAGAGCTGTTACTTACCTCTCCTCTAGCTCCTGTCAGCTCTCTCCTCCTCCGCGCCGGTCCGGTCAGCACCTCGATCAGCTCCCAGTGTAAGTCTCGCGAGAGCCGCGGGGTCATAGTGCGGCTCTCGCGAGACTTACAGTGTGAGCTGAGAGAAGAGCTGCACGGGCCGGCGCGGAGGAGGAGAGAGCTGACAGGAGAGGTAAGTAACAGCTCTGCCAGCCTCCCTCCTCCCCCCACTGAACTGCCAATGCCACTGGACCACCAGGGAAGGAGAGCCCCCCTCCCTGCCATGTATCAAGCAGGGAGGGGGGACGAAAATAAATACATTAATAATAAAAATAATAAATAAATAATAATAATAATAATAATAATAATAATAATAATAATATTATAACAACAAAAAAAATTAAAATAATTTATTTTTTTTATAAAAATGCCCACCCCCCCACCAAGGCTCTGCAACACACACACACACTGCATTCATACACACACACACACACTGCGCACTCACACACACACTGCGCACTCATACACACACACTGCGCACTCATACACACACACTGCGCACTCATACACACACACTGCATTCATCATATACACTGTAAATAAATATTCAATTAATATAATTTTTTTTAGGATCTAATTTTATTTAGAAATTTACCAGTAGCTGCTGCATATCCCACCCTAGTCTTATACTCGAGTCAATACATTTTCCCAGTTTTTTGGGGTAAAATTAGGGGCCTCGGCTTATATTCGGGTCGGCTTATACTCTAGCAACACTTGAATGTCCAGGATGATTTAACCGAGCATGCTCAGAAAATGCTGTATGAAGGCAAAATCACTTCAAACCAAAAGTGCTCTAAAGGGCTTTTTTTTTTTTAAAGCTTATATTTAATGCCAAGTGTCTTGGTAGAGCCACATTGATCACATTGCAGCCAAGACTGGATCATGTTATAGCAAAATAAAGCAACCACTAATTTAAATAAAACCCTTTCATAAGGCAGTTACTTACCCCCGAATGGGGTTGAAAACTGAGCCATTCTTGCGTCCGGTTTAGCTTGCTAGTAGGTACCTAAAAAGACACAAACAAAAAATCAAATTACTATTTATTACTGCAATAATTTACATTTACAGAGAAGACTTTATATAGAATTGGCCACTAAAGTGAAACCTTCAATAGATTGATTTTCACAGAATCCAGAAACTAATCAAGATAGCAAAGTGTTTTGTAAGTTGACATCATACAAATGGCTGTCCCGTCAATGGTGGCATGCAGTCTCATGTGTGTGGGGGGGGGAAGTGGTGAACAAAGCAGATTATAAATTAAAACGTACACATTAAATCAAGCAGCACTTTTAAAGTGCCATAACCCCCTTCGCCACAAAACAAAAATAAATAAATATGAATTTCAATAGTCTTACACCGTGGTAATTATACTAGTGTTAATGTGCAATGCATATATAGAAAGCTTTTAAAGTTAAAGCAGATTCCACTGCTCTGCCTGTGAGTGTTTTTCTGTGGCACATAATATAACACTTTCTCTTATTATATTTTTATGATATACTGAACTTAAAATATTGCACGTTTTTTTCTGTGTATTTGGAGAGTGGATATCGCACACTATTGACACTTTATAATTATGTGAATATTTTAACTACACAATTTTATGCACTTTAATTTACTTTGCACTTTATTTCGATTCAGTGAATGTGCACTTTCTATATTTGCATTGCACTTTAACACTAGTGTAACGACCACAGTGTAAGGAATAGTTTGGTCTTAAAAACACGGTGCACCTTTTTTTTACTTTTATTGGTCATTAGCATGCCCGGAGACTCATGGGGCAAAGGAATGAGGACACTAGAACAGTCAGAAAAATTGCAGTATTCTATTTAAAGGGGAACGGTCATTTTCCCCTTTAAACATTGCAAATCGCCTATAATATCTGTTGAATATTTTTCCATGTGAAGCTCCATTTTGTTTTAAATGCACCGTTAATATGTAGTAATTGATTGATGGCAGAAATGGGGAGTACTTTGGGGCTGAAGTGCCGGATTACCATGAATCACTGTAGTTGGTTGAGGAGGGTTTGAGAAATCTGTATTTTTAATTTTACTTCTTCTCAAAGGAGCTGCCTACTATAAAACAAAGATTAGTAGCCTAATGCCTCCTCGTGACTCCCGGTTAGTGTGGGGGTCATCAAGATTTCTTTTGGGTTCAAGTCCCAGATGTTTTCGGCAATCTAGCAGTGCACCTATGTTAACATAATATTACAAATCCAAGAAATGAGGTTGGTCCCATTTAAACGGTTCACAACTGAGCAGTTTGAAAATGCAAGATTTTAATCAGTGGAAGACTAGCTAGAGCATATTTGCTAGGGATGCACCGAAATGAAAATTCTGGGCAGAAACTGAAACTTCAGGATGCCCTTGGCCGAAAAGGACTTCCCTCTCCCCCCAAATGATTTTAAGATAGTTTTTTTTCCCTATAATTCTATTAATATTAGACTTTTTAATGAATTTGAAATGAAAAACATCCTTTTTCTCCCATGGTGTTCTTTTCTCCCCCACGTCCCAAGTGCAGTATTCTTGACTTTTCATGTTATCATTACTATCTTTCATTGTAATATATAATCATCTGAACGGTCAATGCAATCATGTCTGTTAAACTATGCACTACAAAAATAAAAAATATTTTACATTTTTTTTAAAAAGTTTAAAAAGTAAAAAAAAAAAAAAAAAAAAAAAAAAAAAGGGAATACAATTTCGGCAGATTTGACCCGTTTTTGGCGAAATGGGATAAGGCCCATTTTTTTCGCTCGAAAATTTTGGCAGCCAAAATTTCGGTACATGTCTAATATTTGCCCTTACATTTATGGTGTTTAATGACTGAGCCATGTCCAGTAGCCCTCAATGCCACGAGCCGCCTCCAACTTCTTGTAACATACATATCCACACCACCTGTTAACAGCCTTGGACAGGGGCAATACTGGTTGGTTCTAAGTTAACCAATAACACCCCCATTCATAAAATCGGCTTGAGAAAAATTACATACATCAAATTGGTGGTGCCTCTGTCCAGAGCTTCACCTTTCAAAATTTTCAGAGAAGTGGGTAAGCAGGGGCAGAGCTAAACGGCATTTGATTCAAACTTTGGGGTTAACATGTTCATGAAGCAGTTGTTGTGCTGGCCAGGGTTCAGGGGCAACTACTTTTTCACACTGGCCCAATTGGCAATTACAAACCTTTACTGAATAAAAGCATTTAAAATATACATTTTTTGTTTACTTGTTTCTCATTGACTTAGATCACATTTTGTATAAAAGTTCTGTAACCATTTATTTTGACAAATTTGCAGAATTAAAGAAGTAAAATAACGTAATTTTTTTTATGCCAGTATACATTTTTTACAGTGCTCCTCATGAAGAAATGAGATTATATCTGTACATAATGCCATCCCCAAGTGTTGACACGCAAAGAAAAAAATAAATATGCTGCCGGTCATTAAAAAGTATTTTAGCCAACCTTTCTTTCCACAGGCTACAATAAAAATAAAGTACAAGAATGTCAGGGCTTGCGTATATTTACTTAACACCACAACAATATGTATCAAATATTTGTCTTCCTATGACTGACTAACATGCGGATAGAACACAGCAGACAAGGCCAACAATATAGAGCAGTTTGATGTAACATTTGGCACAACTTGTAGAGGGCAAATAATGGATTTAAATGTGCTGCTCCACATACTACGAAGCCCTAATGCTTTTAGAACTCTGTATAGCACTCAGATCATCCCTGCTGAAACTACATAGGCAGAATACTTAAATCAAGTCAATTTTCTTCAATATTTTCATCTGGGCTAATAAATACGCTCTTCAACAGTCATTTGAAACATGGAATTGAAGTTACAGACAGAAAGACTTTAGCAGCAGAACAAGAAGGTTTTATTTAAATGGATACTCTAGGCACCAGAACCACTACAAAGAGACTGTCCATTAGGAGATGCAAATTGGCACAGCTTGACGCTGGTTTGCACCTGGCAGTTTACCAGAAGAAGAAAGGTAAGTAATAAGCTTTATTTTCTTACTTCTAGTGAGAAAAATAAAGTGTGTACAACACTCTACGTTTTGGTATATAGGTTTGTATTCCTAACATTCTAATTTTTCTTAAACTCCTTTAATGCCCATATCAGGTATAAACATTCTTTCCCTGTATTTTTTTTTCCCGTATGTAATCTAGTTCACAAACCCTCATTTATACCTTTTCAGTCTGAGAAAGTCCCTCCCTCACACTGGTAATAATAACCAATTTATCACAGATATAATCCCTGTGAATTTGCTGAAAAAGTAAACTCACCCTGCTTTTAAATATTACAGTAAGTTTCAATGTATCATATCATTCCTACAGTCAGGCGGCAGGGTGGGGGTTGGTGGTGGTGAAAGGACTATACCATTTTACAGTCATCATTACTTTAGCAGTCCAGAGATTGACAAATATGCTACAGCAGCTTTCTTGTAGAAATAGGATTTAATTGTATTTACTGTTTGTGTATATTGAAAAATATTGATATAGCAGCTTTATTTTAGAAAGATAGGATTTAATTGTATTTACTGTATGTGGGCATGATGTTCAAATGCAGACATTCATTTGACACACTTCCCATTTTTAGTAAGGTGTACTGATACCAGTGCCTTACAAACACTTAAAAGCAACTTTATTTATATATTTTGTCACAATACTGTATGTGAGGGGAAAAAATGCAGACCATGTGTGAAATATTGCAAAATCAAGTACACTATATACGGTCTAAAATTCTTTCAGTTACCAAATTTATTTTTAATTTGTTTTGAATGAAAGAGAGAAATATAGAGTACATTGACACAATTACATTTTTTAAAGTTTGTCTGCAAGGCAATTTATACAAATTGCAGTGCTATGATATTTGAAGCTATGTTGCTTGAAATAAATGGTATCCTAATATCTCAAATCAAAAAGTGTGCAGTGGTGATGGGGTTAATAATATGTTAAATGGAATCATGTTTGTGGATTCCTATTTCTCTTTTAGACATGTAATCAAGGTAAATGGTTTCATACAGTGCTCAGCACAAGCATAAAAGGGGATAAGATTTGCAGGAAAAGTAGGAGAAAAGATGAACATGATGTGAAAGGAAACGAGAAGCAATGGCTGCCACGGTTTTGCAGGAAACGAGAAGCAATGGCTGCCACGGTTTTGCAGGAAACGAGAAGCAATGGTTGCCACGGTTTTGCAGGAAACGAGAAGCAATGGCTGCCACGGTTTTGCAGGAAACGAGAAGCAATAGCTGCCATGATTTTTGCAGGAGAGAAAAGTAAAACATTTTTTAAAATGCTGTTTCTTTCCGTGAGAAACAGGACACGGTCAGGAGGGAACAAATTATGAACCTGTAGGTCTATAGACCCAAAAGGTTTCTATGAGTTGTAGTTCAGTTGTGTTGTTGAAAGTCAATAGCTGAAAAACTTTTCCCAGAAACCCATGACATCATGCAGAGCATTACTTCTAATGAATAAGTAAAATGGTGTGTGTTTATGGAGCAAAACCAATACCATTTAGTAACGAGGGAAGAGGAAGAAGACCCAAACAATCACCTAACCTACCCATTGCACCAAACATGTGCTCAGGCATGGATTGTCCCTTCAACTAGCCACAGTTAGATGATGATAGGAGTTATGTGGCAAAAAAAAAAAAAAAAAAATTATAATCCAGAGACTTTGTTGGTGCAAGGTTATATAGAGAAAAACACATTACTACCAGAATACGCTGTGCTAAGAATTTCCATTTCAGCAGCATCTGGGATTTCCCCTCTCTTTGGTTTATCTGCCAAAAATAATTAAAATTATCTCAACAGCCAAGCATCCCAAAAAAGCACAAGGCCATCATTTACTCAGTAAATACAGAGGAGAGAAATTTCCAGTAAACGGTGCATGTCTGTATGTATGTAACTAAAAGACAAGTAGATGCGTAGATTGTGAGGGTCCCAGCAGCAAATATGTATAAAAAATGCAATTTGTAAATAAATTGAATGCAATTAAATATTTTTCCTTTTAATTCTAGGCTGTTTCTGTAAATCATGAAGTTTTACATTGCAGGGTTAAAAATGACAGAAGCACCGCATTGAGATGTGGTCTGGATGACTTTAGTGGTCTTTTAAATTGATCTCCAAACAGGAGTGATTAACATATTAAGGAGTGAACCTTGCAATCATTTCATCATTATTAATATTTCTAATGGCATATAACAATCAGTTCTGATAGAACGGTTGAACTAATCTGAAACTAAGATTATAACAACAAGCAAGAATGAGTCTTTACTTAGTAATATTTAATTCGATTCATGATTTTTATGACTGGTCATTTAAATTGGCTTCATGTAAATCAAATCCACCCTTGCACAAAAGGCGCTACACATTCTACATTTTGAATCTTTTCCTTCTGCACTTGTAGAGGTCATTTGATATTATATGGAACCCTATTTTGAACAAAATTTTAAAAAACTTCAGAATATTTTGCCAGTCAGTCAGCTGGGAATAGTAGAGAATTGCTAATTTTAGTCCACAAAAAACAAAATTAGGAAAACACAAATATAACCAGCTCGCCTAGTTCTTGCCTACTTTTGACTCTTCTTACTTCTCCACAATTCCCCATTTAGTAAATAAACCACAACAGTCCAATATGCTAAGAGCAAGTCAAACAGTTTTCTGTATCCAGGCAGTCCTATACCAAATAGCAGCAAAAATAAAGTAGGAAGGATGCATTAGCCAGAACTCTGCTGGGTAAACACAGCTGGTGATCAGAGCTGGATCAGAATGTAGTCAAACATCTCACATGTGAGTGTTGAGAATAGACCCCCAAGGGAACGACAATGTGAGGTTGCAAGAGTTTTACAGAATAGCTAAATGGCTCATATGGCTACAAATGCATCAATCCCAAAATATCAGATATACAGCTACTTCCAAATCACACACAGAAGAGAAAATAGCCAGGAAAAAAAAAAAAAGAGGCAAAACATTTTTTTAGATACATAAATGAGAAAGGTAAAGTAAAACAAGGATTAGTTGGATTTAAAACAAAAAAAGGAAGGTATGTAGAAGAGGATAATGGTCTAGCTGACTGTCTCAATGATTATTTTTGTTCCGTATTTACAGATGAAAATGAAGGAAAGGGGCCTCAGTTAAGAAAAAGGACAAATTAGGTATTTGTTACATTTGAGTTTACAGAGGAAGAGGTTCTATTTCAACTGTCAAAAGTAAAGACAAATAAGCCAATGGGGCCTGATGGAATACACCCAAAGTTATTAAAAGAGCTTAGTGGTGTACTAGCAAAACTATTAACAGATTTATTAAAACAATCATTGTTAACAGGAGTAGTCCCAGAAGATTGGAAGTTAGCAAATGTTGTGCCCATTTACAAGAAAGGTAGAAGGAGGAGTCTGGCAACTATAGGCCAGTAAGCCTTACTTCAGTAGTGGGGAAAGTAATGGAAACCATGTTAAAGGATAGGATTGTTGAACATCTAAAAACACATGCATTTAAAGATCAGAGACAACATGGGTTTACTTCAGGGAGATCATGCCAAACTAATCTTATTAATTTTTTGGATTAGTTTGGCATGGTCTTCGGTCTTTCTCGGTACGACCGAATCATGTGACCTTCGGACGAAGCTCATCTAAGACTTAATTGATGACTCCGACATGGGGGACCTGGCCTACCTAGGAGTTTCGGACCCCAACCAACTTCGGCCTGGACTCTGGAGTCCGGAGGAGGGACCTCTTCACACCAACTGCATGGAACTACCTGCAGGTTTGTTCACCATTCGCAGCTTCCCCAGGGGAAGTAGTATTGCTCGCTACCTTCCGGCATGGACTTATCACCGGTTGCCCACTACGGACTGCAGTCGGAACGCTATCTATAGCTTCTGGACAAGTATTCGTCATTTGTGACAGAATGTCTGCAGGACGAGACACTCATGTGGTGGACGGCTTCACCCGACCATGGAGAGACCCCAATGATTGGTTGCCTTACCCTCCGGGGTCTCGAGTACTGGCATGATTACATTCAGTGCGAACCGCCATACGGAGAAGTTCTCCAGCTGGCTGCCGGACCCTCAGCGAGGCGAGGGACGCGTTTTCCAAGCTTGGTCTCCTTCGGGGTGTACGCATCCCGTTTACCTACAGGATACTTTGGGCTTTGCTTCAGACCGAATTCCTGGAAGTGTCGTTTCGCCTGGCCACACCACTTCGGAGGAGTCCTCCGTGTTTTCCCCTTTTTGCTGGAGTTTGCCATGGGAAGGCAATCTATGACTCCCTGTCTCTTAATGTCCTGTGTGGGATCCACAGGGGTAGCCTGCCACGACTGGTGTCTGGAAAGATGTTTGGGTCCCTGTGACGGTCCTTATCATGGCTGTCCCCATTGCCTGGCTGAGTTGCCCTCTCAGGGTAGGATCGTATGGGGGCCATTCACGTCCTATGTCAGCTAGTGGACGACTCGTGCGTTTTCTCAAGATTCTGGCATTGGCTAAGGATCTCTTGGTCTGCAGTCTACCAAGAGGAGTATACCGTACGGGAGCCCTATCTCTCGCTATTCCTCAATTCTAGTGGTATCGAGTGTTCTGCATTTCCTTGAGGAATGACCTGATGACAAGGACTTGCCTTGCGCCAGTTTTTTCCGCTTACGTTTTTTTCCCAGTACATCTTGTATTTCATTGCATTCTGACGTCATGGTATCGACGTAGTGTCTTCTTCCTTCTTGTCGTTCAGTACATCGGCTTCTGCTCCACACACATTTCATTTCTATTCGTCCTCTGCCGTACCCCTATCCTCCGGATAGGCCACGGCTCTGTTGACAGGTTGTACACGACCATGTAGATCCAGGATCTGGTTCTTTTGTCCGTCTACTAGTGGACAGCTGTTGATTTCTGCGTACGGCCATTTTGGACTGTTTCTGCATCTTCGCACACCCGTTGGATTTGGTGGATCCTCTCATTGGCTGACCTTGAGAGTTCCTCTGGGACACTTTTGGTTCGGGGTGCTGTGACCTCAACAACTTTGGAAGCCGTTGGGTCCCTTCTGCATTTTCTCTACACCGCTGCTTGGTTTAGGGAATCGTTTTTTCCATTTTCCTTTTATTTCAGTCCTTTATCTCATATTGCTTCTGGTTCTACTATTTGGGCGTTAAAATTGCAAATATGAAGCCTCCTATCCGGCCATAAAATTAGGGATTATTCTAGCCTCGGTGAGGGAATAATCTAAATTTTATTAAAGACAGGAGGCGAATATTCCCCCCCCACCACCACCCCTTTTTTTTTTACGTTCCTTCCCTGGATTTGGGTCTTATTCTATTATAAATAATTGGGGATATTGTTATGTTTTGTGAATGCATGGTTTTACATAAAAAAAGGTTATTTCTATTATTCAGTGATGATAGTCCGTGTGCGTTTTATTCATCATGTTTGTGTTGTAATTGTTTCATCAATGCCTTTCAGTTTAGGTACATACTAGATCTTCATAAGATCTGTAGACTTTGTTTATTCATCAGGTATTATGATGTGCAAGTGATATTGTATGAATATGACATCTTGCCTTGACAGTTTACTTTCACAATGTTTTCTGGCAGTGTAATCTGTTTTCTCTCTGGGCTTGACGATTGTTTCTCTGGATGTGTCTGCTACAAGGTGGATTCGTTGGTTTCCTTGCTCTCCTGCTCGACCTCAAAGAAAGCAAATATTCGCCTCCTGTCTTTATTAAAATTTAGATTATTCCCTCACCGAGGCTAGAATAATCCCTAATTATTTCTGATGACTTAAAGGTAGGAATACAATGTAATAGAGCAGCAGGAAATGCAAGCAGAATGTTTGGTTGTATAGGGAGAAGTGTTAACAGTAAAAAGAGGGAAGTGCTCATACCATTGTACAGAACACTGGTGAGACCTCACTTGGAGTATTACCGTATCTTCAGAAGGATATTGATACTTTAGAGAGTTCAGAGAAGGGCTACTAAACTGGTTCATGGATTGCAGGATAAAACTTACAAAGAAAGGTTAAAGGATCTTAACATGTATAGCTTGGAGGAAAGACGAGACAGGGGGATATGATAGAAACATTTAAATACATAAAGGGAATCACAGTAAAGGAGGGGACTATATTTAAAAGAAGAAAAACTACCACAACAAGAGGACATAGTCTTAAATTAGAGGGGCAAAGGTTTAAAAAGAATATCAAGAAGTATTACTTTACTGAGAGGGTAGTAGACGCATGGAATAGCCTTCCAGCTGAGGTGGAAGAGGTTAACACAGTAAGGGAGTTTTAAGCATGCATGGGATAGGCACAATGCTAACTATAAGTTAAGGTCAGGGACTAATGAAAGTATTTAGAAAATTGGGCAGACTAGATGGGTGGAATGATTCTTATCTGCTGTCACATTCTATGTTTCTATGCTTACTTGGAGAGAAAGTATTTTTTAAATAAAGATTTATTTTTTAGTTGAAAGGACCATTTAAATCCAGATTGTAGAGTTTTATTAAAACACTGTTTTAGTTGAAGTATCCATTCCTTGCATAGTCTTACACAAAATTAAAAAAATAAATGGAAAAACACTTTTTGCATCCAGCTCTGAGGCACCAGGTTCTCCCTGCAACCCGATCCTCCACCGGTGACCCCCCCACAGCAGATGTTGTAGAGGACATGCCGAGGAGAGGACTTGGGCGGCACAGAAGGGGAAGTGCCATTACACCATAGGTGGTCTGTGGTCAGCATGCTGTGTGTGCTCATAACAGACACCCAATATGCACAGAATTCATATTAGACAGCCAGGAACTCTTGTTCACCTTTGGCAGTGGCACGAGCCAGCCTGAGAGTTAAACCTCCGGCAGCAAACTGCTATGTCAAACTGAAACACTGCACACACAGATCCCAAGCACCACAGCCATGTCAAATGAAGTAACCCTTTAAACTATTTTATTGGGCAGTAGGCTGAATATATATTCAAAAATGGTCAAGGAATATATTGCCAAATATTTTATTTTTATTTTTGGAAAGATTGCAGTCAAATGTAGAGGAAAAAAATACAGAAAATGAAGTGTTATGGCTAGCAAAGCATCATGGGAGTTGTAGCTCAATAAACTCTTGCCATAAAAATGATCTACAAATTACTAAAAAGTGTAACTGGATACTTTCTTCAGCTTTCCCAGTTCTTATAAATAGTGTTAAAATGCTACTCTTCCAATAGAAGGTGTGATTTGCGTCACTCCCGACTTGTGTGTGAATTCCTTTACTCACACCTGTGTATGTAAGTGTGTCATTTCTACATCATTTGCCTCTGGCACTAAGGTGTGTGATTTGCTTCACCCATCCCAGTGCCATAAAGTGAGTTGATTTAGTTTGTGGGTTGTGGTTGTTTTTTGCTTCTCCCATCCCCGGGATACAAGGTATGGTTTTTGATACAACGATCACAGGGTTGTCCAATATTTTTCGATTCTTCATAATTTAAGGCAAAATATAAAGAAAAACTCTGTACTATAAGTGCCAATGGCTAAAACTGTCCTCAACCGGTGTTGTCTCGGTATAATTCTGACAGAGTGCAACTAAACCTTTTTTATTAGTGTTCTTTGAAAATCATAGTAGTGCCATGTCCAGGTTAAATAGACACTTTACTGCTCAAAGTAAAAAAACATAAAATAACAATTTTTTTAATATAATTTACCCCCTATGAAAACATATGCATTTAAAGGGGATAGTAGAGGCATCAAAACAATTTTAGCTTAATGAAGCAGTTTTGGTGTATAGATCATGCTCCTGCTGTCTCACTGTTCAATTCTACTGGTTTCATATTTGATCAGGTCTTAAAGAAACACTCCAGGCACTTCTAAATGTAGTTGTTATGGTGTAAGGAGGCCCCTGACTTCAAAGTTGCATCCAACACTGGTCTCCACTCCGCCGTCGGCTTCCGAATTTTCAGATTCAGGAACTGCGGAGTACTGCCGGGCAGAGCTGACATTCTCAGGCAATCAGTGACTCCCCATTTACTAAATTGGCTTGCAAAGAAACTTACCTTTTGAAAATTCAGAAGCCGGAAGAAGCAAGGGGGAAGTGGAGACCAACGCTAATGAGTTTACCCCTTGAGGTAAGGGTGCCTCCAGGCACCATCCATCACAACTTCATTTAGGTGAAGTTGTTTTGGTACCTGGAGTGTCCCTTTAACTTTACTCTTAAAGGGACATTGAATTGGTTATAGTGCGTTGAGTCATATGGCACTGTCTATTTATTCCACGTTATACCATTTTAAAGCAGTTTAAACACTAATTATGGGTTCCTCAGCACCCACAGTCAAGCCCCCACTGTAAGTATGGCTAAGGTAGAGATTGTACAGTTCCTTCTAGATATAATTCATCCCAGCAATGGCGGTTGGGACAGGCAGTCAACCAATCACATCCGTTAATCCACTGCAGCTCAGACTAATGCTTCCTTATAAACTCAGAGAAGCACAGAGGGAAAGTGATGCTGGGGACTTTCATTTAGCATTAAAACAGAATGACAGGAGGGTGCCACGGGATTCCTGAAACTATAACCACTTCAAAGAGATTAATCTGTTACAGTGCACCTTTAATATATGGCTATCTAGGATGCTACAGAGCTTCACCAGGCAACTTTGTGCAGGTCTACAGCAGCTCTGGGCGGGTTATGGCTGCATGTTACTTACAGACCTGGGATGTTTAATATATCACTTTATATTAAATGTTTTTTCTGTCATATAGTGGTAGTACTACTGGGTTTTCCTCCTCCGTAACATCTAACAAGACATCTAACAAGTAATTAAAGATCAAAAAAAAACCTCCCTCCTTGCCCTATAAAATGCCGTACCGCAAAACCTACCCCAGCTTCCTTTCTTGTCCCGATAGGGAAGGACAGGACATCCACAGGGTGAGACACACAGACTGTCTTGTCTGAGGTCCTAGTCCGAGAGCTGCCCGGGTGGTATGCTGAGAGACCATGCTCCTCAAATGGTATTACGGAGCAAGTGGAGGTTAGTTTCTCTTATGCCTAGAATGGTTCCGGCAAATGCTTCCTGGAGACGGAGCTCGTCCTGAGCAGGCACACAGCGGTGGAACGCATGCCCGGGTGGTGATGCGTTCCACCTAAGCTTCCGGGTGCGCTAAAACGCATGTGCAAACCGGAAGCTTAAAGGTACAGACAAAAAAACCCTGCAAAAATGTGAAATTCGGGTGTAATGGATGCAGATCAGAAGAGGTACGCCGTGTCACCTGCCCCCCACACGGCTCAGAGGTATTTTGAGGTAAGATTAAAAGTAATTTTTACTTTAAAAATATTCTCTGGATAGTTTATAGGAGATATCAAACAATCTAAGCCTCCGTTTATATTTTCTCCACAGATATGTCTAGCCCAGCTTATCCTGAGATGGACAAGGAAAAACTGGCTACCTCCATGCCTAGAAAGGCTACGGTAAAATCTAAACATCTAGTTTGCAGTGAATGTGCAACTCCTCTTCCAGACGGATCAAGGAAGAAGGTGTGCAGTCAGTGTACTGCAAATTCTTTGGAAAGAGATAAGCAAAAAGAGATGCAATCTTTCCTAACCTGGTTCCAAGAAAATCTGGCCCAGACCTTGGAGACTATTAAAGAGTCTAAAAAGGTGGAATCCCCTATACAGCAAGGACATTAAAAAAAAAAAAAAAATTCAAGAAAAGAAGATCATCGTCTACATCTGAAACGTCATCCGGGGAATATTTTTCCTCAATAGATTCAGATGAGTCAGGATCCTCATCAAGTGAACCAGTGGGGTTTCCTTCGGAAGAAATCCGTAAATTCATAAAGAAAGTTAATCTTACAATCCTACCGCAAGGCTCTGAGAATCCTAAAAAAAAGTTTTTTCTGTTCAACAAAACCTGGTTGATCTAATATTCAGGGAATGGAGAAACCCTGAGAAACGTGCCTTTATATCCAGACACTTTAAGGATATCTTCAGACTGACTGGTGAAGTTATCTGGGAAGATCTCCCAAAAGTAGATGTTCAGGTGGCGCAGATTGCTAAAAAGACCACTATCTCTATAGGGGAAACTTCAGCTTTAAAGAATCCAATAGATAAAAGAGCCGAAACCTCTTGTAGGCAAGCTTACCAGACAGACTGTTTTCAATGCAGGGCTTCACTGGCAGGAGCAGCGGTTGCCAGAGCTAATGGCATTTGGCTAGATACGGTACAAGATATTTTATCTTCTGACCAAGTAAAAGAACTTAGCCACATGTTTCAGAACATGCACTTGGCTAACGAATACCTTTTGGATATGTTGGTAAAAGTTCTTAAATTGGCATCCAGAATTATGGGATTGTCTTCAGTAGCAAGACGAGCCTTATGGTTAAGGTCATGGACGGCAGATTCTGCTTCCAAAATCGGTCCTTTGAGAGCTTCCACTAGAAAAAAAACTAAGTTATTTGGGGCTCCTTTAGAAGAGATTATTAGGCAATTGTCAGAAACCAAAAAGGCGCTTCCTCAGGATAAGAAGTTCTCCTGGAGATCAGGTTACAGGAATTACCATTATAAATATAGGAGATCTTATCAAGAGAGACACCGCATTTTTTTCAAAGAAGGGATAAAAATCAGAGATTTGAACAAAGAGGTGATGTTAAAAGAACCTTCAGAGATAAAAGATAGACATTTCTGACGCCAGAAGTGTGGGAGGAAGGCTCCAACGTTTTTTCCCAATATGGGAAAGAATCACAAGAAATCCTTGGGTTCTAAGTCTTATATTTACGGAGAAACCAAGAGCAAAGTTTCTGGTATCAACCTACCAGTCTTCAAAGCGATCACAAGCCCTATTTTCTCAAACCATGCTTCTGTTGCAAAAAAGGGTGATAGAAAGAGTACCACCAAGTAAGCTGAGTCTTTACTTGAGGGGATAACAAGAAAGATTCAGGGGAGTTTATTCAAGATTATTCCTGGTTTCAAAACCAGACCACTCTTTTTGTCCCATTCTGGATTTAAAGAACATCAACCGGTTTATCCCTTATCAAAGATTTCGCATGGAGTCAATTGCTTCTATTTGTCCTCTGTTACAAAGAGGCGACTTTATGGTAAAAATAGACTTGAAGGATGCTTATCTGCATGTTCCGATTGCAACCGCTTCAAGAAAATTTCTAAGATTTGCGATAAAAAGAGGAAGATCCACCGTTCATTTCAGGTTCAAGGCTCTGCCGTGTGGTCTGTCATCCGCCCCAAGGATATTTACAAAGATCTTGACTCCTCTGACAGCTCATTTGAGGGAAAGAGGAATATCGATTATCCCTTATTTGGACGACTGGCTTCTCATGCCACATACTTAGGTTCTTCAATATCATGGCTGGATCTTAAACCTAAAGAAGTCAGTTCTCATTCCAACAAGAGAAATAGAGTTTCTCGGATTCAAGATCAATTCAGTCTCCATGTCGATTCATCGTCCCAAACGAAAAAAAGAGGAACATCCGAGAGGCGATTTCCAATCTCCAAAGGATGGGAAGTTGTTCCTTCAGACAGGCCAGGGGTGTTTTGGGTCTTCTAACTGCCACTTTCCCAGCAGTCAAATAGGCAAGATCAGAGGTCAGACCTCTACAATGGAACATCCTGACTACCTGGTCAAAAAAGGAGGAAAATTTAGACAAAAATTTCTTGTTATCCCCTCAAGTAAAGACTCAGCTTACTTGGTGGAAAACCTCAGAGTGCCTTTCAGGAGGATTGTCTTTTCATCCAAAAGACTGGATAATAGTCACTACAGACGCTTCAAGGACAGGTTGGGGAGCTCATTTAGGCTCCACCATGTGCCAATGAAGATGGTCATTCAGGGAGGCGAAAGAATCCGCAAACTTCAGGGAATTATTAGCAGTTCTTTACGCTCTACATCACCTCAGGCCTTGGTTACTACAAAGAGCGGTGAAGATTCAGACAATCATACAGTAGTCTCATATATCAATCGCCAAGGAGAAACCAAAGTAAAGAAGCTTTACAGTCTTTGTGCAGAAATTATGGAGTGGTCACAAAGAAATCTGGAAGACATTTCAGCAGTGACAATATAATAGCCGACGATCTAAGCAGAGGGAAGTGGGATCAAAAAGAATGGTCTTTTAACCCTTTTTATGAACAGACAGAGCGAGAGTATTGGCAATAATCCAATATTGGCCAAACAGAGTCTGGTTTTCGGCTATAAAGAAGATGGCCATCAATCATTGGGAACTTCTCATATCAAACTTCCTCATTGTTAACAGGAACCTGCCCTTGAAAGTTGTAGAAATATTCAGGTTAACGGCTCGGCTACTGCAAGGCTAATCCTTCGTAACCACGGTTTACAAGACGACAGAATAGCGGTCTTACTTCACGCTACTAGGAAGTCTACGTCTAAGATCTACTTTAGGATTTGGTCTAAGTTTCTCCACTGGTGTAAAGAACACCAGTGCCCGGTTTTACATCTATCCATAGATAACATTTTCCATTTTTTACAAGACGGTTTTGCAGCTGGTCTGGGAGTCTCCACGCTCAAAGTTCAAATATCAGCCTTAGGTTATCTTCTAATTAGGGATTTGGCCTCCAATGTTTTCATCAGAAGATTTTTCAAGTCCATCAGCCTCAAACGACCTCCTAGACGATCGGTGTTTCCAACTTGGGATTTAGCCCTGGTCCTACAAGCTCTTAGTGTTCATCCCTTTGAACCTTTGGAGGAAGTTCCATTAAAAATTTGGTCTCTTAAGGTTTCATTTCTGGTAGCCATCACATCGGCTAAAAGAGTGGGAGAACTTCACGCTCTGTCCTCCTCGGATAAATTCACAATTTTCCACAAAGACAAGGTTGTTCTTTATCCAAGACCGTCTTTTCTACCTAAAGTGTTATCTTCTAAGAATATTAATCAGCCGATTATTTTACCTTCGTTTTATAGCGAAGCTTCATCTCCTCAAGAGCTCAAATGGCAGAAATTGGATGTCAGAAGAGCTTTATTTGTATACCTAACCAGAATGAAAGAATTCAGATCATATATTTATTATTTTCAGGGTCACCTCAAGAGGAATGTAGCTTTCTGCGGTACCCTATCCCGTTGGCTCATTCAAGCTATAGAATTGGCATACTCTACAGCAGGTCTTCAGTCTCCAGCTACACTTAAGGCCCATTCTACCCGAGCAGTGGCTACCTCATGGGCAAAAAAAGCACTTGCATCTCCAGAGGTCATCTGCAAGGCAGCATGCTGATCGTCTTTTAACACTTTTATCAAGCACTATCGGCTAGACATATTCTCTGCCTCTGAAGCAGCTTTTGGGCGTAAGGTGTTACAAGCTGTGGTGGCCTAAGTCCCGCCCAGATGGGGATCTTGCTATATCCCAGTAGTACTGCCACCATATGAAAGAAAAAAAAAATTTCTTAATATGGTGGCATTACTGCTTCCCTTCCTCTTTATTAAAGAAATTTTGCAGTATATATTTTGTCGGTTTCTTTTTCTTGTCACGTACTGGGGTAGGTTTTGCGGTACGGCATTTTATAGGGCAAGGGGGAATGTCTTTTTGATCTTTAATTACTTGTTAGATGTCTTGTCCACAGGGAGGAGCAAAACCCAGTAGTACTGCCACCATATTAAGAAGAAAAAAAAAGAATTTACGGTAAGTAAAAATTTCTGTTTTTTGTTTAGTTGCAACAGAATGTGAAATGTACATCATTTACGCCAGAAATCAAACACAGACACTACAAATGAAGTCTGTTTTTCCTGGCTGAACATTAAGGAACTTGTGGCGGGACCGCCGCCTAAACTGTTAATTGCCCCATTTTATATGTGTGGATGTGCCCTAGAATGTGTGTTTCCCCTTTTTAAGCTTTTCCTTTCAGTAATTTTGACTGTAAACCCTGCAAAATACCTTTTGACCTCCCGGGGGCACTCAGGCGCACAGAGCCCCTTGTGCCGGACCACCCCGGCACTCCATTTAGAATGTTTACACCTCATGACGAGGTGTGAAAACCGCAGACCGCAAGGGAACGAGCAGCGCGTGCTTCCCCCTGCCAGGGTGAACATTCGACTCCCAAAACGGCCTGAGTATACAGTCTTCGATCCCTGTGTCATGGATCATCCTACCTGCTCCTAACGGAACTGTAATCACTTGCCACTCTCAAACATGGAAGCTACGAGGCTAGGCTGGTGGTTACCCAGGCGAACGTGCTCTCCGGAGGATACCCAAGTGTGGGTATCCACCAGAGAGAGGGGGAGTCCCTGGGGCTAAGAGTCGATCTCACGGCCACATGGTTCCCGCTGGCTGCATGAGAGTCCGCACCGACCAATGGGAGAAGGAGCACCCATTCAAACTGGGTTCGCGCCATTCACTTGGTTGGTCACCGCAGGAAGCGGACGACCAATCCGAGAAGGAGAGCTTGCTCAAACTGGGTTTCGCACCCTTCCGTCTGATTGGGCTGCGAAACCTCTCTCCTCCCCGAGCACCGATTGGTGCAGCAGAGTTTCAGGTATTTTTCTAGGATTGGGCAGCGAAACGGCTTCCTCCACCGAACGCGGGTTGGCGTGATTTTGTTCACAGCCTTTCAGCTGTTTGTTGCTTGGTTTAGGGGCGAAGTTTGAATTCGCCAGACTAAACCAAGCAACACCATGGAACTAATTTCGGGGATGTACAGAGCCTTGAGCCCCAGACTTTCAACGTGGATATCTCTGGCTCTATACATCCGATCGCTCTGCTTTTTGCAGGGATCCTAGGGGTGACCCAGGGCTATTCATCCGTATAAATTAAACCCCCTTCCCGTCCCGATTCGCCGAGCCCCAAAGTTCAACGTGTACTCATGCGTGTCCCTGTGTCGTGTTAATATCTCCCAGAGCGGGAGATGGTTATCTATTCCCCAGCCCCCTCCTGCATGAGATTGTGTTGGATGGAGACCCCCTGCGGGGGTCTGTGCATAAAAAGCGGTGTACCCTGTAACTGTGTCCCGCCCAGTCACTGGGGAAATAGGTTTGACATATTATTACCAAAGGGCTGCTGGGTTACCCAGGTCCCTGTAATGCACAGACAGCTGGAGTACAGATCAGCCATTCGTGGCCTAGTTTTCTGCTGTCAGAGTGTCATGGGAGTTGTAGTTCTGAAGATCTAACTAAAGATTGCCCCTAAACGTAGTCCATCCGTCACTCTGTTTAAAGATGCTGTACATTTCAGTCTAAAATCTTCGTGGCTATTCTCAGCCCTGCAGACGTTTGGCCGAGCAGCGTGGGACACGTAGTTCACAGTCTTTGTGTTTTGACGCTCAGCCAGCGCGAACATCTGTATTCCCAAAATCTGCCATCGATATTTTAATGAAAAAAAATGTATTTTATTATTTTTTTTTTATTTTTTTTTTAAAAAGGACCCGTTGCATTAGCGCATGAACATTGCCAAACACCCCGCTAGTCCAATCAAAGACATGGCAAGGGGTGACTTATTGTGCAGAAATTTGTAGCTTGAAACGTGCCCTGATAGAATGTGTCAAGTCAGTTATTAGTCAGTGTTTTCTCTGGAGTGAGTTATGCAAGAGCTGGGCCTTGTGAACACACTGACAGGAAAGGGAAGGATCTAGCAAGAAACAGCATAGTCAGCGAGGGTCACACTGGGGTCTGGCAAGAAGGAGGATAAGAATGATTTTTACTTTAGATTTCTCCATGTTAAAGCCTGCACTAGCCACTCTGCAGTCTAAGCAATATTTCTCAGGAAGCATAGGTTTGTTTTAGTGCAGTTGTCCCCTTCTCTCCATCATCGACAAATTCCAGCTGTGACCCTTTAACTCCCGCACACTAAAACCACACCAAACAAAACACATACAATACCATTTATATTTAACCTGCTTTATGACGGACATTCCAGCATACAATATACAGTGTGGTATAAGTATACGGACAGTGATCAGGTTTTTTTTGTAACAGCACCGTACTAAAGCATGTCTGAGTTAAAGCGACTTAGCATTATACTGTTTTGATTTATCTTGTTTCTCTAATCTCTCAGTCAGTTTGTTCTGTTTGCAGTTTTGTTCTCTTACTTATTATCGGACATTTCTCTTTTCATTTTGTTTCTCATTGTTATAAAAAGTGCAGTCATTTGATGTTCCCTGCTGTCATTATAGCTGATCATTGTATATTTAAGGACGAATGAAAAGTATAATATATGCCGGTCTGTATAAAATAAAGAATAAAAAAAATAATTAAAAATAAAAGCCATGTAGATAGCTTCAGGAAGCCAGCAGTAGCCTTGATACCCGGCTACAAAGGGCATTGTAGTAGGGGAGGTGTTGGGGCAGAGACGGTAATAGATAAGGCACTGTGAATCACACTAGGAACCAATAAAGGGAACCCCTCTAGCGTTCTAGGAAGCATGCTGCCCGGCCACCACTAGCGAGATAGCGCCCCTAACTGACCCCACCAGCAGCTGACGGCGGCCATAATCGCTCTTTGAAACCGGTAGCATGTCTTTCTAACAGCCCAAATTCCATGGCCCGCTAGACGGGATGACCAGATGGGGCCTAAGGATCTGTTAATGCCCCACACCAGTTTGGGGGACAATCCCCAACATCTGGGACCGCTCCGAGAGCTGAACACAGACCCCTACTACTCATCACCACTATTTACAAGTTAATGTCATTTTAAAACTGTGCCTTTGTTACCTGCTTTGCATTTGTTGTTTAATACGCTGTTACCTATAGTATGCAAATGTCGTCGTGGCAACACGACACCATGTTTCTCACATTTGAGCACTGACAAATAAAGAATTTAAAAAAAAATAATAAATAAAAGCCATACATAAACGTGAAAGAGTCCAGTTTTCATCTGCAAATTATTTTATCTACAGATTGTGATAAGTTTCTAATCACATGTGGTTTTCAAAACGCTATTACTGAGGTAATAACACACAATATCAAATAGCATGTGTATACGATATTTAAATTTTTTAGCATCCACGCACTACTGTCCTCTGATGATAATGTCAAGTAAGGCAATATAAGCATTGGGGACCTCATGTGCATGCCAAGTGCCATTACCACTACAGTCAGCTGTGGGGGTTATGGTGCCAGGATTACAAGGGTAGTTGTCAATCTACACAAGGTTTCACAACTTACCAAGGCTTAGCACACTGGCTCATTGCTCAGTTGATGACCTCAGTTAATTAGCTATCCCTAAAAGGCAGGAATCACCCAACGTCGGTTCCTATCAGGCGCTTCCAGGTACAAGAAACTGCAAACCGCATCCAGAGATATAGACAGACATTTTACCATTGATAACACCGGGGAACTCCTGGCACCATGATCACCACAGCACACTATATAGACCAGGGGTAGGCAACCTTCGGCACTCCAGATGTTGTGGACTATATCCCCCATAATGCTTTTACACCCATAATTCTGGCAAAGCACCATAGGAGGTATAGCCCAAAACATCTGGAGTGCCGAAGGTTGCCTATACCTGATATAGACTATGGTGCGCATAGTATCCATTTAGGTCCCTGAGCAGAGCTGCTATTGAACTCAGGATTATTCACAAAACCACAAATTATCTATAATTCAGCATAGAATTGCATAGAGGGCAGTCTAAGCAACAAGTTGAATACTACAATCCACTGTCACCTGGCCTGGTTCCGCTCTCGCCATATTGCCAATACCGAATTCACACTTTACATTAACATGTGAGGCTTGTCAATATGCTCAACGCGTTTTGCAGACTTGGAGAATTTTATTCTCCTGACCGTTAACAGTTTAGTGAATAACCCTGACAAATGTGACTAAATATGAGCAAACATTGATTGAACCAATTTTACAAGATCTGTATTCATATAATCCTGACTTTCAGCACAGCTTCCATGGGCTTTGGGCCATGAAGCTAACAGCAGCCAGACTCCCTGCACAAAGGTAGATTTGGCTCCATCTTCAGTAACGAAGAAAAGGAAAGCCAAAGGCTGCATCTGTTTATTACATTTGAGATGTTTTTTCAAACGCTAATATTTAGAATGAATGGGATACTGCCAACAAATCAAAACAAGATTTACAGTATTCCCTTAATACATGATTACAATAAGAAATTTTACGTTGTTATACGTATACTATAAACCAATCTTCCATGGTACCAGGTAGTCCTATTTCAGAATGTAAATTTTTTTTATAGAATTATTTTTTCATCTTGGCAGGGAGACAGAGATATGACATCGGAATACTGGGTGTTACATGTTCCCCGATAAAATATCATAATATCAGTACAAAATGCTTACAGTAGATACATGCAATACAATTTATATTGATATGAAACTCACATAGGCAAAGTTGTCTCCGTCCGCCAAGGGTTTTTCATTTTTATAGACATTAAAAGGACCACTATAGTGCCAGGAAAACATACTCCTTTTCCTGGCACTATAGTGCCCTGAGGGTACCCCCACCCTCGGTGTCCCCCCACCCTCAGGGTCCCCCTCCCGCCAGGCTCTAGTCAGAGGAAGGGGTTAGACTAACCTCTTTCTCCAGCGCCGTGCGGGGGACTCTCTTCCTTCTCAGCGATATCAACTGAATGCGCATGCGCAGCAGGAGCCGCGCGTGCATTTAGCCAGTCCATAGGAAAGCATTCTCAATGATTTCCTATGGACGCTGGTGTCTTCTCACTGTGAAAATCACAGTGAGAATCGCGGAAGCGCCTCTAGCGGCTGTCAATGAGACAGTCACTAGAGGCTGGATTAACCCTAATATAAACATAGCAGTTTCTCTGAAACTGCTATGTTTATAGAAAAAAGGGTTAAACCTAGCTGGACCTGGCACCCAGACCACTTCATTAAGCTGAAGTGGTCTGGGTGCCTATAGTGGTCCTTTAACTTTATAATAAGACATTTGACAAGACTCGCTGGTTCAGCCTCTCGACAAAGCAAGCATCTGCAATAGGTTGCTTATATACCCGGGTTATTCACTATGTCAGAATGGTAATTTAAAATGTTTTATTCCTCCTCACAAACAGACTCAGTTAAAGCTGGCACTGTTCAAAGTTCATTCTAAGCAAAGACCTGGTCAGTGCAGAGTTTCATCTGGAAATCCTTCTTGCCAAAATATATTATATTATAAAGGAGACTTAAGAACTACAGCCTGCTGTAGTGGTTATGGTACAAGGAGTCTCAAGATTAGGTAGTCAAACTATTTGCAAACAGATTGACACTTACCTAGGTGCACTCATGTGCCCATGAGGCTTCATCTCTTCTCCATATAACTAAAAAAAGGTGGATTTTCACTTTGGCTAAGTGAAGCTTGCGCATGTTTGCAAGTCATCTAGCAATGAATGACCTGCAAAACGTTGACACAGCCAAAGGGGTAAATCAGTTCCCATTGTAGCTTTGCAGAAGAGGCCTGAAGCTGCATGGACACCAGGGGGAACACAGGTAAGTATCAGACAATTTGCAAAGGGTTTGAGCCCTTTCCAGTAACTAGCACCGTAACCGCTACAGCTTGCACTTAGAGCAGCCATCTAACATTTTTATCATGGTGTAGCAGTCTTCCAGCTCCTGTTAGTCAGCCAGCCCAGAAACTTTGTTTTCAGGATGGTTGTGTCAGTTTTGACGAATTTGGAGTGTGTCTTCCTTAACAAGCTGAACGGTGCTCTCTACTCCCAGGAGAGAGCTGAATGCGGCCACACATTTACAAGGAGTGTTTAGGAGCAACAACAGCCCAGTGGAGAAGATGTAGACCACACAGATTCACAGAGCATGTGCAAGAAAGCAGAATTCCAAACTGCAACATCAGCACAAGAACTGTGCCTAATGCCCATGGAATTGGCATGGAAGGCAAAACAACTCTTACACATACCTTTGGCCATATCCGGCCTATCCCACTGTCTGTAAACACTCCTATATTCTTTGTTCTTAATCTGTAAATTGCTCAGGACAAGAGCGCTATATAAAGAAACATCAAATAAAAGAAATGTGGGTAACACTAACGACTAGTAACTGCAATTTTATGTGTCGTTTAGTCCAAGGTCTACCTGCCAAGTAAGAGACTAAGCCTTGCTTCGCTACAAAACTACTGAGGAATGTTACCCGGCCACAAATGTGTCACCTGCTACGCAATAATTCCAAGTGTTACATTTCCCCTTGTTTTCAGCATTACTCAACAAGAGTAAAAGTAAACATTAACAACGCAGTCAATTATGATTCAGTAATTCGAACCACACTGAATCCAGACGGTTATAAGGATCACGGAGAGCCCTGCAAATGTAAACAAAACCTGGCATTTGCGCTACATGTCTGTCCAACCGTAATTCACCTCTTTCATATTAAATGCACCCACCCTTATTATATATCATTTTATTCAGGGGAAACAGGGCTTTCATTTAATATCAAATATTTAGCTATGAAACATAATTTAATATGAAAAAAATGGGAGAAAATAAGATTTTTTTAGATTATTTTAGTTCTACATGACATTTTAACTGCCAATGTCATAATACTGTTTGCTTTTACTGCAATAAAATACACATTTGTATTCAGCAAAGTCTCACGTGTAAAACAGTACCCCCTATGTACAGGTTTTATGGTGTTTTGGGAAGTTACAGTGTCAAATATAGCACGTTACATTTGAAATTGAAATTTGCCAGATTGGTTACATTGCCTTTGGGACTTTATAGTAGCCCAGGAATGAAATTTACACCCATAATGGCATACCATTTGCAATAGTAGACAACCCAAGGTATTGCAAATAGGGTATGTCCAGTCTTTTTTAGTAGCCATTTGGCCACAAACACTGGCCAAAGTTAGCGTATTTGTTTGTGTGAAAAAGGCAAAAAACACCAATTTTGGCCAGTGTTTACTAAAAAAGACTGGACATACCCCGTTTGCAATACCTTGGGTTGTCTACTGTTGGAAATGGTATGCCATCATAGGGGTAATTTTCATTCTTGGGCTACCATAGGGTCTCAAAGGCACCATAACCAATCTGGCGAATTTTAATGTGAAAAAAATGAAACACAAGCCTTATATTTGACGCTGTAACTTTTGAAAACACCATAAAACCTGTACATGATGGGTACTGTTGTACTCGGGAGACTTCGCTGAACACAAATATTTGTGTTTCAAAACAGTAAAAAGTATCACAGCAATATCATCCGTGTAAGTGCTGTTTGTGCATGAAAAAGTCAAAAAACGTCACTTTTACTGGCGATATCATCGTTGTAATACACTTTACTGTTTTGAAACACTAATATTTATGTTCAGCAAAGTCTCCCGAGTAGAACAGTACCCCCCGTGTACAGGTTTTATGGTGTCTTGGAAAGTTATAGGGTTAAATATAGTGCTAGCAAATTAGATTCCCTTTACTTTCGGCATGGGTTGTCAGGCAGGTCCCGTTAATTGTAATTAAGATACCTAATTATGTAAAAATATTACATAAATATATATGTAGAATTAAAAAAAAAAAATATATATATATATATATATATATATATATATATATATATATATATATATATATATATACACACACACACACACGTATGTGAATCTATATGTGTATATACACACACACACACACACACACATTATATATATATATATACATATATATACATAAAACAAGAGGGGGTTGGCTGCACTCACCTTAACATGCATAAATGGGGGTGCTGCTGGGGGCCAAATAATACAATACACAAGATCCAGCGCACTCACCTATCCACTAAACAGCAACTTCAATGTTGAAAGATTTTATTTGTTTTTTTAAAAACACCTAATCTAGGCAAAAATAATGGGGGTTTAGTTACATTATATGATCATACATTGCATAAGCCTGCCACAACGTCAATGTACCCCATCTTTGGCAGGTCCTACACTAACAGCCTAATGTCTGCTCTTATGAGATTAACCTACTTGGGGAAAGAAATTCCATCTGGGGCTCTCTGCAGTACAAGGCTAAATAGGGCCCTGGGATGAGGCACCTGTGACAGGGAGGGGTGCAAAACCAAGGAGTTGGCTAGACTCCCAAATATATATAAAACAAGAGGGGGTTGGCTGCACTCACCTTAACATGCATAAATGGGGGTGCTGCAGGGGCCTCATCCAATACACTATTTAGCCTTGTACTGCAGAGAGCCCCAGATGGAATTTCTTTCCCCAAGTAGGTTAATCTCATAAGAGCAGACATTAGGCTGTTAGTGTAGGACCTGCCAAAGATGGGGTACATTGACGTTGTGGCAGGCTTATGCACTGTATGATCATATAATGTAACTAAACCCCCATTATTTTTGCCTAGATTAGGTGTTTTTAAAAAAACAAATAAAATCTTTCAACATTGAAGTTGCTGTTTAGTGGATAGGTGAGTGCGCTGGATCTTGTGTATCATATATATACACATATATATACATATATACACACACACACACAAGGCAGCCTACCCAGCCTTGTGAGGATTGTGAGGACCTCACTCTCACATGGCCGGGGGGCACGAGAGGAGGAGGATCTGCCGCGGGGGGGCTCCCTGGGAGTCCCTCCCACCGCGATCGCTGGTAAGTGATGAAAGACCGGAGGGGGTACAATTACGCTCGGCGGCCTTTAGAGCCGCCTAAAATAGGGCGTAATTGTACCCCCTCCGGTCTTAAGGGGTGAAAGAAGTGCAGACTTAGGCAACCTTCGGCATTTCTAGAATGCTCTTATCGCTATGATGATAGCAAAACATCAGGGGCAATGTAGTCCACAACATCTGAGGTGCTGAAGGTTACCTACCCCTGCTATAGCATTAGGAATAAACATCTGTATCCTAATGCTATAGTGACCTGATGGCTATCTTTTTTTAAAAAACATCTCAATCTAGTGTGCATGTGCAGTCTGTGCAATCAGATTTCCTCTGAAGTGTGAGTGACAGCCAATAGAGGCAATTAAACCGTCAATGAAAACACTGACATTCTGCATAACAAGGTTTTCAGTTACAGGGTTGAAAGGGGGGAGAATTGGTTCGAGTGCACAAAGTATCCCTTTCACTTAAATTTTCATTGTAAAATTTGTAATTGTCCTGATTGAAGCCTGAGACCAAGAACGGAAGTAGATGAGCAGAGCGATCGGGCGTCATTTTCCATTGTTTGGGTTTAAAAAGTTTATCGTTTTAGCCCTTTAACCCCTTAAGAACCAAACTTCTGGAATAAAAGGGAATCATGACGTCACACATGTCATGTGTCCTTAAGGGGGTTAAGGTAAAATCACACCCAGGGCCTGCTCATTCCATAACAGCTTAATTGCGATTAAGTTGTTATTGTGCCTGCAGTGCCCCAATGTGAAAAATGTGTATACCTAATGCTGGCAGTGAATGGGTTACTATTTAAGAGCTAGCTAACCGGGTCTCTATAGCAGTTTTTGACTACTGTGCAGTAGAAACGCAAATATGTGTCTCTCAAGTTAGCTCTTTACATTATATAAAGGTGTGGTATAGACAGCAGCGTAAACATGTTCACAAACACACGTCTGGAAATATTGGTTAATAACAGAACATACCATTGATAGTAAACCAATTAGCTGTGATTTCCCATTTACTTCAGGACTTCACTATGCATGCAGAATGGGCACACATTTTACTGAGCAGGCCATTCAACCCCCTAAAAAAGAGTTTAGCCGACACCCTCTCTTGGTTCAAGGCAGTTTCCTTTCTGCCCCATTAAACGCCAATTTCCATCTAAATCTATTCCCACTCACTACAGAGGAACCTCCCTTACGCTGAATTCCTGCCAAGATCTCATTCTCGTCTATTACAGCATCCATTGAAAACACATAGCTTGCAAGTTGTATCAATTAATTACAGAAAGCTAAAACAATGTGCTCACCTTCATTCAAAAGCAGGGGGCTTACAATAGGTCTTTAATTATATATTATACACAGTCTTCTTTCTCTATCTGATCTTAGTGCTGTGAGGCAGTAGAGAGTGTTTTTTTTTTTTTTTTACAAGTTAATATACTTTACAATAGGTGTCGCTCCAAACAATAGTATAAATGAAACAAAATAATGTTCTCGGAGACCAGTTCATTCAGATGCAAAATAATGCAGTATAGACTGAATACCGTTTATTTATTTTTGACTAATCAGATTTACAATTATTTACATAGCGCAAACATACTCCGCAGTGCTGTACAATAGGTAAACAAGACAAACACTTAATTCTAACAAAACATGTTTAACATACCGGAGTAGTAGGTAAAGAAGCCCTAGGCCAAATAGTTAGGAGCAAAAAAAATAAAATAAAAAAATTGGGGGGAGTCCCTATCATGTTAAATAATTTATGTCCAAAATGGATATTTGCAAACATGATCTGTAACACATGGGTTAAAGGGCACCTGTCATGCCCCAAACAACGTAATGCTCATTAGATGGAGCATAATATTCTATCACTACATTGTGCTAGCAAATGTACAGTATAGTAGAAATGAAAAAAAAAAAAACATTTAAAAATCTCCCATAGGTCATTCTACTCTCCACCCATAATGTGCTGTGGTTGCTATGGAAACTCCCTATCCAGCGCTTCTAGCATAGAAACTGAGTGACATGATGCCACTCCAGTCCGATGCCGGCAACGAAGCCAGGGTACAAACGTCACTGGCGAGATTTTCCTGCAGGGGATGCTTCTCAATTTGGGCGAATCAAAGAAGACAGTGGGAGGAGCACTTGAGGTGCGATGGATGGGCCAGAGGTGGGTGTTACACTAACAGTAACATCCACAAAGCTTTAAGATGGCGACGCTGGAACAGAGGAAATGTGATTAAATTTCGATATTTTACACTAAATACACCATGTATCATATGATATGTAAAATGTATATGGGAGCAATTTGAGGTAAGTGAAAATTTGCATGAACACGGCTTGGCTGTCAAAACTTTAATAGTTAGACTGCTCACTCTGGGAGGGTACGAAGGAATCATCAGCTGTAGTGGTTATGGTTTCAGAGTGTTCCTTTAACACGTGTCAGTTTTATGATATCTAAGTGCACATATACTATGAATATCCTGTATCTTCTACACTGGTATCTGGTAAAAAGCAAAAAATAAAAATCTAAAGATATATGGCATAAAGCGGTTTATTATCTACCTAGCATTAACCCGTTTGCCCCCACCCAAAACAAATTAAAAAGCACAGACCATTGGAGCATTTCTGTAATTGATTTAAATGGGATAGCAGTAAGCATACATAGTAGCGATCATAAAATATGATAATATAAAGTATTTAACCAGGAAATATTTACATATCTGGTTTCCAAGTACGCCCTGAAGATGTTACTTCCAGGGGATGTTACGTTACAATTACCCAAAGTAATGGTACTCTACAGCATTGTACACACATACACTTCCTGTGACTAGTGCTTCCCCTTTAAAATAAACGGGAGTTGCATGCATGCATAGTGAAGTCCTGAAGTAAATGGGAAATCACAGCTATATGGCGCATGTTCAAGCCCCTTTTGATACCAGTATGGAAGACACAGGATACTCACAGTATATGTGCACTTCGATATAAAACTGATGTGTTAAAGGAACACTCTGAAACCATAACCACTGCAGATGATGATTCCCTCGTACCCTCCCAGAGTGGTCTAACTATTAAACAAAGTTTTGACAGCCAAGCTGTGTCCTGCTGTATGACGTCTCAAAGGATTCAAAGCAAAGGATTTTTACTGCAATAAATCAGGATGATCGCCTTTCACCCACCTGTAATTTCCCTTTTAAACAAATGAAGCACTAACCCATTAACCCAAATTACTTCAGCTCTCATGATCACGCTCCTACAAAGCTGCTTACGGGTTGATGTGTTGCTAGATATTAAGAATAGATAGCCCAATTTTGCTGTGCATTATACATAGAATCAGAAAGACATGACAAACAAAAGCCAGCTGGTCCATTTAATCTGACTATTTTAGACCTAAAAGCACAAGCTTTATTCAGGATTTAAATTCAAGCCCAGTATATAAAATTTAAAAAATGTTTTTTCTGAGAACCTCCACTGACTTGTGATTTTTCTCCAAAAAGATTTAAAAAAAAATGTTTTTTTAAAATATATCTATATCTGATGGACTCACCACACTTGTTTATTTTTTTTCAAATAAGCAAAAACGGTCCATGTTTATGAGTTGTGTCTGTTGCATTGTATTGCTGTGTGGTTGTACGAGGGAATCATCTGTAGTGGTTATGGTTTCAGAGTGTTCCTTTAACACGTCACAGTTGTATGATATCCAAGGTGACCATCTACTGTAAATCAGCAATGCTATAAAATCACTCTCATCATTCTATTCGTCTCTAATGTCAACTACCATCTGATCAGTTGGATGAATAGAACAAGTGCGGTTTTACTGCAGCAGGGAAAATACAATATTTGAACATCAATCCCTGACGACACACCACGATGATGGTTTGTAGGTGTATTTGCCAAAATCACTTCTTAACATGTAACAGCCTTTCTACATTAATCTTTATGACAGAGGGTTTGGGAATCTGTTTATACTTGAGGATCCAGGTTGGGAATATACAGTAAAGGAGCAAAAGAATTTCAGGTGTATGAAATCTGTCAGTAAGAGTATTCTAGAGACAGTGAAATGTCAAGCCCTCTACATGTGGAATATCACACAGTAAACGGAACCATCTGTGAGAGCCTAGAGAGCAGCCTGCTCAGAGGGAACCCAGATACATCATTAGTACAGACTCCGAGTATTGGACAGCTAGGACTTTACCACCATCATATCAATAGCCAATATCCTTTTCTGTACACACAGCAAAGAATACATGCTGAAAAGGTTTCAGGTGTTCTGGTATGAAGGAAAATATAGGATTATCAAAGACATAGGGCAAGAGAGAATTAAAATCATATATGAACAATACACATAGCTACAGTTTGTCTCAACACCATAACAATTATTCTGCGGTGAAAGGCAAACGTACTTGTAAATACCAATCCAAGGAGCCATAAGAACTATGCTTCCTCCTCTGTCCATCCATGTAAAATGTAAGTGTGCGCATACCACAGAAACACCCTCCTCTCTCTCAGACTATTCATAGCTTACTATAAAGTAGACCGTGTCCGCTGTGTGCATGAACTGTACAACCACCACTAATAACTCCAAACACAAAACTGTAAATTAAGCAGTAAGCACAAATCCAGCAGAGGGAGAAAGGAATTGTTGCACAATGCTGAACTACATGGCTCCATTTCCTGGAGTCAAAAGTATGTTTCCTACTTGATTAAACGGACACTCTAAACACCAGTGCAGTGGTTATGGTGGTAGCACTGTTACGATCACGGTTTTCAAATTCTGCATCAAACCAGTGACATAAACCGTCTCCCAAGCACCCATGCCCAGTCCCTTACTCACCATATTCCTAATGTGAAAGTCTCCAAGAGGGTAGGAGCCCCGTTAGAGTTAGCAGGTATCGTCAGTTTTTTTTGTTTTTTATAAACAAGCTGTTTGAGGTGCATCCAGCAACAAATATGCAAGATGGGGGAAATAAAGTGCACAGCAAGTTTGGCTGGGAAAGGGGGGTGGGGGATGTTTGAGCAGTGACAGATGACTGGACTCTTCTCTGATATGGCAATGTCATGGAAGCACATGTTGGTATTTAACATGGCTTGCAAAAAGTAGACCTTAACTACCATGATGGTTTATCAGCCTTTAAAATAGCAAAGCATCATGGCAGTTGTAGTTCTGCAAAATAGTGGATCTAAAATTGCGCACCCCTGGCTTACAGAATTCAAGAAAAAGCATGGGCAAAGAAAAGGTTTTTTTACAGTAAGAACAATAAGGATATGGAATTCTCTGCCTGAAGAGGTGGTTTTGTCAGAGTCCATACAGATGTTTAAACTGAAATTGGATAAATACTTACAAAAACATAACATACAGGGATATAATTTCTAATTAGTGGGGTAATAGCTGATTGATCCAAGGAGACATCTGACTGCTATTTTGGGGTCAAGAAGGAATTTTTTCCTAGTTTGTGGCAAAATTGGAAGTGCTTCAGACCAGGTTTTTTGCCTTCTTTTGGATCAACAGCAACAACATTTCTGAGGAAGGCTGAACTTGATGGACGCAAGTCTCTTTTCAGCTATGTAACTATGTAACTATGTAACTATGGGCTATAATCCCCAACTCAACAATAATTACAATATGGCTAGCTTTGCCTCAGTTTTCCCAATTCAGATTAAAGCGGCTCTGTCGCATTTTATCACCCCAGATAGTGACTGCTGTGCTGTACCCCAGGGGATGCAGGGTAAGGTAGCTTTTACTTCCTTAAACCAGCCCCTCGCAGGGCCGCCATCTTTTTCCACAATGTCCGCTTCAGTTGCCAACGTCAGCGCTGCAGTATCACATGTGCAACAGGAGTCCCTACTTTGTCTTCCGATAACTTTTGACTCTGTTGGAATCTAAGTTTTTATGAGAATTTCATGATTTTATCTTTATGAAATGCTCAGTTTGGGTGAGGATGACAACGCCGCTTTAAGTCACGTAAATTCAGATTGTAACAATGTAAGTGATTTTGATGCGGAGACTGTCCCTTTAAAAAAATATTCAAAAAATTAGTTACCTAATAAATTATATTGGTTTTAAACCCCTTAAGGACACATGACATGTGTGACATGTCATGATTCCCTTTTATTCCAGAAGTTTTGTAATTCCCAAACTCTGTTCTGTGAAAAAGCTGATAAAACCCGGGTGATTGCTGTACCTCAAAGGGTAACTACAGCGGAGAATGTTTATCAGACGACAGACAGCAAAAATGCACAGAACGGACTTTAGCCAGCCTGGACTTCTTGTTTCAGGCTGGCTAATGATGCGGTCCTCAGCAGCAAAGGGGTTAAACTCTGTATTTTCAGCATTTTATACTGAAACACAGCATCACACCAACAGCAAGCACCATGACCATGTTACAGTGGCTCTGTCTCTTTTATAAAATAAATAATCTTTATGACAATCATACTAACTGATTGAATGTCATTTATTTTTCCATTTAGAAATCTTTTCATAAGCATGACCATAAAGCTATCATTACCCTCAATTATTTATTCTCCAAAAGTAATTTTGTTCTTGTAATTTCATCATATAAACACACAAAACTAAATCATCTTCTACAGAGGAATTACTAAAAAGTTGGATGACAAGAGAAGTGGTATTTTGAAGGGTTACTCCAATCAGCATTACCACTTCTGCTTTTTTAAGTGGATGTGGTGGCAGGAGTCTGGATGTGCAATGTTTCAGTTTGAGTTTTAAATACTGCACATCCAGAGTAATTAGCAATTTACGACATATTCCGGATCGTCTTATGTCCCATTCTGTGCATAAAATACATTGGACATGAGAATACACTACACGCTGCTGGCATTTATTCAATCATTACATCTCAAGTTTTCCATGTCCACAACAACTACTCATGTGTTGAAAGAGAGTAAATTTTGATGGATAAACAGACCAGATCAGGGATTGCTAAACTTAGCACTGCAAAGGCATGAACTAAATTTCCTATGATTCTCCTCTAGATCTGGGAGTGCCAAAAAGTTTAGCAGGATTAGACGCTATCATAATCATAAAGAGCTGCAGAACAAATGGTAAAAAAAAACACAACAAATTTTAAATGAAAAAACGATAACAGCTTGACCATTTTCCCGGCAGATCTAAAAATCTTAGGACAAGCACTGAATAATCCAGGGTAGTTAATCGTAAATCCTCTGCTGTTGTAGGACTACAATTCCCATTATGTTTTTACAAGTCTAAAAGTTGTAGTTCTACAACATCTGGCGACGTAAGTTCAGCGGCTAGGCTAACTGTTTATCCCAGACTGCCTGAGATTAGTGAGAGCTTCCATCATTTTAATTCAGCCTGTTCCCAAACTGAAATAGCTGCTGTCTTGAATGAACCTCTCAAAGTCCCAGTGCTGCGGTCACATAGGCTGCTTTAACCCCTTAATTACCCTAACACATTTGCTACAGCCTAAAGATGATGCAAGATGAGAAACAAAAACGACGCATTCGGGGAAAAATTATGCCATCTGCCGTAGATCTTCTGGCTTGTTATGATGTTTCCAGAACCGCTCAATGGTTATTATTTTCCTCTAATATGCAGATCACTAACAGAGATAGATACGCACACAATACACATAATAATGATATCCTTATGATAATTATCATCATTATATAAGCTTTTGCATGTTGTTAAAATAAACCACCCATGACTTGCCAGTGTTGAAGTAACAGGAAAAAGGGAAAATGTCACTGCCTAGCAACCAGGCTTGATGTATTTAATGTCGACAGAATGCAATTAATGGTGGATAAAAATAACACAATTATCTGTGTACAATGTAAAATACATGCCCTAGGTAACAATGTACATCCAAGAAAAACCTGACAGCAATCTTTGACTAAAGACATCGCAAGCTGCCAAGAAAATTAAAGGAAAACTAAATTCATAACAATTTAAAGGAACACTTCAATAAAAAATTGTTATGGTGCCAGGAGGTCCTTGGCACTTCATTATTTTTAGGGGTTATACCATTCACAAACTGTTTGACCCGAAAGCTGGCATTCCAGAACCGTTCCTCGCAGTCCCTGTCCACAACCAGTTTAATAAAATCAGCTTAAGGAATTATGTACTTTTTTTGCTGACCACTCTAGCGAATCAGCAACGCCCTTGCATGGCCACACTCAGCACTTCCTGTTACTCAGATTCAGGTGCCAGGTGTTACTTGGATGACCTGGAGATTGGTGCTGGAGGCAACCTTTGGAGTTAATCCCTTAAGGTAAAAGCGCACCCAGAGGGCCACCTGGCAACATAACTTCATTTACATGAAGCGGTTATGGTGACCAGAACATCTCTTTAAATCACTTTGTTTATGCAGCCCTACCCACACCTCCCTGCATGTGACCTACACAGCCTCCCTACACATTTCCTGTAGAGAGATTGAATGTTTAAATCTTCCTTTATTGCAGTCTAATTTATCATTTATTATCTCCTGCTATGCCAATAGCCAGCTAGAGCCTTTTGTGTGACTAAAGTTCAATTAATAGAGTTGCCTCAACAGAAACAAAAGTGATTTAACTCCTAAATGGCAGAGAATTGAGCAGCGAGACTGCAGGGGCATGATCCATACACAAAAACTGCTTCACGAAGATAAAAGATGTTTCGGTGCTTAGGATATCCCTTCAAATAATATATAAACTTGTTAAGAGAAAAAAATGGCAATGATTGAACTAGCAATATCGGATGCAAATCTGAGAATCAGAATGTAGATGTATAGCAAATCACTAAACTAAGGCACTTTCAATAGCACTGGCGATTCAATGGCTGACTGCAAAGAAGTATAATGCAGACAAAAGATTTTTGTACATTCTTATCTAGGAGTCTCTAAAATGTAGCCAAAAACAATAGCACTGTAGAAGTCTAAGCAGGCAATAGGATACGAAAAGCTTTATCTGCATCTTCTTCAGAAATCATTCAAATGATATAAAAGCAGGCAGCCCCTTACTGTGCTAACTTTTAAAGGGAAGGCAAGGGAATGATCTAACAAAAGCAACATTAAATGTGTCCATACAAAGATCCAAGAATACTAAAAACATGTTATTTTATGGAAATGTTACCAGCATGTGCTGTGCTTAACGTGGAGTTAGAGAATTTGCCCAAATGTTTGTTATTTTAGTCTAAAAATTTTAAATGTGTTTTCAATTCACTATTTAGTGCATGGGTAGGCAACCTTTGGCACTCCAGATGTTGTGAACTACATCTCCCCTGATGCTTTGCCGGCACTGTGGCTGTGAGAGCTTTAATGAGAATGTAGATCACTACATCAAGACTGCTGAAAAATTTCTGGCCTTGATTTAATGAACGAAACTCCAGGGTATTATAGATCCACAATATAAAACAATGCTTACACAGATTTATTCTGCCACAGACTGACCTTAAAGCACTACAATAAATAGAAAGGGAAAAAAAAGCCATTTGTACACTCGAATGCAGTGTACTATATTGAGAAATAGTACATGAGCCAATCCCCGAAAGATCAAGTGAAGGCAGAGTTAGGATTGAGCATTCCTTGCAAATAATGCAAACATTAAAAAAAAATAAAAAAAAAATCTAATTGACATTGCATGCATGATAGCATCAATAATAAAGCACGATACAACAGTGTTGCATATGAAATATTTTACAGTCACATTTTTCAGTAAAACAGGACGCATAAAATCACAGCAAAGAAAAAAAAAAAAAAACAACAAAAGAACACAACTATCCAGTCCAACTAAGTTGCGAGTAATGACCAATCTGTTTAGTCACTTCAGTGCCCCAGGAAACATTCCAGATGGTATTGGAAAAGAGTAAAATCCTATCACTTTTATTATATGGAGAGGAGGGCATTAGAGTCATATTGTTTCTATAAAAGCTCTTCAAAAACTATGTAGGGAACAAGCATGTTTCTTGCAAAATTAATGTGAGGGATGAAATTTCGTCCCAAAGATAAAGAAGTAAAAATGTTAAAAGATAGAAAGTCATTCAGTATCCCTAAAATTCCATCACAGGCAATATACATTCTCAGACTATTCTAACTTTTACAATAATTCCAACACAGCAGTCCAATCTGGCATAATGACATGGACTAAAGAATCCAGCAAATTTCTAAAACAAACTAGCACACTTTATAGGAAAATGCAATATACTCCAGAGCATTTTAAAAATTTCATAGCAAAATGTATTGACCACTTTGCATTTCATAAATGCTGGCTGCCTTGTGTTCGCTGAATCCCTTTTACAGGTTATAAAGTAAAGCAATCCATGAAAGGCGCATATTTCAAAACTAGCATTATCAAATATATTCACTCCACAAACATGTGCTTTCTATAATGCCCAGCCCGCCTAAACAATCGCTGAGCAGCAATATAGGACTCATTTGTAAAGGTCTGATAAGCTATCACAGTCTAAAACTGGAAATTAAAAGGGGAATTGAAAATTCAGAACAAGACCATAAACGTATTTATTAGTGTTTAAATGGAACCGAATTATTATAAAATAATTCCAACCCTCATATTTTGGCATGAATTTTACAACTCTAGTTTAAAAAGTAACCGTTTAAAGTACAAACCGGTTTTCAATAATGGCAAAAATGTAAATAGTAAATATCGGTGAATTCAATATGTAATGAAGAAGTAAAATTATAAAATCACCCGTACTTGTTAGTGATTTAGCCATAAGGTGTTAAAATCCAGAAATAAAGGGGTCAACAAGGACATTTCCTGAGAATGCAGAGGAATTTGTGAACGGAAAAAGTGAGACTGGAAAAAAAATCAACAAACAGCAATGGTAGATAATCTGCGTCTTGTGTTTTTTTCGCTTTACCACACTATCAGAATATAATGCAGAGCTGATGGATACACTGACAAGTTATAAACAAAAGAATTGGGGTGACCTGATGGACATTACCAGGAATCAAATGGTAATTTCTAAAGTTTAGCCCAAAAATAGCCAAATCATAAAACATACTTGGGCTTTGAAATGGTTACCAGCTTGATTTGGGTTTTTTTTCCTAGAAACTTGAACTTCGCCTTGTACACATGGCAATTTAAACCTCAGTCAAAAAAAAAAAAAAAAAAGCCTTTTTATTTTGATGCAAAAGACTAAATCACTGCATTTCAAAAGCAGTGGTCATAGAATATAAAATTGGGGATAAAAGTAAAATACTTAAGAAGTGTGACAAGGAGCCCAGGTCAACAATTCTCATGTACTAATGTCATGAATAAGCAGAAGAAAAAAAAAGTGAATAGGGATAGGACTGATAGCGCATTATAGACAAGACGACATTGCATGAAATACAGAGACTAAGGACTAATGCGATTTCTATACAAAAAGAGCAAAATTAACTTGGAACAGACTAAGTGGAAGTGATAAATATTAGCATAGTATTGAAATTCAACAAATAAAACAGGCATCAGGAGCCAACATTTCCATACAAAAAAAAAAGGGGCAGTATGTACCTGGAACAGAAATGTTATGTTAAAGACCAGAATAAACATTGTAATAAAAATAAAGTAGGGGGATGTTCACAAGTCTTGAAGATAAAAAAAGCAAAAAAAAAAAAAAAAAAAAAAGATTAAAAACATATGACAAGCGTATAATTATGATTACTAGGGCTGATTCACACAAATTAAGCCATATATCTCAACAGTACAAAGTTAATACCAATCGCTGATGCTAAAATTGGTATTTGGTCACATTGTTTATTGTTACAATGTAACTTTTACAAATACTACTGTGTAAGTGTAAAGTGTTTTCTTAAATCTGTATGACAGATACAATGTATTCCCAGTAGCATCATAATGCGGTCAAGGAAGGCATGACATCCCATCTTATTTTTGATTATTTCTGAAAAACACCGAAACCCTACTAGGCCTGCTTGGATGGGTGGCTCTAAGCAGCTTTAGCAAGTATACTGACATCATTCTATCACTATATAGAAGACATGATTCACACTGCAACTTTTAGAGTATATTACATAAATTGGATCCATAAAGCCTAGAAGGGTGCTGAAATTGGGTTTTTATTCTTGTAATAATCCCTTCATGACTTGGGCCAAAGGAAAATTCCTTTATATCATGCCAGCCCTGGAAATCAATCTGTCAAGAATGAGAAGCTGCATTGCAGAGTTCATGGTTTTATTCCTCTCCCCTTGGTATAAACCCTGACTGTATCCTCATTATATTATGGTCCAGGGATGAGACTCAGTGAGATAGTGACTGCCATGCCTTCCATGGCTGCATCCTGCTATATTTCAATGCTCTCTGTATAAATCCTGACTGTATCCTCATTATATTATGGTCCAGGGATGAGACTCAGTGAGATAGTGACTGCCATGCCTTCCATGGCTGCATCCTGCTTTATTTCAATGCTCTCTGTATAAATCCTGACTGTATCCTCATTATATTATGGTCCTGGGATAAGACTCAGTGAGATAGTGACTGCCATGCCTTCCTTGTCTGCATCCTGCTATATTTCAATGCTCTCTGTATGAATCCTGACTGTATCCTCATTATATTATGGTCCAGGGAGCCTTCCATGGCTGCATCCTGCTTTATTTCAATGCTCTCTGTATAAATCCTGACTGTATCCTCATTATATTATGTTCCAGGGAGCATTCCATGGCTGCATCCTGCTTTATTTCAATGCTCTCTGTATAAATCCTGGCTGTATCCTCATTATATTATGGTCCTGGGATAAGACTCAGTGAGATAGTGCCTGCCATGCCTTCCTTGGCTGCATCCTGCTTTATTTCAATGCTCTATGTATAAATCCTGACTGTATCCTCATTATATTATGGTCCAGGGAGCCGTCCATGGCTGCATCCTGCTTTATTTCAATGCTCTCTGTATAAATCCTGGCTGTATCCTCATTATATTATGGTCCTGGGATAAGACTCAGTGAGATAGTGACTGCCATGCGTTCCTTGGCTGCATCCTGCTTTATTTCAATGCTCTCTGTATAAATCCTGGCTGTATCCTCATTATATTATGGTCCAGGGAGCCTTCCATGGCTGCATCCTGCTATATTTCACTGCTCTCTGTATAAATCCTGACTGTATCCTCATATTATGGTCCTGGGATAAGACTCAGTGAGATAGTGACTGTCATGCCTTCCATGGCTGCATCCGGCTTTATTTCCCTGCTCTCTGTATAAATCCTGACTGTATCCTCATATTATGGTCCAGGGAGCCTTCCATGGCTGCATCCTGCTTTATTTCAATGCGCTCTGTATAAATCCTGACTGTATCCTCATTATATTATGGTCCTGGGATAAGACTCAGTGAGATAGTGACTTCCATGGCTGCATCCTGCTATATTTCAATGCTCTCTGTATGAATCCTGACTGTATCCTCATTATATTATGGTCCTGGGATAAGACTCAGTGAGATAGTGACTGCCATGCCTTCCTTGTCTGCATCCTGCTATATTTCAATGCTCTCTGTATAAATCCTGGCTGTATCCTCATTATATTATGGTCCTGGGATAAGACTCCGTGAGATAGTGACTGTCCTGCCTTCCATGGCTGCATCCTGCTATATTTCAATGCTCTCTGTATAAATCCTGACTGTATCCTCATTATATTATGGTCCAGGGATAAGACTCAGTGAGATAGTGCCTGCCATGCCTTCCTTGGCTGCATCCTGCTTTATTTCAATGCTCTATGTATAAATCCTGACTGTATCCTCATTATATTATGTTCCAGGGAGCATTCCATGGCTGCATCCTGCTTTATTTCAATGCTCTCTGTATAAATCCTGGCTGTATCCTCATTATATTATGGTCCTGGGATAAGACTCAGTGAGATAGTGCCTGCCATGCCTTCCTTGGCTGCATCCTGCTTTATTTCAATGCTCTATGTATAAATCCTGACTGTATCCTCATTATATTATGGTCCAGGGAGCCGTCCATGGCTGCATCCTGCTTTATTTCAATGCTCTCTGTATAAATCCTGGCTGTATCCTCATTATATTATGGTCCTGGGATAAGACTCAGTGAGATAGTGACTGCCATGCGTTCCTTGGCTGCATCCTGCTTTATTTCAATGCTCTCTGTATAAATCCTGACTGTATCCTCATTATATTATGGTCCAGGGATAAGACTCAGTGAGATAGTGACTGCCATGCTTTCCATGGCTGCATCCTGCTATATTCCCCTGCTCTCTGTATAAATCCTGGCTGTATCCTCATTATATTATGGTCCAGGGAGCCTTCCATGGCTGCATCCTGCTATATTTCACTGCTCTCTGTATAAATCCTGACTGTATCCTCATATTATGGTCCTGGGATAAGACTCAGTGAGATAGTGACTGTCATGCCTTCCATGGCTGCATCCGGCTTTATTTCCCTGCTCTCTGTATAAATCCTGACTGTATCCTCATTATATTATGGTCCAGGGAGCCTTCCATGGCTGCATCCTGCTTTATTTCAATGCGCTCTGTATAAATCCTGACTGTATCCTCATTATATTATGGTCCTGGGATAAGACTCAGTGAGATAGTGACTTCCATGGCTGCATCCTGCTATATTTCAATGCTCTCTGTATGAATCCTGACTGTATCCTCATTATATTATGGTCCTGGGATAAGACTCAGTGAGATAGTGACTGCCATGCCTTCCTTGTCTGCATCCTGCTATATTTCAATGCTCTCTGTATAAATCCTGGCTGTATCCTCATTATATTATGGTCCTGGGATAAGACTCCGTGAGATAGTGACTGTCCTGCCTTCCATGGCTGCATCCTGCTATATTTCAATGCTCTCTGTATAAATCCTGACTGTATCCTCATTATATTATGGTCCAGGGATAAGACTCAGTGAGATAGTGACTTCCATGGCTGCATCCTGCTATATTTCAATGCTCTCTGTTTAAATCCTGACTGTATCCTCATTATATTATGGTCCAGGGATAAGACTCAGTGAGATAGTGACTGCCATGCCTTCCATGGCTGCATCCTGCTTTATTTCAATGCTCTCTGTATAAATCCTGACTGTATCCTCATTATATTATGGTCCTGGGATAAGACTCAGTGAGACAGTGACTGCCATGCCTTCCATGGCTGCATCCTGCTATATTTCAATGCTCTCTGTATAAATCCTGACTGTATCCTCATTATATTATGGTCCAGGGATAAGACTCAGTGAGATAGTGACTGCCATGCCTTCCATGGCTGCATCCTGCTATATTTCAATGCACTCTGTATAAATCCTGACTGTATCCTCATTATATTATGGTCCTGGGATAAGACTCAGTGAGATAGTGACTGCCATGCCTTCCATGGCTGCATCCTGCTATATTTCACTGCTCTCTGTATAAATCCTGACTGTATCCTCATTATATTATGGTCCTGGGATAAGACTCAGTGAGATAGTGACTGCCATGCCTTCCTTGGCTGCATCCTGCTTTATTTCAATGCTCTCTGTATAAATCCTGACTGTATCCTCATTATATTATGGTCCTGGGATAAGACTCAGTGAGATAGTGACTGCCAGGCCTTCCATGGCTGCATCCTGCTATATTTCAATGCTCTCTGTATAAATCCTGACTGTATCCTCATTATATTATGGTCCAGGGAGCCGTCCATGGCTGCATCCTGCTATATTTCACTGCTCTCTGTATAAATCCTGACTGTATCCTCATTATATTATGGTCCTGGGATAAGACTCAGTGAGATAGTGACTGCCATGCCTTCCATGGCTGCATCCTGCTATATTTCAATGCTCTCTGTATAAATCCTGACTGTATCCTCATTATATTATGGTCCTGGGATAAGACTCAGTGAGATAGTGACTGCCATGCTTTCCATGGCTGCATCCTGCTATATTTCAATGCTCTCTGTATGAATCCTGACTGTATCCTCATTATATTATGGTCCTGGGAGCCTTCCATGGCTGCATTCTGCTTTATTTCAATGCTCTCTGTATAAACCCTGACTGTATCCTCATTATATTATGGTCCTGGGATAAGACTCAGTGAGATAGTGACTGCCATGCTTTCCATGACTGCATCCTGCTATATTTCACTGCTCTCTGTATAAATCCTGACTGTATCCTCATTATATTATGGTCCTGGGATAAGACTCAGTGAGATAGTGACTGCCATGCCTTCCATGGCTGCATCCTGCATTATTTCAATGCTCTCTGTATAAATCCTGACTGTATCCTCATTATATTATGGTCCTGGGATAAGACTCAGTGAGATAGTGACTGCCATGCCTTCCATGGCTGCATCCTGCATTATTTCAATGCTCTCTGTATAAATCCTGGCTGTATCCTCATTATATTATGGTCCAGGGATGAGACTCAGTGAGATAGTGACTGCCATGCCTTCCATGGCTGCATCCTGCATTATTTCAATGCTCTCTGTATAAATCCTGACTGTATCCTCATTATATTATGGTCCAGGGAGCCTTCAATGGCTGCATCCTGTTGTATTTCCCTGCTCTCTGTATAAGCCCTTGGTGTTATCCCAGTGAGGGCTGCATGTAATACACAGAGCACCCAGAGCAGGGCAGCCAGGGATCTCCTCCATCCCTGACCATCACTTCTTATACTCCATACACAGGAGAGGCTCACCTTCCATTGCCCTAGCAGATCTGGACTACATTTCCCATGATGCTCAGGCACTCAGAATGATGGGTGAGGATCATGGGAAATGTAGTCCATGTTTGAGAAGGCTGTTAGAAGGTCTCTCCCTCCCCTCCTCCTCCTCCTCCCGCAGGCCCTGGATAGCTCGCTCACCTCATAGCCCGCTGCCTGTGTGTCCGGGAGCCCGGTGACCCCGCTCTCTGTCCCCCCCTGAAGCAGACACTCAGCGCAGAGTCTCATTCACCGCCTCCACCTCCCAGCGGCGCTAAGACGACACCCCATACCCGCTCAGCGACGTCACACGTCGGTTGACCAATGGGGAGCCGCGTAGGCCACGCCCTCCGCGCGTAACGTCTGCCTATCGCCTAAAGAACTGTGAGGGTTGCTCGCGCTGAGGGCGTGGTCAGGTCACCGTGCGCGAGGCCGCGTCACGCACAGACCGAACCCTCCCGGCGCCATTTTTAGTGTGGGAGGACCAAAACAATAGGAGGAGCAAAGGGGGAGGGGAGGGCAAAAAAAAAAAAAAAAGAAGCTGGAGGCAGTTATTGAGCAGCTAAACCGGCAGCTGGACTCGCGCTCAGTGGCGTGTGTGAGCTCGCGAACCTGCCCTGCCCGTGAAATTCCGAAGTAAAGGCGCGGCGGTTACGACATTTTACGACTCGTTGAGGTAAAGTCGTGATATGTGAATTTTTTAGATTTTTTTTTTTTTTTTTACTTGTGCCAGAAACGAACATGGCCGCCGTGCGGCTTCGTGTCACGTGATGGGTGACGCTGACGCTGCGCAGGGATCTCGTGGAATGGCGCGTGTGATCCTGGCCTGGTGACATCACATTCCCCCCCCCCAGCATCCCGTTAGGTTAACCCTCGCAGTGCCAGAGATGTCACTAACAATCCATAAAGCACAGAGTTAGGATCACATTTCACAAACTCCAGATTCACTGTGAGCAGATCCATTGTACCGCCTCTCAGGCCAGTTTATAGACACCCCCAGTATGCGCCCCACTGGCAGCACAATAACCACCGCACAAAAAAAGTGGCCTCGATGAAGCGGCACGGTCACCATCTGGGGTATACAAAGACCCCCAATAATGACATGGCCGCCGGGTGACCGGGGTCAGTTCTACTTACCTGAACCTGACCTTCGTGGGCACGACCAACCATCCTCCTCCGCCGGCTCCTCCTCTGTTACCCGGCGTTTCCGCTGCCGGGAGACGTCGCCGCTCTACTCCCGTGTGTGTGCAGACCGTTTAGAAATGGTTTGGCCCCTACCGGGGTCCCGAATGGGCTCTGATGTTCCCTAGTCGCCCAAAGTTACATACTTTCTGCATCTGCAGACCCGTAGATATCGCGCTCACCGCCATTCATTGGCTGAGATCGGTAACAAAAGTCGCACATAACGTTGGGCAGCCTGGAACTCGAGTCTGGACTGGTAGATGACAATCCAGAGGCGCCGCTGGAAATGGAGTTACACCTCCGTCAGCAGACAGGCTAAACTACATTCAAAGTGAAACTCTGCACATACAGACTCTAGGCACCATTACCACTTCAAATCACTGAAGCGGTCATGGTGCTCGGAGTAACTCCTTAAAGGAGCCAATAAAGGGTGGCACGCAAATTAGCCCCTCGTCTTAGGAAGCCATTGAATCAGTGCTTTACTGTGGGGTTTTCACTGACGCTGGATGCACTCATGCAGAGCGTGAGGACATCCATCGTCAGGCAACTTAAAGTCTGGTAAAATGTCAAAAGCACCTCTACTGGCTGTCTGGTAAACATGGCTATTTCTCTAAAACTGCAATATTTTACATTGCAGGACTGAGGGGGCCAGGGACAGTGCACTCAGACCACTTCAATGAGCTAGCGTGGCTTTGGTGCCTATAGTGAATTTCTCCCTTCCTCCAAAGACAGTCTTAACATTTGCACAATAAGTTGCAATCGGAATATGTTGCTCATGCAATATTATGACTGTTTCCATCACTCCTCAGTTCAAAAAAGTTTTTAACTAAAAAAATTTTGATTGCATAGAAATTTCAGACATTCCAACTTTTTTTGTTTTGTTAATCTCTTTTCATAAAGATGTAACAATTAATGTTTTACTATTTGTGGTATACTGGGCTCGTCTATGGTGTTGGTGCTTTCTCCCATGGAGGTAACTATCAAACTAGTGCAAATTACATATTTTTGCTACAATTCCACTAGAATTGGCAGCTGTCTGCCTGCAAATTCAAGAGAACCAAATGTTACATCAGGCTGGGACTAGATTTGCTGGCAGATCTGTCAAATAATCACCGTACTGAAGCATTCAGTAAATCACTAAAGTGAAAATTCAAGTCCACATTATCCATATTCTGCTGTTATGACCTTAAATGTGATTCACTTTGAACTCTCACTTTAGTAACACTGTTTCTATGAATTTTAGCAAACTTGAATCCGAATGGCAAAATGTAGCCTAAAATAGGTCTAGATAAACAGATCTGGAAAAACCTCTCAAACAAGGCTATGGTCAGTCACCGTTTCCCTATTTATGGCTAAAAATGTTGCTGTTTGGATCAAAATGGCCAAATCTGCAAGATTCTCCAAGTCAAGTATTAATCTAACACGGTTACATTTGCAAGAAAAAGTATGTGAACCCTTTGGAATGATATGGATTTCTGCACAAATTGTTCATAAAATGTGATCTGATCATCATCTAAGTCACAACAATAGACAACCAGGGTCTGCTTAAACTAATAACACACAAAGAATGAAATGTTGCCATGTTTTTATTGAACACATCATGTAAACATTCACAGTGCAGGTGGAAAAAGTATGTGAACCCCTAGATTAATGACATCTCCAAGAGCTAATTGGAGTGAGATGTCAGCCAACTGGAGTCAAATCAATGAGATGAGATTGGAGGTGTTGGTTACAGCTGCCCTGCCCTATAAAAAAACACACACCAGTTCTGGGTTTGCTTTTCACAAGAAGCATTGCCTGATGTGAATGATGCCTCGCACAAAAGAGCTCTCAGTAGACCTATGATTAAGAATTGTTGACTTGTATAAAGATGGAAAGGGTTATAAAAGTATCTCCAAAAGCCTTGCTGTTCATCAGTCCACGGTAAGACAAATTGTCTATAAATGGAGAAAGTTCAGCACTGCTGCTACTCTCCCTAGGAGTGGCTGTCCTGTAAAGATGACTGCAAGAGCACAGCGCAGACTGCTGAATGAGGTGAAGAAGAATCCTAGAGTGTCAGCTAAAGACTTACAACAGTCACTGGCAAATGCTAAGATCCCTGTTAGCGAATCTACAATACGTAAAACACTAAACAAGAATGGATTTCATGGGCGGATACCACAGAGGAAGCCACTGCTGTCCAAACAAAACATTGCTGCACGTTTACAGTTTGCACAAGAGCACCTGGATGTTCCACAGCAGTACTGGCAAAATATTCTGTGGACAGATGAAACCAAAATTGAGTTGTTTGGAAGAAACACACAACACCATGTGTGGCAAAAAAAAGGCACAGCACACCAACATCAAAACCTCATCCCAACTGTGAAGTATGGTGGTTGGGGCATCATGGTTTGGGGCTGCTTTGCTGCATCAGGGCCTGGATGGATTGCTATCATCGAAGGAAAAATGAATTCCCAAGTTTATCAAGACATTTTGCAGGAGAACTTAAGGCCATCTGTCTACCAGCTGAAGCTCAACAGAAGATGGATGTTGCAACAGGACAATGACCCAAAGCATAGAAGTAAATCAACAACAGAATGGCTTAAACAGAAGAAAATACGCCTTCTGAAGTGGCCCAGTCAGAGTCCTGACCTCAACCCGATTGAGATGCTGTGGCATGACCTAAGAAAGCGATTCACACCAGACATCCCAAGAATATTGCTGAACTGAAACAGTTCTGTAAAGAGGAATGGTCAAGAATTACTCCTGACCGTTGTGCACGTCTGATCTGCAACTACAGGAAACGTTTGGTTGAAGTTATTGCTGCCAAAGGAGGTTCAACCAGTTATTAAATCCAAGGGTTCACATACTTTTTCCACCTGCACTGTGAATGTTTACATGGTGTGTTCAATAAAAACATGGCAACATTTCATTCTTTGTGTGTTATTAGTTCAAGCAGACTGTGATTGTCTATTGTTGTGACTTAGATGATGATCAGATAAATTTTATGACCAATTTGTGCAGAAATCCATATTATTCCAAAGGGTTCACATATATTTTCTTGCAACTGTATTTACAAAAGTATGAATCCAAAGAGGCCAGAGTAGCCAAAACTGAATGCTAACTGATTTAGAGGATTTTCCAGTTTGGCTAATTGGACCTTAAATTTGAAATTCACTATGGATTCTCACTTTAGTTAATAACCCTGTAAAATGTGAATTTTTTTGACCAATCCAAGATCAGTGAGTAAGCAAAAAAAAAAGTGAGACTATTAATAGCTTGTGGGTTGTTCTTATCTTTTATTTGCAAAGATCAGTTCAAGTGTTACATTTGTTTCTACTACAGACTTTAAAAAAGTTACTACAGAATGAGAACAAAAGAGGTAAAAAAAAATCACAAATCCTGCATAAAATATAAATTATATAGCAGATACGTGTAAAAAAATACTGCTTCATTCTTTAACAACTTTGCTGACCACACCAGATGGAACTGCTGCTTAGCAGACAGTGCTATGAACCCTATAATGGAAAAATGGGAATTAAAAATAAGTCGGTTCTGTTCAACCAGCAAGGTATCTATTTGCAACTTGCCCAGCATCCAGCCAGGATTACTCTGTGCACCATAACAAGTTTGCACCACTGTCATTGATAAACGTTTGGTAACAGAAAGTGAAAAGTTGACCTTATAAAGCAGGCTTCCCCAAACTCCGTTCCTCCAGATGTTGCTGAACTACAACTCCCATGATTCTATAAATGAAATAGATAGGTTGAGAATCATGGGAGTTGTACTTTAGCAACATCTGGAGAGCCGGAGTTTGGGGAAGCCTGATATAAAGAATTGATGCATTTAAATACAACATGTCTTTGGAGTGATCTCCATTTTAAATGTGTGTGTGTGTGTGTGTGTGTATAGTAGCTAAAAGAAGCATTGTGAATTTTGGATCTGCGTATAGTAGCTGAGCAAAACCCCAGGTTATATGCAGGGCTTCAAATTCCAAGTTCTACCCTACTAGCCAGGTTTTAAAAGTTACTCACTGTCTGCCGCATTCTTTAAGAGCAAATTTCTAATTGCGCTATATGTAAATATATACGTGTGTGTGTGTAAATATTGTTTTTATACTGGCAACTTATTATGGAGCACTCTATAATGGGCGTAAAAAAAAAAACTAAACGTAATCGCTACAGGAGAAGTTGTATAAATGGGAATAAAATGCAAGTGGGATGCTTGTAGCATCCTTCGAAACGAATATTGTAACAAAAGGTTTTTCTTTGAGACTCTGTTAAAGGAATGCTCCAGATCCTCAAAGCACTTCAGCTTGCTGAGTGCATTAAGGGTTAACTCACTGTCTGCTTTTTCTCCTTTATAAAAGTGCCAGTTACAAGAGAAACCCACAGTTTTATAAATGTCCTTGGATGCATCCTTCTGGCTGTCATACACATAGAAGGGTTCCCTTCCTTACACGCTTTGAGCTTGTTAGAGATTGTCATGGAGAAGCACTGGATTTAATATTTTTCCGTGAGAACTATTTTGTAGGCGCAGTGTAGCAACTACTGTGTCTGCATCTTTAGATCCCAATAGTTCTCTATGAGAAGTGAGAATCTCCCATGGGTCAAGCCGCAAGGAGACCTTCTACTAACTTTCATTTCGATATTTTGGCAGTGGATTATATATATATTTGATTTTATCCTCCACAGCATAAATGTGTCTTTACAGTGTGGAATGAGGAATTCACTGCTGTCAAAATCAACGTATACTTTTAAAATGACTTAATGGGCATTCTTTCTGTCTTATGTACCCTGCATGCCAAATCTGCCCTTTTGATTGTACCCTTCTGGTTTCCCAGTTAGTACAGTTAAAATGCATAGCGCTGCCTGACTGCTGTTTGTGGTTGTGAATGGTTAAATCCTCCCTAATCCCGCCCTCTTGTTTTCTCTTTTCCAGCTGTGATCAGGACAAGGAAGAGCTCATTCATTCATTCTAAGTAGGAAACTGGTGAAGTGAGGCTGGGTCAGCGAGGTAAAGAAACAAACCCAATGTCGACATGGTTCCTGTTTTTGCTGTCTTTCCCGCTGAGTCTGCAATATAATGTTCTTTGCTGTGTTTTTTTTTTTTTTCCTCTCTTTTCTACAGACAGCTGTGGTCTGTACGGACATGATTTGCACATATTCATTTTTAGTTTGGTTATTTTTCATTTTAGTAAAAGGCTGCAGTGATGTCTATTTGATGTGAACCTGTTAACTGCGTTATTGTAATTATTTTAACATTTTGAACTTTGTTTTTCAGTTCACTACAACGGACTGTTTTATTTAGGCCAAATCCTTTGAGATGGAACAATTCCATCTTGCCAGTTTGTCTCTCTTGGCCCTAAATGTTTCAGTTTAGGTTTCATATACCACAGTTCACCATTTAGTGAATAAACCCTCCATGGGGTTTCTAGGTTTCCCCCGTACCAACAAGTGAAGAATTATTAGATATCCAAAAACAGACCGCTGTGTTTCTTAAACCATAATTTGAGACCCAGCTTGGTTAATAATCCCTAGGAAGTAGAAAGGGTATTTTAGTTACTTGAAAGAAGAACATAGGCAGTCAATTAATTTAAGAAACCCCACAGTTACTAAACTGTAAATTATAGTGAATTGCAAACCATATTTAACAATGTAGACAAAGGATGAGAAACAGATGAATTGGATATTTGCAACTCAATTTTCCATGTCACTGTTGAATGAGTGACCCTCCCAGTGTCCTGAGGTGTGCACTTAATATGCAGTTCTAATCTATATTTCATTTTTGTATGTTTTTGGATTTATTTATTGGGGGGAGATGGTGCAGTGTGAGTATTCTATTTTGTAACCCCCCTGCCCCCATCTAAAATTAATAAATATATATATATATTCCCCCCACAGCTCACGATGAAGGGTTTATATTATCAGCAAAATGCCACTGCACTTGAGGACATGTTTTTCCTCCAGGAAATGGTAAGCTTTGTGTCATGTAACTACCATCCATTAGGCTTGTTTACAGTGCAGTTTTGGGGATGCACTTAAAAGGACACCATAGTCGCCAAAACCACTTTAGCTTCATGAAGTAGTTTTGGTGTATAGATCATGCCTCTGCGGTATCACTGCTCAATTCTCTGCCATTTAGGAATTAGACCACTTTGTTTATGCATCACTAGGCACAACTCCTTGCATGTGACTTACACAGCCTTCCTAAACACTTCCTGTAAAGAGTCATCTAATGTTTATACTTCCTTTATTGCTAATTCTGAGTAATGTAGAATTTCTTATCTCCTGCTCTGCTAATAGCTTGATAGAAAATGCAGTAGTCTCCTGTGTGTGATTAAAGTTCAATTTACAGAGCAAGAGATGCAAACTTTTAAAGTTACATCTGATTGAAATTGAAATCAAGTTTGTTTGTTTTTCATGCAGGCTGTGTCAGTCACAGCCAGGGAAGGAGGCAGAGAATTGAGCAGTGAGACTACAGGGGCATGATCTATACACAAATACTGCTTCATTAGGCAAAAGTAGTTTTGGTGATTATAGTGTCTCTTTAAGTTTAACTTATAAAAGTTCCTTTACATGTGTGGTATGGATTGGATTAAACTGGCACTGAAAAAATATATAACCTACACAGAGATTACACTTTTGCATTAGCAACTGGCACATCCAGAGATAGGACCTTTAGTCATTTTTATTAAAGTAAAACTATGGTTGTCAAATCTACCATACTTTCAAAAACGCATATAAATTCTTCATGTTGATGGGCAGCTTATGAAAAGTGCTACCTACAGTATGCTCAAAGGTTCTTCATTCATTAACTGATTGATTTTGAGCTTGCAGTATATGTGTCCTACACATTAGAAGTTACAAGTCAGAAGTGTTCATATTCTGCCCCAAAATGCATTAGTGATTATAAACATTTTAAAGTCAAAATAGGGGATTCTGGTCTAATTATCAATGTTATCAAATCACTGTCAAATGAAAAAAATGCCCAGTGAGAGTGTGACATATGGCCCAATGTAGCTTAGCTAAAGGCAGTTGCTAATACCATGACACAATTGCAATTTTCCACCAGATGTCATTTTTATTACAATTTTCTAAAATACATTTTTAACAAAGATTCATATGCACATGAACAAAATTTGGAAATTGTTAATTTTGTACCACCTCTCTTCTAGCTTTCTGTACATTCCTCTATTAACACTACACTTGCTAAAACAGTTTGATCTAATTGTGGTTTTCTAGAGCCTACAGTAGATACTACCTTGTAAGTGCCCCTAAAAGTTTTAGTTTAATATATAGTCTTGGAAACGCAGCTTTAATCCATGCCTCCAAGCCCTCTGGAAAGAAGAGATGGGACTTTTACTTCCTGGCTCTCATACCCAAGCATGCCATGATGCCACGTGTGCACACTTTAAGTACTGATACTGGTATCTGTGCAGAATTATGAACTTTTTAAAAATAAATATAATGTAATCTGAGAATCAATTTAAGATGTTTACCAGATTAAGTGGTCAGCTCCAGTGTGTGACATCTCCCCTAAATATTATGGAAAATGAAATATTATATAATTCTCTGTAATAAACATTACACGCTGGACCATTTAAAAATTCTATGCCTGTCTTTTGCACCTTTGCACAGTATTATGCAATCTCTTTTTTGCACACTTTAAGTACCAGAACCAGACAAGCCTAATAAAATGGTTGTGGTGCAAAAAGCTTGTCCCTGCAGTCTCATATTTGTAAATGCTGCCTTTTCTAGGCAGCATTTACATTTGTCCATAATGTCACCTCTAATGTTTGTCGCTCAGACAGTCATAAGAGGCACTTCCTGTTGCGGTCCTGCAATCTTTGCATGACTGGTGTTCGATGACTTTCCTTTCTGCATGAAGACGCTGAACACTTCTGCTGATTGGCCCAGCCCAGCAATAGATTGTGGATTGGCTGAGATCATCATCTTATACCCTAACCAGAGTAAAATATTTGTATAGAAAACATGTTATTGTTCATTGTAGACCTCTGCAGACCTTTCAACAATATAAAATGCTTACTACACTTTATTACATTTGATATTCATTCTCTTGGAGTAGAGGGTAACTCTGAGCATCATGACCACTTCAGTGATTTGAGGTGGTCATGGGGCCTGGAGTCTGTATGTGCATCATTTTGCTATGAAGCCCTTCACATACGAAGATTAACCTATGCTGCTGGTTCCTTCTGACTCCATTGTTTTGAGTAGTCTTGTGCCTCCTAATGTTGCTATATCATCAGTCAGAGAGCCTGAGAAGCTTGCTGAATCTGCTTCAGAGTCTACAAAATCAGGTGTCCATCCCTCATTACACAAAATTCTTCAAGAACCTAGTGACTCATTTGCCACATCTCTCCCAGAGTCTCGGGAGTCTGGTACAAAGAAAGCATCAAGTGTTGTGCCTGATTCAGAGCAATTGAGATCATGTTCACCTATAGCCACAAGACCATCAACTCTGCAGATGCATCCTCTTGCAGAGACTGAGCCCCTGCAGTCTTCTGCACTAAAATCCAAAACCTCACACTTAGAAAGTCTAGATACACCTGGAACCCAGCTACTGGAAACTAGAGATGTCGCGGCGAACTCCGGTCAGCTGACACATCCCGGCCAATCTCCAGCAGACCCTCCCTCCCAGACCCTCCTACTTCCTGGACAGCATCCATGTTGAAGGCAGCTTCAACACATGGATGCTGTCCAGGAGGTGGGAGGGTCTGGGAGGGAGGGTCTGCTGGAGATTGGCCGGGATGTGTCAGCTGACCGGAGTTCGCCGCGAACGGTTCGTGGCGAACCGTTCGCGAGAAGTTCGCGGACGGTTCACGACATCTCTACAAACGCCTGTAAACTCAGCAACCAGCTCTGGGATAGATCACTTACAGCCTGAAAGCCATGTTCCAGTACCAATGTGAATTCTGTACAAAATTGGCACCTGACATCAGCACATACAGCATGCTTTTACAAGAAAGCCGATGGCAGCATGCTCCCCTCTGTGCTGCCCATGTCCTCTGCTTAGGCTTACCTCGCTGACATCATTCCCTGTTGCCGGACGTCAGTGGAATGCGTTGGAATGGAGACCAGATTGATTTTGGGGAAAGGGAGGTTACTCTGAACACAAACAGTGTAACCTTTTAAAGTAATAATCTCTCTATTACATTGTTGCAGTGGAAAAAAAGCAAGGGATCAAGATAAGAGTATGGCAATATGCTTTGGTAAAAAAAAAAAAAACAATTGTCAGATTGCTATTCCCAGATTACTTACTTTGAAGGGACACTATAGGCACACAAACCACTTCAGCTAATTGAAGTGGTCTGGGTACAGTGTCCCTATTGCACTTAGTGCTGCAATGTAAAGGATTTTACATTGCAGCACTAAGTCTGCCCCCAGTGACTGTTTACTAGACAGCCACTAGAGGCGCTTCCAGAATGTTACTGGAATTTTGCTTCCTATGGGGGAGGCTTAATGCGAATGCAGCACTTGCAGTGCATGCACATTAGCGCCCACTCATCAAGGGACGTTGGATCAGGTAAGTAAATAAAGGGTTTTAACAGAGACAGAGGGAGCTATAGTGCCAGGAATACAGCTTTTTATTCCTATAACTATAGTATTCCTTTAAAGCAGCCTTATAAGAAATATATCCAGTTTGCTACAGAAAAGTGAGGGAATGGTTCTTGTGGACTTTTCCATCCTTATATTGTTGACGTCTTTGTGTTCTGCTTTGTACTCACTACGTGTTCTAGTATAGCTTATTGTTTTCTCTTCCTCCATGCCAGGATAATGTCTCACCTCCCAGCGACTATCACGTCAAACTTCAAGTGAAAGCTTGCGCACTGAGCCCTATTAATACAAAGGTAATTAATACAGCCTGAAAGATTTGAATGATCTGCACCCACGGCAAACACTGATGTTTTCATCAGATCATAAATAATTCAGCGATCCTAAGATAATTAAGAAGAGATTAGGACATATGTTTTGTATTACTGCACAGTATTGCATGAGCGATCTGAACACCATGCTTTCCAGCTGAGATAGATCTATTTATGTAATAAAACAGTGGAGCATGTATTAATGTTTAAAGATCGAAAACAAATGTTTTGTTGTATTGAGAAAATTAAAAGCGACACAATTATTTTTGTAAAAAAACACAGCCCTTGTTCCATTCAGCAAGTCACTCTTTTTACTTAATCCAGTTTAAAAAAAAAATGGTATGAGCAGAAATCTTGTTTCTTTATCTTCTAATTTAGCGTTTCCTAAAACAGCCCTTAAGATGTACCAACAGTCCAGGTTTCGTCAGTATTTCCATTGGAATAAAACAGGGAAATACATCAATCCTGGATTGTTGGTGGGCCATGGTTTAGGAAACACTGAGTTCGTTTTCCCCACATTCCATCTACTGGTGAATCTTCCCCAACATTTCATGAAGCAAAGCAAGCAAAAATAACACCTACAACAGAAAAATAATAAAATCAGATTGCTTTACATGAGCATAAGGTAAAATCTATCCAAGAACAGGTGAAGTAGGGTTAGGGTCCGAATTACCAAAGTTCTGACTTGCCGAAATCCCGAATTTCGGAAGTACCAAACCGAATGCCATTGGTCTGTTTTGCCAAAGCAGACACATTTTTTTTTCTTATCTGAATTTCCGAATCGAAACAAATTTTGTGCCCATGCACATCTCTAATGCTGAGACAAAGTAGGTGACTACTTGGTCTCCGTATTTCTCTGAGTCCTGAGACTGGAGTTACTGCGGTCAAGCTTGTCATTTCCAGCTGCATGAACTTTAGTTCTTTCTATGGAGGATCCTGTGGTCTTGCGGGTTCCTCCATAGACCTCATGCTGTACTCTCGTGCATGGGGAGGTGGACCCCATGAAATGGGGACAGAGACATTTTAGCGTTGGGAATACAGATTTGTGTTCCTAATGCTAATGTGTTCCTTTTAAGCAGAAATGTAAGCAGATACTTTTAGATTTCTGCTGAGTGTAGAATTCTAAAAACAGTTGAACTTCTGTTTTTATCGTGTATTTCCTAAAACTCGGAAACCGCATTGCAGCAGATATGCTAAAACAGAAAGTGCTGAATTTCTTGAGTACTGATACTGGCATCTGTGCCAATTTATGAACTTTTTCAAAATAAATAAAATGTAATCTGAGAATCAATTCAAGATGTTTCCCAGATTAAGTGGTCAGTTCCAGTGTGTGACATCTCCCCTTAATATTATGGAAAATTAAATATTATATAATTCTCTGTAATAAACATTACATGCTGGACCATTTAAAAATTCTATGCTTGTCTTTTGCACCTTTGCACAGGATTATTCAATCTCTTTTTTGCACACTTTAAGTACCAGAACCAGACAAACCTAATATAATGGTTGTGGTGCAGAAAGCTTGTCCCTGCAGTCTCATATTTGTAAATGCTGCCTTTTCTTTACATTTAGCTTGTATCAGAAGTGATGTTGGAAAAAGAATCTGTGCCAGTGGGAAGAGAGGTAGCCGGAGTAATAATGGAAGGTAAACTATCAACATTTTGTGTGTGTGTGTGTGTGTGTTCATTGACAAATACACTGTATTTATTTTAAAAAACAAAACAGTTTATTTAACGCCTTAAACACTTTGATATAAGGACATCTACATTAGGGTAAATCCGCGCTCTCACCAGGAGTTTCAGGTATCAATGGATACGTGGGGCTCTCCTCTATCCGCTGGGGCCATTTTTCTTAGCCCAGATTTTTTAATGATTTGAAGGCATTTTAATGATTTAAATGCCTTCAATTTGATAACAGTGTGAGCAAGGTTAAATCCCTGCTCACACCATTAACCCAAGGTATCAATAGATACCTGGGGATCCTGTTACTCATCTAAAGCCATTTTTAGTAGCACCAGAATGACCGATGAGCTCTATGCAATGCTGGAAGTCAGCGCTGCATAGAGCCCTTTAAATCCATTCATAAATCCGTGACTGAGTGATGGCGGACAACCACTGTTTTTGTGGGCTGCAGGCTGCTTTAGGGAGATTCCCCCGGGGTCTGAATACACCCTGGTAGGGTCTCCCAGCACCAATCTCGGTGAAGCCTGCTTCATTCATAATTACACAAAGTGTAATTATGAAAACAGCCAGTAGATGGATGTCACAGACTACTATCTACCATGGTAAATAGTAAAACCCATTTCTTATATCAGAATTGGTATTAGCTGTGGGTTACCTGGGGGTTGGGGTTCAGGTTATGGTAGGGTTAGATTTAGGGGTAAGAGTAGGTTAGTATTTAGTTAGAGTAGGGTAAGTGTTAATGCTGGGTATGTATTAATACTGTTTTAGGGTTGGGAATAGTGTAGCGTTAAGGGTAAGATCGCAGGCAATAGTAGTGGTACATTAGTTTATAGGAATCTTAAACTTACGAGTCATCAGAATGAGTATGAGGTTGGTGTCCATCAGCCAGGGCTTGTTAGTGGGCAAGGAGCCATGACCCTGGCCATAGACTACTGGGTGAATGTGCTGAAGTGTAAGGCTAAGTGAGTCCTCACAAACTAAACGGGCTGAGGTTAGGTCCTGTGTGCTATGAATGACAATAGGTAGGTTAGAAAAAACAGGACCAAAGCAATGGTCATTCAGGTGCCGCATTCTATAAGAGCAGTTGTTAATTGGTAACCCATGCTTCAGATGTTCATAGGATGATAGGAGTGATTATAAGTAAGAACTGAGTGTGTGAAAAGGGAGGGAGAAGGCATTTGCGTCATATAACACGACTACTAGTAGTGTTTCGAGCGCCCGCCAACTAAGTCCCTAGGACAGGTAAGGAGTAGGATAACATGATAATGGAGGGGAAGGGGAATGTCTTCATTAAGGCAGTGGGTCATCCATGCCGCCACTAGTTTTATTCAAGATAAGATAAATGGAGGTATAGCTACCACGGAAGGGAGGTATCTCCTTCAAGCCAGGGGTCCCAATATTTCTGGAAGGATTTAAAGTTGTCATGGGTTTGGGCTGTTAATTTATCTATTGCAATACTATCCTGAATTTTGTTGCCTATCGTCAAGAAGGAGGGGATCATTGAGGTGGCCCAAAGTTTTGCTATCGCCCGACTGGTAGCTAGGGCAATTCTTGCCACTAGTTTATTTTGAAATGCTCTTTTTTTTTATTTTTTAAATGTTGAAATCACATTCCAGAGCACACATTATCCTTTTATGAAGCAGGTGTAAAGGGCAGAGCTTTTAGAAAATTACTTTAAAAAAAAACCAAAACCTGAACAAAGCTAAACATAGCTGTGCGTATTGCCACTTATACTTTTATTTTTCAGATCTTTGTTTAAATACAGCGGTTTATAAAACATGATAAATCCTGGAAAGCGACTGCTTACCTTTAAAGCCAACAGGCAAATTTGCCCCATCAGTCTGTATCCTACAAACACTGGGGGTTTTGTCCCAAACTGTTCAAAATAAAGTGTAATCTCATATCCATTAGTCTTAAGACTGTGATTTTGTTAAATGTTACATTTTCAATTAAGGTATTTTTGTGCAATTTCCTGTAATAGATTTGGATTTTAATTATGTACTGCATTATTTATTTTAGTTGGATCGAAGGTATCCTTTTTTCAGCAAGATGATGACGTAGTGGGTAAGTTTGTTGCAAAATCTGCGTGGACGTGACGGTAAACTTTTTGTGAATAAATCCACCCTGTTATTAAATCACAGACTGTGAATTCAGATACACTGACAACCAGGTGGCAACATTAAATCCACAATAGCTAAAAGAGCTGTTATATTTCCAACACTGCTCTGGCCTAAGTTTTGCAATTTGGTTATCGATTCACAGCAGTTCACATCTGAACCTTATATGCTACATGTATGGATGATAATTAACTTACATGTTACACCGTGCCGTGACTTTGCCATGTCCTCCTGTAGTGTGCCCAAAGGATGTCACACTAGTTTTATAAACCTGTATAGTGCTCCATCTCAAGACATGTTTGTGTGTTGACTGATCGTGGCAATTGTCTGGCGATTCTTGCCACTCACCGTATCCTACACTTTTTACAGATTAATGTGCACAGCTTATCAATGATTGTATTGCCCACATGCTGCTATAAATGTGTACAATGCTGCCTTGTTTGCATAGCACCACCTAGCCCACAAACTGTGCCTGGGTATTACTGGTGCAAAGACACTGGTGGGCAAGTCAAGGACATACATTATCTCCCCATAGCTAGCACCAGCAAAATTAATGGCAACAGTGACTCAGCAGAGCAGTTCTCAAGAAATTAGGAGAGCGGAGTCCAGTTACTATAGGGACACTATAGTCACCATAACAACTACAGCTTATTAAGTGTTCTTGCATAGCAAGACCACTTAATGTTATCTCACATATATATTATTAAGTGTTCTCGCATAGCAAGACCACTTAATGTTATCGCACATATATATTATTATTCTTATTATAACTAAATTTATCACCCTAACTCCTCCTACAGTTTTTACACTACATAGACTGTAATATACCGAAACGTGTGGATTGTTCCCGATTGGATTGCTATTACTTTGTGGAACGTTTCGCCAAATGGTTCACAGAATATCGTCGTTCTTGTGGCGAAATTGGTCCCATAGGAATGAATATCAAAATGTTCAAAACTAGAGTGGGAGCTGGCAAAAGCTGAAAAATCAGGACATGATTTCTAAACTGCCACCACTCCCTCATTTTCAAGCTCACCTACACAAATCCTATATCAAAACGTTCAGCTATCCCTGCTGCCACTAAAAATGTAGGTCTGGGTCTTGTGATTCTCACAATATAAAGCTCTTCGCTGTAGGATTTATAGTTTTTAAAATACGACCGTTTGAAGATGGTAACCGCCAAAATACTCTGACCTGTGCCGGGCTGGAGCAGCAAGTGATGTCATAGACAGGGCCTTTTATACACCTGCTAATGTTTTTATAAATGTATTTTTTAACCCCTTAAGGACCAAACGTCTGGAATAAAAGGGAATCATGACATGTCACACATGTCATGTGTCCTTATCGGGTTAATGTAACTGTGAAGCACTTTGGGCAACAACGTTGCAATTAAATGTGCTATATAAATAAATAAAAGTTGAAATGCATTTCTCACTCTATCAAGCTTGCCATGTGCACTTTTTAAATTTGATCAATCTGTTGGTTAGTGTGATGTTTACTATCTTTACTCACTCCAAACACTCCACAGTTACTTTGCCCCGTCCAACCTTTCCACAGTTACTCCAGCCACTCCAACCACACAACAGTTACTCCAGCCACTCCACCAAGTTACTCCGCCCACTCCAGTTGTAGACTACTGGTGGAGGCAAGAACACTTCACACAATTTCCCCAGAAATTGTAGCTTTTCTAGTTGTATGTGTTCTGGTGAGTATAATCACTCCCTTCAGGCTTTTCACAGTAAACACTGTCTTCTCAGAGAAAAGGCAGTGTTTACATTACAGCCTAGGGACACCTTCACTCGCCACTCCTCAGATGGCTGCTAGAGGTGCTTCCTGGGGCAGTGTTGCACACTGTGACTGCCATTCAGAGTCTCCACCCTCTGCATGGAGACACTGTACTTTCCTCATAGAGCTGCATGGATTCAATACATCTCTGAGGAGATGCTGATTGGCCAGGGCTGTTTTTGGCTTGTGCTGGATCTGACTCCTTGACAGTATCAGCCAGTCCTATGTGAAAGCATTGTGATTGGTTCAGAACAAGACTTCTGATGATGTCAACCAAGCAGGCAGATAAGTTGTAGAGCCAGCAGATGCAGACTTGAACAAAAGTAAGATTTTACTAATTTTAGGAGGCATGGGGGCTAGATGGTGGTTTTTAACACTATAGGGTCAGGAATACATGTTTGTGTACCTGGCCCTATAGTGTTCCTTTAAAGATATTAGTGTCCGAGGACTAAAAATGACATTTTAAAGTAAACTATCTACCTTGAAATTTAACTCAGAAACTCTCCCTATTAGATCAACATGTTGTGCACAATCTTACTTTTCTATTGGTCCTTCCTTTCAGCTACACTTCTATTATTGCAAAGAGACAATCTTAAGATCTGTGTGCACACTCGGACAGAAAATAACCCATCTCACTGTGTATTCTGATTTTAAGAAGTCTCAGTACTTGGTAACATGGATTACCCCAGAAAGCTGTGCCATGATCATGTGTTCTGTATATCTGATCTATCATCGCTTACTTCTGTCTTGCAGGCATTTTACCATTGGACTCCCAAGAGTCAGGGCTCTCTGAAGTGCTCTGGATTCATGAGCATAACTTGGGTAAACTCCTCAAACAAATTGTGTTTGAAATTATTTTTCTTTCCATATTCACTCTGGCAGCCTTTTTCTCTGGAACTGCTGCAATATTAAACATGCATATGTGTAATAAAATTGCAGGTTTAACATATAAAATGTATTACCATTTAATTATTATTATTTTTTATTTTATTTTTTTAAACCTGTAATTATTTGCATATTTTGCCAATTTTGCCAGATTTCCTTCTTGTTTTACCAGTTCTCAAACCAGAGAAGATTAGCTGGGTGGAGGCTGCGGGCGCAGTTCGTGATGGATTGAGTGCGTACACTGCTCTCCATTTTCTTGCCCATCTGGGGCCTGGGAAATCTGTGTTAATAATGGACGGAGCAAGTGTATGTATTGCCTTTTAATAATTAGTTCTTCAACAGTGTTCTCCCAGAATTGTGGTTAAACATTTAGAAAATATATCTTTTTAATTTTTAAGAGTACCTAAATGTGTGTTGCTTATTTTGTGTTTGTGCCATTTGTTTCATACATCTTTTAATTTTATTTTTATTTTAACTTGCATAGCCATTTGGGGCCCTTGCTGTGCAGTTATCTCAGCATACCGGAGCCATGGTAATTGCTACAGCTTATAACCATGAGGATAAACAGTACTTGGAGAAACTTAAGCCATCTCTAGGTGAGTTCACTATAATCAGTATACAGATTTACAGGTTATAGTACAAACTGCTCTTTATGGCTGCGTGAGGCTTTTCTTGGTTTACATGTTCTTCAGAAATATACTTGGAAACTTCAAAATTATAAATATGTCTGTACAATATATCTTGAAAATGAGCTGGATAATGTACAGTAATTTTTTGGACTATGGGAATTTTTTATTTATTTATTTTTTACCCCAAAATATGGGGTAAAAATATGCCTGCATCATTTATTGTGAATGTCACCCATCGCAATGTCTGGATGACCAGAATAACTTGCGGGAAGGAGGAGCACAGAGCATCACCCTAGACCAAAAGGCGGTAAGGCATTCAACTGGTTGGTTTTTTATTTATTTATTTCTAATGAAAATATGTGGGTGCGTTTTTATATTCCAAAAAGTATTAAATGTTGTGCTGAAGATTAACATGGTCCAGGACATATTCATCTCCGCTTCCATTCTTCCATGTGCAGCTCGTGTCCTAGATTTGTCTAAAAGCAAAGTGGATCTTGCAGAGGCTTGCCTTGAAGAGACTGGTGGCTTGGGTGTAGACATAGTCATTGATGCTGGAGGTCAGTGTGATGTCTTCATATCTGCAGTCTGATTTTTATTATTCTATTTTTATAAATGATGCCATGGTTTTTGATTTTATTTTTGTTGGTTTTTTATTTTTTATTTTATTTATGCGACTTCTATGCGTAGTAAAACATATTGATTTTATGTGAGGTTGAAGAGCTCTTACGTTTCTTTGTTTCACAGTGATTCTCTATAAAAGCGAGAATTCTATCACCAAATCCCAGCCTCTTCCACATAAACACGATATCATCACCCTTCTCTCGGTGGGAAGTCACTGGGTCACCAGAGAAGAAAATCTACAGGTAAGTCTTTATACTGGCCCAAAAATGAATATATAATGGACGTGTATATATCTAATTAACTAATATACACTTATTTCATAGTGTAGATACCAAGAATATTAAATGACTTACTGCTTCCTCTTTAACATTTATATTAGTGCACTAGTGGGGTTATGTATTTAAAATGGATTTGTCATGTAGTGATTGGAATTATATGTCAGATTTTAGACCATTCTTCAGTGCTCTGATACGGTCAAACCAACGCATGTGGCAATTGGTTTTGAAAGTGAATATATGTGCTAGTGCTGTGATGGAACCCATACATTCACTAATATTGAGATGTGACATTTTAGCTCTGTGAAATCACACCTTGAAATGAGACATTTGAGGGGGGCGGAGCCTAACCGCCGAGCTGGAAGGACGCGTTGAACACCAGCTCCTGCCTGAACGCAACAAAAACAAGGGTAAATACCCCGAAAATCGGTGCGTCCACCAGCTGGAGGGTATGAGACAGAGTGGGGACACCCAGGAGCACAAAATGATACCAAACTAGAGTACCCCACAGCCCGGAAACCCACAAAAAGCACCTGAGGCCTACCAGCGACTGAGCCGGGGAGAGGCGGCCGCTCTCCTCGAAGACACAGCCGCGCATAGAACCCTCGGCGCACCCGCCTCCCTCCCCCCCCCACCAGGACCGGCGGGGGTCATCCCGGTCCACACTAGACACCAGGGCTGCCAACTGACACAGCCTACCAAGCCTGTACCAATACCTCACAGAGACAGCTCCTCGCATGGCGAGTCCAAGATGGCAGCTGGCGGCAAGAGGCACACGGCAAGCACACAAGCGAAGTTGGCGAACATAGTACCAATAAAACCTACTGGAGGCCCACAGGAACCTCTTGAAAAACGGCTAGATGAGCTCTTTCGTGCCTTCTGGCTGAAGCTCGAACACAGACAAGCTCTGACCGCAGAGAAAAGCAGAGAAGATGGAGCACAGAGGCTCCAGCTCTGCACAGCTATGCTGTCCACAGCCTGCTCAGCAAATCCAGGGAGGAAAGCCCGCCAAACCACAGCCCGTCCACGTCCTGTGAAACGCAGTACCTGCTCGCCTAAACAGAAAACTAAACGGAGGACACACTGGATACAAGCTACACGCCACCGGCGGGAACAACCTTGCCCTCAAACCAAGCATACTGCCAGCTGGGACACCGCTCGCGGAACCAAGAGGGACCGAAGAGCTGGGAACTACACAGGTGCCCTCGCAGAGGCCTGGGGCCAATGGGGTAGAATAATACAGCGCGACACCTCACCGACACCCGCACAATGCATACCCCGGACCACCACGAAACTCCCACATGGACCGAAGCCGGTCTCACCCAAGCTCTCACTCAAGCCTCCACCAACGCCAAGCACAAAAGCTACGAAGAGCCCTCTCCCAAACCCACGCAGAGTGTCAAAGAGACTCGGAGCTCCGACAAGCGGATGGGGGAGACCGGGGCAGAAGCCCCCTTTTACACACTATAAATGGTTACCGGGACTGTTTCTGACTGGCGTGGGCTGAATGGAGAGCAATTCACAACCTACAACATCTCGGCACCAGGACATTGGCACCATCCTTCCCTTGACCTCGAAGACCTCGTAAGAGGGACATGTTTATTCTTTTTTTTGTGTGTGTGTTTTTTGCAGTTTCATTCTTGGGTTATTTTAATGGCTCCTATGACGAACAAAATGAGACAGCAACCACAAGTTTATCATGGACACAGCAAGTATTTACTAATGATACCTGAAACAGGCATAGGCTGACAGTCCCCCTACATACAATTCATAGCCCTCAGTCGGTTTGCATTATTTCCTCTTATTTGCTTTAATTTGTATTCACTCTGGCGACATCAACATACCTGTCTCTTATCTTACCACCCAGTGGACTCTTGTCTCATGTATCTGAGGATGCAGTAATATGTCTTGTTTTATCTAATCATAAAAGCTTTAAAATCTCTGCCACATAATTCAACTATCTTAATATTATAAAAATATGTGCGGTTCAAAAAAAAAAAAAAAATTAATGGCAGTTGTGCTTAATGCTTCATGGCTATAACATGTTAACTAAGCACACACATGCACTGTTAAACTGTTACATGGTTATCATCTGCAATCATACTGTGCCTCCGCGTAGGCGAACATGACTTTTTGCTAGAATCTGCACAATGTTGACATATAACTTGCATTATGAAAATAAAAATATGCCTGCTGTAATACTACAGCTAGATTGGTACATGCGGGCTCCTTCCCCGGGCGGCGCACCTCTGAGGTCATACCAGCCTATTTAAATGACATCCTCCCTTCTGCCGTAACACCACCATAGTACCCAGCGGCTACCCTGCTGACAAATTAACTACAGTTTCGCGTGTTCCCTTATCTTGATATATTATACTCGACTACGTTATTGTCAATCCATATAGTATATCTCAAACAATTCTACTGTTTTCTTGTTAAGCAACACTATATGCATCACTATGTTTACCTTTAAAAATGTGCAGTACTACTACATGCCACAGTTTTACGCCTCTTGAAATGTCTGTATTTACTGTTGTGGCATGGCAAGCTTGTCTGTCAAACTTTTGCACAACAAAAATAAAGAATTATAAAAAAAAAAATAAAAAATAAAAATAAATGAGACATTTGATATTTAAGTGAGGAGGGTCTAGTAAATTTGGATTGAAGGGAAAATGCTACCCGGTAATGATCTAAAAACACTGGAATTAATTTTTCTACTGAGCTTTCAAGTCAACATTGGAACACCAGTCAGAGTTGTTATGAAAGCATAATTCTTCTGTTGAATTTACAAGTCTGATTGCCATCAAGGGGTTAAGTTTCAAAGCAATTGGTCTTGTATTGCTGGACTTCTAAATAAACCAGTCCCAGCCCAACATTCTGTGAACAATATTGACACCTACAGGTAGTGGGTGCCTATTATGGATTCTGCCAACCAAAGGGTGATTGGACATAAAGTCAGAATATGATTTGGCTGGAATTATTTTCAGTGTGTGAAAATATATATATATATATATATATGTCACATTAAAATGCTTGGGAGCGACTATGTCCAGTATATATCCAAAACTAAACACAGTCGCTCCCAAGGGTCTAAATAAGACATTATCATACCATTCCATTATTTGAGGTATTACTGCTTGTATTTTGTTTTTATTGTATTGTTATTATTTATAACGCGCCAACAAATTCTGCAGCGCTGTACAATTGGTGGACTAACAGACACGTATTTGTAACTAGACGACTTGGACACGCAGCAACAGAGGGATTGAGGGCCCTGCTCAATAAGCCTACATGCTAGAGGGAGTGAGGTATAGTGACACTAAAGATATGTACCGGTATGTGTTTGAGATTTGATATGGGTAGGGTAGAAAAGTAGGTTGCTAGGATAGTATTCACTGAGGGCTTAGTGTTTTGTTTTGATGACAGTTTCAGAAGAAGTATCCGGGTGCGAGGAGGGAAAGCTCTTCACAGTTTCATTGAAATGCTTTCCTGAAGACGTTGGCCTGGGTAAAAGTCTAACAGAAAGGGGAATTGTTCAGCCCTAGAGAAGTCTTTTTAAGGTGAGCATCAGAGGTAGGAGTACGAACAGAGGTTAGACGTAGGTATTCAGCAGGGCATAGGGGCTTACACGGGACATATTTGTTTATTAGTTAGGTTAGGTAGGTCGGAGCAGCATTGTGTAGAGATTTGTAAGCAAGTACCAGGATCTTAAATTGAGCCCTATATCTTACGGGAAGCCAATGTAGGGACTGACAGAGGGTGGAGGTATGTATTGCTTCACACACTTAATTAGTGCATAATAACTGTTAAGGAGTCACTGTATTGGTGCTATGGGATAAATTAGGAATATTTTGGTCAGTGGCATATTCCACACTGTAGTGTATGAGTTTACAAAGTACAATGAAATCCATTCACAGCTCAGTAGAGGGCGTTAAAGCCTTCAGCTGCTGAGTGCAGAGACAAAATAGCCATGGTGTACTCTAGACTTCTTAAAAATCTTTTGGCTGGGTTCATTATTGATAAAGAGTATCATTAAACCAGAAGATGATATCTTAGACTTCAGTCTTTAGCCAAGAATATCTTCTCATATAACGATATAAGCAAGAACCCCTTGAGAGTGGAATGTTAGCAGTTACAGGTTTAAAACTTTGAGCTTGACCGTGTTCTGGAGTTTGAGGTTGATTTGACACAAATTGCTACCCCTCCTCCCTCACAGTTGGGTCAAGACAATGGTGCACTGAATAATTGATAGGAACAGCTGTTTATAACACGAGCTCTGCATCTTAACCAGTCGGGCTTCTCGAGTTTCAACAAGGTGACAATAATAACATTCTTGTACCAGAGGAGTTAGGTAAAAAACAAGACTGTCCTTTTTGCACTGGCTGATGTCTTCACATGGGAAACCCAGAATGAAACCATAGGGACAAGTAAAGAGTATGGTTTACACTTCCTGGACAAGATGGTTGACAGGGTTCCTGTGCTATGTAACTTTATAGGGATTACTGAGATGAGCAAATAGTTATACTTGCATTATGACACAAGAAAGAAGGACGTAATGACTGGAAACTAATTACTTATCTGAATGAGCCTTAGCAATATCCCAGGAAAAAAGGACCTCAAGGTTAAAACCCTATGTTTCATGTTATTGTTTTTTGTCCCATTACTATTTTTTTTTTTTTTTAAAGCCAACTTTGAGGGAATGGGTTTATTTTATTTCTTTTAATTATGCAGAAACAGACATAACCACAAACAAAATAAAATGAGACTCGACAACATACAGTTCTTAAAAGTGGTCTATGTGATAGCATCTCATACAATTTTATATACCAGATTGAAATCTGATTAGCAAAACACACCGGTTTCTAAATGCCATGCAGCTACCCTTTTCACAAAAGAACATACTACCCTGAAGTAAGATGTAACCTTGCTATGTCTGTTCAATGTTTCACAGCTGGACCCACCAGACAGTCATTCTCTCTTCCTTAAAGGAGCAACGGTTTCTTTCCTCAACAATGAAATCTGGAATCTGTCTAATGCACAGCAAGGAAAGTATCTACATATCCTTTCTGTTTAACTGCATACAATCCAGACCTGCAAGGAGGTTGTAGCAGATTTACCTTTGGTTATTTAGGATGTATTTGATATACCTATTTACACAGTTAAAATCCTAAATGACTATTTATTTTCTTTACAGTGACATAACTATTTTGATTAAGATAACAGAAAACATGCAAATGTTATTGTCATCCACAAATGTTGTAGATATACATTAAAAGGTAAACTTTGCTGAAGGTCAGTTTATTGACCTTCAATGATTAGTTTGAAAATGGATAAATGGCGTAGTGGTAAAGCCAAAGCAGGTAAAAAAGAGACTATATGAAAATGATGACCCATACACTTGCTACCACACGAGTGTCGAATTTTTCCAAATTGACTGTTTTTTGCGTAATATTTGTAATTCCTTGGACAATTACTGGTTTAGTGAATAAACTCAACAGTCCAGCCTGTAACACCATTGAACTTTTTATGAATCACATACAAAATGCCCCTACTTTCCTTTTACCACAATAATTTTCTCCTCATTCGAATTATTTCATACCAACAGGAATGAGCAATGATATCACGTGCAAGTATCATGTGCAATTTGTTTCGGTCCGAATGTGAATTCGGATGAATTTCGGGCAATTCGGGTACTTCTGTATAGGTGAATTGCCGAATTGGTCGAATTTCCGAAGTGCCGAAGCACAGTATTGCCTAAGAACTAATATACTTACCCAGTGGAAGAATGAAGAATGTTACACTGTATACAATTTTAAATAAAAAGTATACAAACTTAGCCAGGATTCAGCTGTAAGCATTTGCAACACTTACAACAATCATGTAACATACATTCATATAAAATGTAAGGCCAGTCAATGTAATGACAGGAATGAATAAGTAGATAACTCCCTAATTCCTATGGGAGTTATCTACTAAAAGCCTGAAAGACCTGCATTGGTCTTTCAGCCAAATTTACTAATACTAAGTAAAGATTACTTAGTATTAGTAAATTATGCCCCTACTCGCTATACCGCGAGTAGGGGTATGTCTATTAAACAGTGAGCAGCCAGTGGCTGCTCATTTTAAAAAACAAACAAAAAAAAGTCCCCCCCACCCAAGCCGAGTAGGGGCTTCTAACCTGAAGGGGGGACCTATTGTTCACCCACCCTGGCCCCCACCCCTGAAAGGCAGGTGGGGGGGCCCTACAGTAAAATAAGGGGGGGACCTAATGTTCTCACCCCTGGCCCCAGCACCTGAACGGTGGGTGGGGGCCCTAAATTAGAATAAGGGGGGACCTAATGTCCTCCTCCCTGGCCCCCACCCCTGAGCGGTGGATGGGGGCCCTAAATACCAATAGGGGGGGACCTATTGTCCTCCCCTCTGAGTGGCGGGTGGGGGCATTAAATACTAATAAAGGGGGGCCTAATGTCCTTCCCCCTGGCCCCCACCCCTGAGCGGTGGGTGGGGGCCCTAAATACCAATGGGGGGGGACCTACTGGCCTCCCCCCTGAGTGGCGGGTGGGGGCCCTAAATAAAAAAAATTCCCCCCCTCCAGGTGACTAGGGGTTCCCTAGTCACCTCCCTCCCAAAAAAACTAACCCCCTACCTACCTACCTCACCCTAAAAATAATGAGGGGGGGACTAGGGGGAGGACCCTTTTTTCTTTCTTTCTTTCTTTTTTTATTAACAGTGAGCAGCCACAGGCAGCCACAGGCAGCCACAGCCACCGCGAGTAGGGGAAACATGTACTAATACTAAGTAATCTTTACTTAGTATTAGTAAATTTGGCTGAAAGACCAGTTTAGGTCTTTCAGTCTTTTGGTAGATAACTCCCTAATTCCCACGGTATTAGGGAGTTATTTATTAAACAGCTGCAAGAGAAGTGCAGAATTGCCGAATTTCGGAATGCCGAACCGAACAGAAGATTTTCCTCATACACATGCCAAATTACAAGCTTTTTGAGAGGCACATCTGACAGCAAAGTTTTGTCTAGACAGAACCAAAAACGTTATCTCGGAAACAAAAATTAAAAAATATAAAGGGGACGTCGTCTCCAATTTCAAGACCCCTATTCATTTTTAGATTTAATTAACAGCAGTTTAGATCTGTCCCAGCATGTTCAACAGTTGGATTTATTAATTGATCACCTCTGTTTTAACATACATTATGCAGATTTAGCTCAATCCTATTTGCAGGGAAACATGCCAACGTTTCCTTTTGTAATTGCATGCTAAATGTTTTTATTCCAATTAAATAGTAGGTTTCACATGAAAATAAAGAATGTTCAACCAGAAATAAAATCTTGCCTTAACTGCCTTCTCACATATCCTAAAAGATGTGATGGAAAAACTATCAAACGGAATCCTCAGGTAACTGTGTTTTTACAATGACATTCTTTTTGTAGATGCAGAATATGCACTGCATAGCCTAGAGAAGCATAACATCCATTACTGAAGGACACCAATTGTCATATTCCCCTTCACAGGCCAGGTTTAATAGCAAAAAGAGATTTTTTTTTTGGCAGGTGGGGTTGTTTGTGTTTTTGCAAATATTGGTTTACAGTTGAAATGGAACTGTTTGATCACCTTCCAATTTAGCCAACACTTAGTATATTTATATTATTTATATTTCCCAAATATCAATGGGTTTACTTGTATCTTTAAATGTTAAGTTTGCAATTTTTTTTTTTATTTTTTTTAATGTACCCTTAATAACATGGAAGATACTGTTTAAAGGAACACTATAGGATCAGGAATACAAACATGTATTCCTGACACTATAGTATTAAAAACACCATCTAGCCCCTCTTGCCTCCCAAAATATAGTAAAAATCTTTTTACTATATTCAAGTCTGCAGCTGCTGCCTCTGCCCCTGATCTCCTGGCTTGACTGACATAATCAGAAGTTGTGTTCTGAGCCAATCACAATGTGTTCACATAGGTTTGGCTGAGGCTGTCAAGGAGGCAGATCAGGGGCAGAGCCAGCACAAGCCAAACACAGCCCTGGCCAATCAGCATCTCCTCATAGAGATGCATGTCTATGAGGAAAGTTCCAAGTCTCCATGGAGAGGGTGGAATCACTGAATGGCAAAACTGCAAAGTGTGCAGCGCTGCCCCAGGAAGCACCTCTAGTAGCCATCTTAGGAGTGGCCAGTGAAGTTCTCTATGAGAAGCCTGTGATTGGACAATGCAAGTTCCCTGATGATTTCAAACAGAAGAGAGATCAGCGCAAAAAATGCAAACCGTGTTAAAAGGCTGCAGTAACCCTTTAACAAAGGATTAAATTATCACAGAGCAAAATCCAAACTCCCATTTCCTGTCCAGAAAATTCACTTATGACTTTATTTATGACTTTATTTTTCCATTTAGCACAATATTAATTGTGTTGAATTGCCTAGAGTATTATGCCTTTGCATATTCAATACTTGCACTGTAGTTAATCTAGCTCTTCCAGGTTGCTTGCTATCAGTCTTGCTGTTGAAAAATGGATGTTACTTGTTTTTTTTGTATGTTTTTTTTTAACAGTATCTTCAGTTGATTATTTAAATAGTTACCTTGTGTGACAAAACTGGAGATTGTGCACAAATATGACTATTGTCCATATTTTTTATGATTCCCTTCATTTGTTGCACTGTTCCTCATGTGTTTCATCTGTTGGTTCGACTACCAGACAAACTGTGGAGTTACTGGGTGGCCACCATTTCATGTATCAGAGGCACATGGTGAGAACAATGGATAGCGGCCATTTTAACAGACACTGTTTTGACTTTTCTACATGGTGCCATCTCGCCAGTATTTGGTGCACAAAGACATCGTTCAGTAGTTTCAAACTACAGAACAGGGAACACATTTAACAGTAATTATTTTTCATATAGCCTGTATATGTTCTGCATTAAACCGTATCTTCCAAACTACTGAACGGATGTGGGTGAATTTTGGATATGTGGTTCACCCAGATCTCCTGGTTCCGAGGATATATTTTTATGGGGTTATTGCATGTTTTGGGGTCCCTGTGATATGTTTTATAATACTGTATTTTCCTGCCTGTGATAATTAAGTTAGTCTATTGTGTTGAGATAATTGTATCACAGGCAGAGGGGAGGATTTCTGATGTAATGAATGGGAGTGTTAGCTGTATTGTAATGTGTTGATTGTGCTTCAAAACCCTGTGGGCAGTACTATGTTTGTAGAATGTGAATAAAAGAGGCTGTATGTGCCAGTACAGGCAGTTCTATTTCATCGTCAATTTGGAGTGCTGTCTCTTATTGGGGGATTCTGCTACAAGGGATTGCTATGCTTTTTATACTCCCTTGCTATATCACTACTCTTGTAAGAGCTTGTTCCTGCCTTGCTCTCTGGAGGAGTCTACGGTGGTTATGGTGTCTGCTGCAGTGCTTGGAGTCCTCAGGAAGCGCTAGGAGCATCCTTCAACGGCGGTACCCAGTCGGGGTGCCCGTCGATCTGTTACACCTTGCTACGATGTGATGTGGGTTTTCTTTAATGAAAGTCCTTATGTTCAGAGCCATTTAATTAAATCCTGTATAAGTTTGAACAAATATTTGATTTTCTTGTCCAATTTTCTTAGGCCTCAGTTGGATGAACCCGTTCCTTTGTATGAAGCGAAGGTTGTCATGGAAATGGTTCAGAAGAATGAAACAAGAAAAAAGCAGGTTGTTCAATTGTGAACCATAGCAAAGGGCATTAAATATACAGCCATAAGGCAGGTGAAGTCCAAGCCAAGCAGACCTTTGGCTGTTTAAGCTACGAGACCTAGCTGCATCATGGGATTTCAAAAAGATAAAGAAGGAATGCTGAATGACTATTACTCCTTGAAGCAATCTTGCCAGTGTGATCCAGGAGGAAACAACTTACAAACTCTGGCTTGCATTATTATTTATTTTTGCTAGTGTGCTCTGTGAGCACAGTTATGTTGCCCCACTTGCTGTGAACTTAAACAAAGAACCTTTTTATGTGTTACTAGTGCCCTAACATATGTGTTTGCTTGGTGCTTTTTGTGAAAGATTATTTTGAAAACTTTCATGGTCACTGGCTGACATTTTCACTAAACACCAAATTGTAGCGAATTGAAAATAGAATTGCAAAATTTACACTTTAAGTAGGTCTGTAACCTCAAACATAGATTCTCCAATGTTTCCTATTCTCTTCGTCTTTCAAAATCTGTTCTTCTTTTCTGATCTAGATCTTTTTAAAATGTAAGACAAATATGCGACTGCTTTGTCTTATATATTTTTCGTACAATCTTGACAAAAGGTGGTGCTTAAGGCATGCCTCATTCTTTTGTTAGCTTGTAAAGCGAAGTGAAGCTTGCCTTTAGCTCAATTCTTTGTCAAGATTGCCAAATGTAGGAAAAATATATAAGACAAAGTAATCCCTTCTTTGTCTTATGTTTTGAAGAGAACTAGAAACTGAAACCAGAAGAGAAGAGGGAAAATAATATGAAAAAGGTGGGTGGTGGCAAAGCCAGTTGAAATAGGCAAAACATGGTTTATGTAATATATGATGAAAAGCTTTGAAATTCCATTTCATTCGAACCCTAAAATAAAAGCAAGATTAAAAGCTTGCTAAAGTGCTTTTCTTTTCAAAAGGAAATTGTTGCTTTTATATATCTCACTAGTTACACCTTTGCAGTTATCAATAACACAGCCAGGATGTCCTTCTCAATAGCTTGTCCTGAGCATCTGCGTTTAGCCTACTTGATCAGCTGTAATACAACTCATTGACTTTTCATTCAGATTTTTTTTCCTTTTTGATTAAGTTGACCTTAAAGTTTAAATTCCCTTTGAATGCTCACGTTGGTAAATAACCCTGTGTGAGCACCCAGCCAAGGACAGCCTGTACAATAAACGTGAGTTAAGCCTGCTTTTCTGGCATTAAAAAATATATATATACAGTTGCAAGAAAAAGTATGTGAACCCTTTGGAATGATATGGATTTCTGCACAAATTGCTCATAAAATGTGATCTGATCATCATCTAAGTCACAACAATAGACAATCACAGTCTGCTTAAACTAATAACACACACAGAATGAAATGTTGCCATGTTTTTATTGAACACGCCATGTAAACATTCACAGTGCAGGTGGAAAAAGTATGTGAACCCCTAGACTAATGACATCTCTAAGAGCTAATTGGAGTGAGATGTCAGCCAACTGGAGTCCAATCAATGAGATGAGATTGGAGGTGTTGGTTACAGCTGCCCTATAAAAAACACACACCAGTTCTGGGTTTTGTTTTCACAAGAAGCATTGCCTTATGTGAATGATGCCTCGCACAAAAGAGCTCTCAGAAGACCTACGATTAAGAATTGTTGACTTGCATAAAGCTGGAAAGGGTTATAAAAGTATCTCCAAAAGTCTTGCTGTTCATCAGTCCACAGTAAGACAAATTGTCTATAAATGGGGGTTTGGGAGAGGGAGGACCACTAAGGGGGGAGTGAGAAGACCACCAAGGGGGAACTATAGGGGGCCAAGGGAGAGCACTAAGGGACAGAAGGGGAGAACACGGAGGGACAGGAGGGAAGGGGAAATCAATAATTGACAGGGGGGAGAGCACCAGGAAAAAAAAAAAAAAAATTAAGAGCTGCTCCCCTCTCAGTCTCTATCCTACCCCACAAACCCTCTCTTTCACACTACACACATACACAATGCATCCCCCCCACACACACACACAGAAACATACAATGCATTCCTACTCACACACAGACACACCCGAAACACACAATGCATCCCTTACGTTCACACAAACACTCATTCTCTTACACACAGAAACAAAATGCATCTCTTACACAATCAATGCACCCCTTACAGACACACACTGCATTCAATTAAATACACAGAAACACACCTTGCAACCCTTACACACACACACACACACACCCAGAAACATACAATGCATTCCTTACACGCAAACACACACTGCATCCCCTATAAACACACTACATCCCTTACACAAATTGGTATCCCTATACACTACATTCTATAAGAACACACACACATTGCATCCTCTACAATAACACATAAAACATCCCCTACAAACATACACTCCACTTCCTGTGAGAGAACTCATGGGTGGGCATTGTAGGCATACTCACGGTCAAGCCCTGGGGGCCCAGACCTTGAGCTGTGTAAGGGGCCCTAAAAAATGGAGCTGCTTCCTGTTCGTTAATTGTTGTGAGCACTGTTAAAAACAGTCTCCTGAGAGCCTCTTCTACACCAGACCTGTGGAGCCAGACAGAGCCCATCATCAGCCTCTTGTTCTCACCTGGTGGTAAGTAGGCAATCCAATATATTATTAGTGGCACTAATCTCTAATTTACCTCACATTAAATGGATACTAGAAGCACTACAGCATAATGTAGTGGTTCTGGTGTCTATAGCCTGTGCCTGTAGGCTTTTTAATGTAAACACACTGTCTTTAAAGATAAAAGACACTTTGTGAAGACTGGCGTTGGCCCATATGGCAGAGCATATGGGCGGGGCATTGTGATGTCACATGGTGGCCAGGACATATGGGGGGGGGGCGGCAAATTTTTTTTTTGCCTAGGGCGGCAAAAATCCTTGCACCGGCCCTGGGTTTATGTCTATGTTATGCGGTGACCTGGTTTTGGCACGAACAGGATTCAACACGCCCCCTTAATTTCGTTGGTTCAGTTTATGTATAAATGAACCGGTCCGTGGTGGACCACTGTTTTGCCTCTGATGAAGGCACAATTAATAGCCCCGAAACGCGCATTAGGCAGTTGTAGAGAGGGAGCATTTATAAACTTTTCCTTTAGTAGCTATTAAGCCAGTAGTTTGACTTTGGGGGTCTTTTGATGTTTGCGGGTGGTGATAATACTCTGTAGCAACCCTGTTGCCCTCCTTTGATAACGCACTCACTTATGACTTTTTCTTGTCTATACATATAGATATAGATCTTGCCAGTATATAATACATTAGGAGCTCCAGCATTTACTTGTTAGCATTTTTTCATTTGGGGCATCCGATGTTGTTTTGATGTTCCTATGAAAGGGAAATATGTAATTTTTGCCACTATATATCTATTAGTGACTCATCTTATATACTGGTAATCACATTGTATCTACTTTAGATTAGCTTACTGTATCCATTAGTGCATCCAGCTATTGATACTCTATGCTACTATGTATTAGGAGCTCTTTTTATTTTGTGGCAGAGATTTATGGATTGTTTTTTTCCTTTCTTGAATTTGGAGGGGATTACATATGAGTTTTTCCCTACGTTATATATATTTTTCCTAATCTTTACCCCATCTCTGATTCTAGCCCCCTAACATAGATGTCTAGGTAAGGGTGTTATACACTGCTGTTTCAGCAAGTTTATTATTATCATTAGGCGATCCTAGTGGACATATTATACACTTTATACCTGACATCCTGGGTGATATCTATTTTTTTATTTAGTAATTTTTTGTTTATTTCGTATTTGACACTTTTACCACTTTCTTATTAAAGGTTAAGTTTTAGCATTACTTCTAGGTAGGGTTTTCCTAGTAGGCTGACCTTGTGGGACAGGGGGAAGGGTGCCTTTTTCCCCCTCTTTCCCCCTTTTTCCCCAGGTCTTCCTTTTTCCTTTTTTATGTTATGCAGTGACCCAGATGTCTGCGTGTAGTCTGTGTAGTAGCGGGTGCTGTTTCTCTAGTGTCTAGCATACATGGTAGAAGATAAGCAGGGACACAGCATGACAACAGGAAAAGAAAACAGAACAAAAGCAAATTAAATAAAGGTGGCATGCTGTGCACTGTAAGCATAAATCTATGTGGGATGGAAAGTTTGACTTAACCGATGCCCCAGCTTGGTGGCTGGCCTCCTCCCCCAATCAAAGCATTTGGCACCTCAAAGTGGTCTGATAGCGTGGCCCAGAATTTGTGGAAAGTCCAAGCCAGTTGTTGCAGTGTTAACTCATGGGCGCTCGGTGTGTGCATGGCAGTTGTTTGTGCACGTGACAGCCTCATGTTCGCCATCTTGATGTGCTTGTCCAGAATCTGCATCAAGGGGAGTGCTGGAAGGCGACTGGGGGTAGCGATGTTCAACAGTGGGGACCGGGATAACCACCGCCGGTCCAGAGGGGGGGGACAGCAAAGCACCGGTCAGAGAACTGGGGGAGCCGCCATCTCACCCCAACTCAAGCTCAGGTAGGCCTCAAGCCTCGGGCGGGTAATTTCAATGCTGCACAGGGTTGTAGGAGGTATCCCTGTGTGCACAGTTGTCAACTTAGCAGAGTAAGTACCAGTCCGGGTCGGTTTAGGCGTGTGGCCTGCAGCTAAACCCAGTTTACTGGAACGGTTACAGGAGCTCAGACTAAACATGTCTGTTCTGATCGGCAGGAACGCTCCGCCCCCGATGCCTTCATTTTAAACATTGTTACGTAAACCTTGTGTAACTGTATATTTATATTTGTGGGAATAAAATAGATCCATAATAGGATATGTATCAAAATGCTTCATTGTTATCTGAAGCACATAAACATCCTTTTTATTACATGTTTTATATTGAAAATAATTCTATTTTGTGTGGACTGTAAAGCAACTATTGTATTTAATAGGTTACATTTTTAAAATTCTACTTCTGATAAACCCACACACAATCTTTATAGTTCATAATAACACAGCTAGATTTTTTTCCTTCCATCTGCATGTTAACATATTGTGCATCTATGCTACTAGTGTTAAATGTATCTCGTTGTTTCTTGTAATTTTATAGTTTATATAATACTTTATAAATATTTACAAAAGAATGTTCCTTAAACATTGTTTTTGTTGATTATTCTAATGTCTTACTGTATATTCTGAATGATGTTAATTTAAGTAAAGCTTTTGATATTAGAATACGCAGTTTTGTAATTGCCTTGACGACATGGTGATCTTTTTATACTCACAGAGCAGGAATGCCTAGCCAACTTGCAAAGACAAGACAAATTCCATATTTACAAGGACAGATTGGCAAACTTTGTGTAAATGTTCACAGTAACAGTTAAAGTACAAAATAGAGGCATTACAGATGTCAATCTGTCATATCTTACAACCATCGATGTAGATTTATTATGCAAGAATGCAGGCAACTTCTTAATGTGGTGTTTGGACAAGAAATTCAAAGGTAAGGTTTAAAAAAACTGAAAGATCATTGACACAACTTGGGCAAAAAAAAATCCCCAATACACTACACCTGTTGTAAGTACCTGGTTCGTTCTAAAAATTGAATGGACTGTGCTTCATGGTGATGTACCTTTTTGTCTTTTTATGTATTAGACTGATTTAAATTGTTCATATAAAAGGTGTAAGCTCCTTGTTGTGGACAAACATTAATTCAATTTATGTTAGTAAAATGCCTATTTACTCAGCATACCTACAATCCGTATTATTCAACTTTATATGTGATTTACCTAAAATGGCCTCTAGGGAGTTTCCCTTCGACATCGACTAACACCCTCACTAACAAGATGGTGCTGGAATCTGGGGGACACCTCCAAGATACCAGTGACATCACACCCGCTAGGAAGAGCAATAAATGAACCACTTAACACCTAACCAATTATTTCATGTTATCTCTGACAAAGCATATGATGTAATTTTGCTTTATAAGGGGCATACCATCCCCTCAGAATAAACATTCCTCAAGTTTTTCATTAACCCGAAACCTGTGTCTGGTGTGAATTACTTTAGGAGCGTGCACGCACTACTTCTTCAATTTGGCCGGGGGCAGATACACAAGATAATCAATTGATTGATTAATTCCACATCATTTGGCACCCAATGTGGGGCACTGGATTTCGCCGGTTTGGATGGCCAGAAAACGGGACCGGAGCGGACCTCCGGAAAGTCGGACGATCGGAGCCTGATCACCTCCTAAATACAGCGGTTTGCCTTTATTCTCCTGTTTTGTGTCGGTCTGTCTCCGTGTCCACTTCCGGCTTCCAGAAGGCTACAAGACAGGTAATCTCTTATCCGGTGCCTTTTAAAACGAACCTGTCGATTGTCTATCTGCCTCCTGAGTGTATGTATGCGTGTGAGACAGCTGGTGTGTGTTTTATTACTATTTTTTTATTATTATAGCTTGACTGCCTAGCGGGCAGGGAACGCATCCGCCCGGTAAAGGGCTGGGAACCGCCTAGAGAAAGGCTGGGAATAGTATCCGCCCGGTAAAGGGCTGGGAACCGCCTAGAGAAAGGCTGGGAATAGTATCCGCCCGGTAAAGGGCTGGGAACCGCCTAGAGAAAGGCTGGGAATAGTATCCGCCCGGTAAAGGGCTGGGAACCGCCTAGAGAAAGGCTGGGAATAGTATCCGCCCGGTAAAGGGCTGGGAACCGCCTAGAGAAAGGCTGGGTATAGTGTCCGCCCGGTGAAGGGCTGGGATACACCTAGAGAAAGGCTGGGAAATTTTGCTGTACTGTTCAGAGTAGAACAGGGTTTTATTTGCTGTTTAGTCGTTACTATGCTCGTTGTTATGCTGTTCTTTATTATTTTTTGGTTTCAATTCAGTTATAGCCATAGTGTGGGTACCCTAGTTGTGTGTGTGTTGTGTGACTCATCCTTGATTCCGGATTATGTGCATATCTCTACATCTGTGACTCATGTAAATGTCTTCTGATTAGTCTCTTCACGTTCACCTTTTCCCTTATTCTCTACCTCTTCTGTACTTGCTGCCCAGAGCTGTGTTAGTCACCCACGCTCGCCCACTCAGATCCGTGGCCAACATTTCGGGTGGGCGGATCCCGTGACTAGTCTACGTTTTGGGAAGACGCACGAGGACCAATTCCTCATGACAGTCGAGCACTGTAGACATTCCTTCTATTTCTTCTCTCTCTCTCTGTCCCTCATAGGTGGGAGGCCTTGTTTGGTAAAAATGGGACAAGAACATGCCAGACCTTCTAAAGGCTATTTAGCTTGTGATATTGTTAAGGAGAGAGCAGGGGAAGAGGCTATTTTAAAAATGAAGAAGATAGCAAAGATTTGTGGTTTTCAAATGTCACCCAGTGGTAGATTACAACCAGTGTTTTGGAGGAAATTACTTGTTGATAAAGAGGGTTTGTTACTGGATGACGGGTTAACGAAAGCTGTAGAGGCTTGGTATCGGGTAGCAAGGGGTCTCAAGCGGGAGGGTTGGTCAGGGGAAGAACTAGATTTTGAAGGACAAACGATTTATGGATATCACAGAAATGTTTGCAATGATTATTCATCTCCCGCTGTTCCCCGACCACTGCCCTATGATGGCACCCAGAGCACTGTTAATGAATCTCGCCCCGCCTCCCCCGTCACTACTAGTGATGTCGCGAACCCGAAATTTTCGGTTCGAGAACGGCGAACGCGAACTTCCGCAAATGTTGGCGAACCGCCCGAAACGCCATTGACTTCAATGGGGAGGCGAATTTTAAAACACACAGGGACTCTTTCTGGCCACAATAGGGATGGAAAAGTTGTTTGAAGGGGACTAACACCTGGACTGTGGCATGCCGGAGGGGGATCCATGGCAAAACTCCCATGGAAAATTACACAGTTGATACAGAGTCTGGTTTTAATCCATAAAGGGCAGAAATCATCTAACATTCCTAAATCACAATGAATATGGATTGACACCTGACATATGACATATTGACACCTTGACATATGGATTGACACCTGTCCTCAGAGCCCCTGATGCACACGGACACAGAGCAGAATAGAGACTGGTCCCCCTACATAGGGTCACTTGGCAGATATGGATTGACACCTGTCCTAAGGATCCCTGATACACACTGACACAGAGCAGAATAGGGACTGTTCCCCCTACATAGGGTCACTTGGCAGATATGGATTGACACCTGTCCTAAGGTTCCCTGATACACACTGACACAGAGCAGAATAGGGACTGGTCCCCCTACATCGGGTCACTTGGCAGATATGGATTGACACCTTGTTACAAACTGCTATTTGTAACGGGCCCTTTAAATGGCAAATTGCCCTGCTTCCCTGGGTTGTGGAGAAGCCTATTTGCCAGCCTCCTCCCGCATGACTATGGCCCCTGGGAGATTGTGAAAATGTATGCACTTTTATTTGGTGTGTATGGCCCTTTAAGACTGTCGGTGGGCATATTGGGGCTTATGGACTCTTTATGTGACTGGTGCTGGCCCTTTAAACACCTTTTTTGGGACATCAGGAAGATTGGGACACTGCCCCTTTAAGGCCGTGTCCCCAGACTTGTTGGGGACACGGCCCCTTTAAGACGGTGTCCCCTGTGTCCCCAGACCTGGTGCAAACCCTTTGTGCCTGCCTTGCTATTTCCCACTTGGTTCAGTAAATGGGAAATTATTTCAGCTGCAGAGACTAAGTCCCATTCGGCGATGGGACTTAGTCTTTTTTTCAGCCGTTTTTTTCAGCCTTATTTCAGCTGCAGAGACTAAGTCCCATTCGGCGATGGGACTTAGTCGTTTTTCAGCCTGAAATAGACCGACCTCACAGCCCAAATCTATGGAACTGTTTTGGGCAGGAAAATGTGCTTGCGGTCGGTCATAAAGGGACCTCCAGCTAACTTTTTAACCCCTGCATGGATTTGGCTGATTTTTGGTTATGTTTATGTTTTAAGTGTGCTGATTCCAAATATGTAATTATGAAGATGGGATGTGTAGTTTAAAGTTACAGGGTATGGCTAAAAACTGTATTTTTACTGCCTGTGTTTAATTATGTTAATCTCTTCCCAAACGTCATTTCGTTCAAAGTGGAGAGAATGTTAAAAATATATATTTTTGTTCGGAGTGTGAGAAATGCTTTTCAGCCGCTTCTAATCTTAAGCATCATTTGAGGAGCCATACAGGAGAGAAACCTTATTAGTGGTGTGTTTAGTATTGTTCTGATCAGTTTAATACCTTCCGCGTCTCCTATCAGTGGACGTGTATATGGCAGCCATTTTAGGAACCGTACACCTGGGACCCAGGCAAGGTCACCTCG